TCATCGCAAGATTTTCCGAGCTGCTGCGACGCTTTACATTTTTATAAAAAACATTATCCATTCCTTGCACAATGCAAGTTATTTTGACAACATTTTTTTTGTTGCAGTAACGCTAACCATTTATAAATTTCCCCGCCATTCAAATCGTAGCGCAAAATACATTGGCTTCTCTGGGTGAAGACTTTTTTTGAGCTTTCGATTCTGTCAAGAAATGCGTAAGCTCTTTAAACCAAGCGACGGAATTAAATCTTAAACTCAAGCAAACTTCCTTCTCATCAGCTCTATTTATTCCCAATACTGATTGCAATCGTCTTATTAGTTTCTCAATTGCGCAACAGATTATAGCTGTAGAAAATGTATTCCAAGAAAGCCCAATTTTAAACAAGTAATGTCATCCATTTTCAATAGTTTTTATTGCGCAATACCAGTTACATAAAATCATAATTGTAGCATCTTCATACATTTGATAAAGGATTTGATAAAAGTCTGAATCGAAAGTCGATTGTTATTTATATTTTTATTATTTCAAAAGCAATTACCGATGGTTTTCAAATTGGTTCAAATCTGATCAGTAACATAGGAATTCGTTTTTATAATTGAACAAACAAAATGAAAGTCGTTACATTTATATTACTACCTCCTTTATAGGCTTCATTATGTAAATTTAAAAATTATGTGATTTATGAAAGCTTTTACTGTTTTCTCCAGATTATACTGCATTTATAAACTGATTGAAATGTTGAAGCTGCGAACCAATCAAGGCAGTCTTCGATCGCAAACAAACCCTCGCTTGAAATTTACTAAATACTTTTGCACTCAAACTCATGATCTTAAAAAATCTGTACATCTAACTGTCAGAGACAACGATTTGATTAGTAAACGTTATAGCTCCTAGAATTTTATACATTTTTCAGTAACCTAGACCAAACGGAATATTTTAAATGCATTAACCACAGGTTGCTAATCTTATTGATTTTAATTCGCAGTTTATTATCATATATAGTAAGTATTTGATGTTTAATTAAACTTATTAATGAGACAATATCTATACATAAAAATATCGCATCTCTTCAAAAATTAGAATTAAAATGATAAACTTTCCTTAGCGTAAAAATCGTTTTTTTTACTTTGCTAAATTTTTAATATGTTGAAAAATTTCATGTAATCCAGTGAGAAAAAGTGTATCCATTTCAAGTTGGACTAAAAAATGATTTTATTCAATCTACTAGGTATTAATCAATAAGTGATCTATAGGTGATAGAAGCAGTAGAAAATTGCACAATGAAGATTTTTTATCATAAAATTGTAAAATAGTTTACTCGTAGCCAGTAGCTTTGTTTATATATTTATCTTCAATCTATCCTTGATGAACTTCGGGTGTTAACCGAAGCATACAAAGGACGCCGTTCATAAGCTTGTACTTTAGCTGGTTTCATTAACATTTTATCTCTGGAGTATTCAACATTAATTTTCTTCTGCTTAATTAAATTTTTCTAGGGATTCACGAATGCATCTGCATAACTTTTAGCGGTAAGCTTAATGCAATGATCTAAATAATTTTTCACTTTTTACGTAGAGTGATGTGTTGAGATGTACACGCTAATGACAGCGAAATGATAAAAAAAAATATGCTTATTAATCAAGCTCGTTGCATTATAATACTCATAAAATAAGAGAAGGATAATTTTTTACGTCAAAGGAAACGTGGACATGAATATTTCTTTGTTTAATATGGTTTACAAAGACGCTAAAATTCAACGTAATTGGTGCATAGACTCGTGAAAGCAAAGATATCGAGTATTCCTGTGAAATCGACCTTTGACATTCATAAAAAAAAAACGTAGTGCTTAGAGGGAAAATATTTTAGCGTTTTATGATGACATTTATTTTACAATTGGATGACAGACATTTTTTAATATCTTTTTTTTACGACAAGCAGAACGATAAAATACTGCGATTCGAAAGTCACGATTCCGAGACTTATTGACAAGGACTATATTGAAATCGTGGGCAATAAATAGCGAGGCACAAAACATGTACGGGGTGACACTTTGAATATCAACAGTAGGAATGATAATCGAAGTGCGCGCAGATCTACCTAGAGAAGCCAGCGAACATAAATCAAGGGGTCTTGCTATCTGATACCCTATTTTCTCAACGCGTTAAACCACCCGAGCGCTGTTTGTGGGCGGCGTAGAGGTCTCGACTGCGGCTGTTTACAGCTCTTATATATGCTTCACACCAGCCCTAACATTTGACGTCATCCAATTTTCTTACGCGTGGCCTCTGCAATTAAGAATCTTAACTCTCATATACAAAAGCTCTTTCTGTCTTGCGCGCGCGCCAACATTCTCCGGCCGAACATTTGATCCGCGCAAATTTGAAGGTAACTGATGCTCCGAGTTAACAACTCCTTGTATGTGCTTTGCAAGCCCGAGTCTCGCTTTTCCTTTTATTCTTACATAGTCAATTGCTTTCATTGTTATCCTCTGATTATTCAAACAGCTGTGCTTCAACTACCTTTTTACAACGTATGCGATGAATCTCAAATAAATATTTCCTTGGCTATAAAAGGTCTTTCCTAATTCTTTTTTGAAATTTAAAATTCCACATTCCTAAGAAATTCATTTTGTACTTATATTCTTTTTTAAAAATGCATGATGTAATAAAATTATACGGCTCTTTTTTTAAGGTAGCATTTAATTAATATTTCATGCTCATAACTACGATGCTGAAAAAGACAAATAACGGGTCCGGATTAATATCAAAAATACCTCGACACATACAACAATGTAAAGGGTAAAACGGGAAGTAAAATGAAAATGAAAATAAAGCACTAAAAGTGCAGCTGAATGGTAAAAGTCATTCATACAATACACTCTTCGTATAAACGCGCGGCCAAAAGTTTTAGATTATGGAGATTCGAGCAAATTCGTACGAATAGCTCAAGTGAAATCGAGCATAAACAGCTCCACGCAAAAGCTCGCAGGGAATTTATGGAGGGAGTCGGGTCGATTTTTTTCTTCTATCTATTTAGTCGCGCTCGCGCCGCCGGAAATGGAGCCGCGAGTTATAAAACTCAAAGTGCGAGATCTGGCATTTACACGCGGCGTAGAAGAAAGAAAATCTTCTGGCAGTGTAGCGAGATCGCGATCGACGATGGACGCGCGCCCAGTCAACGATATAGCGTTCGAGTATATGTTTATACATCAGTGTGCTGTAGCAGTAGACGTACGGCGCGTCGCACACTCGAACGCATCGCTTCGGTCCATTGCTTACCTTTACTCCCCCGGATGTTCTTCGCGCATGTATTTGCGTATTGTGTATGCCGCACGTAAAGCATCCATGTTAACGTAAAATATCTTCGCGCGATGATTTATGGCCATCGTGCTCGGCGCGATACACCAAAAATTTGCATATCACGGCGTAATTATTCTATTTTATAATCTTTCCATCTCTCGATTTCCAGACTGCAATTTAATTATTTTCCAGTAACTCGCGAAAATAGCTCGTACGCTGTTAAAATTTCAAATGATACCATCAGATTCTAGACAACGGCGTTCTGAATAATGATCTCGACATTTCAGAAGATATAGAATAGTAGATACAAACGTTGTTTGTGCATGAGATCGACGAAAATAGAGAAACTATACAAACAACATAAGTTGAATAAATCTGGTGATAACTTGACTTTTCGAGTAATGAGTATCTCATCAATGCGCCATCAGTGCGACTCAATATCCCTATTAATTGGATACCATGTGTATATATTGTTGAAGCTAACTGTTGAACATCTTTTGTTTGAAATGTCAACTCAGATGATGATTACTAAGTAAACTTAATTGAATAACGTTGAGGCAAACAAACAGGATAATTTCCGTCTATACTATTACATCTTGAAACAAAAAATGCAACAAAAACAAAGATTTGCTAATGATTCCTCAATTTTCGTAAGCATACCACCCTCCGTTATGAGCATTTATTAAGTTTATCGAATATACATTGGTAGGTCTTGAAAAATTTTCATTAAAAATCATTTGCATATTGTTCGCAAAGTTTAATATCTTGAAAAATTTTCATTTAATCGAGGAACTCTAATTTTAATGAAAAAATATTTTTTTGTTCGTTACCAGAAAATTCGATGCTTGAAAGCGCAATGATACACTCAAGTAGGTTAATTTAATTTAATTCGTTGTTACAAATGCAATTAATGTATCGGAATAACAGATTGTAGTATTTAAGTCCACTCTTTACAAACGAGAAACAATTAATGACTCGTAATTCAAACTATACGTAAAACATACCTTAATCTTACCTATTTCAAGTAACAATCACGCTCTTTGCAGAGTGATCAAGCTTTAAAAATCTCAGAGATTTTTCTTTTTTATCGACGTCAATATTCGTACCTCAGAACTTTCTGAGATTTATTTATTATGATACATTTTAAATGTGCGAAACGTTGTTCAAAATAAATTAATTCTTGTTATACAAACATAAAATATTAAACATCGTCAGAAATGTTCAATGCTCAATATATTTAATTACCTAATAACGAAAATGCAAATTAAAAAAAAAATAAAATAAAATCATTTTAAAAAAGTTTGCTGCTAATAGAGTGTTATTTTTTATAATACTTTTGGTTGAAATATATTTATTTTTCATACCAATTTTCAGCACGCAATATTCATATGTTAAAATAAATAAAAACAAAGAAATTCATTCCTGTCCAAAATATTATTACATTTTAGTACCTACAATATGTATTCTATAATTACCAACCCTAATACAATTTTCAGTTTTTACGGTACATATTTTATGCCATAAAAAGAATACATATGAATCGTGAATTGTTTTTTAATGAAAAACTACTTTTCGCCATGTGATTTAAAGTGAGATGCAACGTGTATCTTTAAAAAAATGTTCGAGTTTACGTTGTGAGTTTACGATAATAGGAGCGCGGTGAAAAATTAAAAAAATATATTCAATCAAGTCTTTCGTACCTTTAAGTTGAACCGATACAGCTGTATGAAGTTTTGTTCTCCTACGGTGTCTTGAAACTCGTTAGTCTTTCATCAATTAAGTCGATAGTATCAAATTTGCAACAAGTTCAGGAACAAAACTCAATTAAATTGTCGACGTATATCTAATTTCTTTTATCTATCGATGGAAAAAGATAAAAAAAGTATGACTAATTGCTCCTCAGTGGAATCGGGAGGAGCAAATTTCGCACGTGGAGCAATGAGAATTGAGTAGCGTCGTCACTCCGGATGACCGATAGCTCTTGGTACTCGGGGAGAAAAGAGTTGTAACGAAATTATCACTCATTTCCGACATTTTCTCCTTTTCCTCGCAGCTATTTCACAAGGTCTTTCACGATTTTAATGGCCTTTGTCAAAAAGTATCGGCTCATATCGAGTCTTGGTCGCCGCCGCCGCCGCCACCGACGCTCGTAACGCACACACGCGTACTCACTTTAGCACTATCCCATGCAGTCGCGAGCGATCGTTCGGCATGTGCATCAGCAGCAGCAACAGCTCGTACATATAATCAGACGAACGCGCACAAGCCTGTAACTAAAATAATAGGCGACCGTTGTTGCTGCTCGGCGAACGTCGACGAATCTGCCGCTCGGTTCGCAGGGCCGTGTCGAATAGATGCTTTCTGGCGCGAGCTTCTCTGGCCGACGCAGTCGCATAGCTAGCAGCGGCGCCGAACGCGCGCGATATACTCTTTGCCTTGTGCGAGGCATTGCGCGCGCGAGAGAGCCACAGGCAGCGGCAGCAGCAGCCACCCCTTCGCGGAGTTATCGCCTTTGGCGCAAGCAAATGACGTGTGTATAACAGGAAAAGGAAAACAGGTGGCTCAGGAAAGCTCCGAGGAAAGTCGATTTTCCCTATTATGCTTATGGGGATTACCCGAGGGGAGGGCTAAAATTAAGCTTACATCTCGTGCGATGTTAACGTAACACTCGTCGACTCTTGAACGTCTTATTAGCCCGAGCCTTTATCCGAGCTTCTAAGCTTATTATATAAGAATTCGTATCGCATAACTTTGGACAAATTACCTTGCACTTGTACATCCCAAGTATTATTCCCATGAATGTAATTCTTTTCAACAAAGTGTAAACCTTTCCTAAACAAGTATCTATACTATTGAGTATTAATAGAACCTCTCCGGATTATTTTTATACCGGTACGATATGTTTCGATTACATTTAATTAATAATCGAATCAGCGTACATTTTATTTATCTCAAATCATGGCCTTTGAGCATTTTTTATTTATTTCATCAGTTATTAAAACTCGATGCCACTTAAGGTAAATATGTAATATATTATTGAGGTAAATATATTTCATATACTTTACAGACCGTTATTACTTTTCCAATCATATTGAAAAATTGCTCCTTTTTTAATATACTTTGCAAGAATAAATAATGGCTATTCATATTTTACGTTCTCGATGTTACTACAAAATTTTGAATGCTTTTAGATTTTCATGTTCGTTATTTTAATATGAAGCACGTGTACTTAGCCTAGCGAGCTTGCAAGCTTTAACATGTAATTTAATTACTTGCACATTACGTGTAGTATATAGTACGTAATAGAGACAGCTAATTGTTTCCACGTCACATTGTCCATTGTTATACGATTTTTTTCCTGATCAACTAGAACGATCTACTGTCTTATAATTCGTTAAAGCTTCGACAACTATTTTTATGATTTAAAAGGAAATTCCAGACTTTTTCAGGTTCATTAAATATTTCCAATATATTTGATATTTTATTACTTTGACGAGGTAAAGAGTTTAAAAAAAAACGTCTGGTCAAAATTAGCTGCAATGGAAAATTGCCAAAAAATATGTATGTGTTGAATTGGAAAAAGCTCAAAATTGATGAATTATTGGAGGAAGAAGTAACGAAAAGCCTTTTTTCCCGAAAATTCTCTCTAGATGTATCGTTTTAATTTGTTAAAAATATCAAGTTTGACACACAGCAATATCTCCGTAGTCGAAGTAAAGAAATCCAGTTAGAGATTGCCGAGTCGAACAAAACGTTGGAAGCTAAACGAGGTCGAGGGATCAGTATCAGTTAAACACGCACGTGCGTACGCGAGAGTCCGAAGCTGCACACATAATGCATCGTACACTGATCAGTATTAGTTAATAAGGTGGGAATCGCAGTTCCCCGTGGCAAGTGACGCTCGCGCGCGGGCAAATCTCGTCGAGAGCTCGAAGCGCGGATCATGCGGCACGTCGTCGCTGCAGCAAGCGATCATGCGTTGACGGTGCGTCGACAAACACTACCGGCAATAATAATGATAATAATGCGTGGATCTCGCATATACGTCCTATATACAGTGCGCCGAGTGCACATGCAAAAAGAGAGCGAATATTACACTTGGTGAGCTCAAGTTGAAAGAACCGTTCGCGCGCAGCAGCGATAAACAAACACGCGCGCGGAGCGGTGGACGCGCTCCGAGCAAGAGTGTCAAGAGAACTCGATATAAAGGGCAAATCTGCCGATACGTGCGCGCGGATACTTTTTGAATTTCTATTTTTTCGTATAGTTTCGTTGCGTGCGCGTGTATAGAGCTACTTTCGTTATTGCTGAATCCGTGCACGAAGCCGTATTTTTTATCTCTTACGATTGTAATGCGCAGCATTTCAGGATCAACGCGGGACGCGTTTTTCCTCGGGCAACTGTTGCAGCTATTGCAAGTAGAATTTGTGAAGGAAAATTCAATGGAAATTTGGGCTGAATGAACGCGTTTATTGATTACCTACGCCCCCGCGCGCGGGCAACTATATAATGAACAAGCTTTTATCGAGACTTGATCCGGCCTTTTTGCAATAAAATGATTTAGCCTTTGAGGTATTAAAAAGCACAGGCTTATAAGACTTTTCTAGGCCTTGTTTACCACGAGACTTACATTTTCAAAGAGCACAATTGCAAAGTCAAGATTTTTAGCAGCTTATCCGGACACAGTATTGGATTTTTGCGAATATAATGCCGAGCACTCGGCATTAGCAACAGTATCGATAAAAAGACTTTAACTGAATTATTACCACGGAAAATATGTACAAGCTCAGTTTATTGTATACATTCAGCCCGTATTGTACGCAGCATCAATTGTATGGCAACAATAAATCAAGCTCCAGTGGATCTTCATTCTAGAGCTATTATAGTTATCAATGTGAAACGGTCGATTGTGTTGATTATTTTTCAAAACAAAGCAAGTTGTGTCCATCCAAATAGTTTGATTTGCACTTCATGATAACATCTTCATTGAAAATTTATCGATATATCTTCTAATAAAAAGTATAAATAAAAATAAAAACTTTCATTTCACACATACTAAACTACACATAAAATACTCCAATCAAAATTGGAGAGTCATAACTCGTTTTCCTATTGCATAGTTTTACTAGATTAATTGTTTATCGTCTATAGAAAAGAATTTAAAGGGGTAACTCAACTCTTTAAAGCTCAAAAAATCCACTAAATTTGGAAAAATTTTTGTGTGAAAATGGATAAAACAACTATCGAAAACTTTTTATGCACTTATAATATCAGTTTTGAAGCTAAAATAAAAATACTTGAAATTAGTAATCAAATTTCAAATGGTCTGGTTACATAGTTTTTGAGATACGAACTCACACGATGGAAAAAAATTTGTTTTGATTTGTTATATTGATTATTTAATCTATCGTTCCCGGAAAAATCTCCAAATTTAATTGCTTTATATTTATTATAAGTAACTAATCTAAAACTAAGGTAATGTTAAATCCTAAATACATTTTCAATTCATACATAACACTATTTAATTCGTTTTGATACTTTCATTCATCCTAGTTAAAGTAATTTTTTACCTTTTCATAATTAAAAACTCATTAGTAGACTTGGACCTGATAAAAGATAACTTTCTACCGATTAAGTAGTAATAGACTTATTTTTTTATTAACTTCAGTATAATGAAAATGAATTTTTCGAGTAAGTAGATTAACAGATAATATAGAGAAACGTTAGCTTTCTTGAATTTAGCTGAAATATTTTCTCAATTAAAAAGATCAATCGAAATTTTTATCGTTATTAAAAATAATTCGGCTTGCAGCTGAAATATCAATGAGTTTGGCATTTAAAAAATGCTACGCAAATAAATACAGAGCATACAATATTGCTTAAAGCTTTTCCGTTCAATCAAATGTAGTCCTGAAACCGGTTAAAAAGCCCACTTGAATACGTAGCAATTATAATGCGAGATTATCCGATGAAGTCGCATCTTTGCATTGGCAATCAAAATAAAACTTTACGATGATTCTATTACTTTTACCACGTGCAAGAGCTCACAAACTCTTAATAAGTCGATTTTCACCTGCTTCAATTCAACCAAGCGTAAATACGATCAGCATAGCTCGAAATTAAACTTTAATAAGCTTCTTTCAAACCAAGAAGTATTAATATTGCCAAAAGGAATTATCCTCATTTTGTAAGCCCTTAGAGATTATATCCATTACAAAATATTTCAATAATAATTTAATCGAAAATGAAATTTTGCCCTTCATTACTATGTGTTGTCTCAGCTGAATTAAGTCCCAATGAAAAGATCTATGTTCACATTCCGGAATGATAAATATTAAGAATTATGAATATTCGGAATGTGTAAAATTCGGAATGTTTGAAAATCCGATTATTGAAAACGGAACATGAAAAATTCGGAAAAACAAAATTTCGGAATGAAAAAAATTTCGGAAAAATTAAAATTCGGAATCCACAAAATTTTTAGGGGAAAATGTAGACTATAAAATTTTGTGAATTTCGAATTTTAATTTTTCCGAAATTTTGTTTTTCCGAAATTTTCATGTTCCGTTTTCAATATTCGGATTTTCAAACATTCCGAATAATTATAATTCCCCATATTTATCATTCCGAAATGTGAACCTGGCTCAATGAAAAGACCTATCTGTTACTCAACTACATTCCAAATCTTAAATGCAACATACAGTTTAAAAGCAAAATAATATAACTCATAAAAAAACAAGGTACCTATGCACTTTGTCCATTAACAGATGTATAAAGTGCAGAAAAACGAAAAGAGGTGTCGATGTGAACTTTTTAGAGCGATGCACAGTGTATTTGCGCGTTCGCGTATGTTTGTCAGCGAATGCCCGAAGCAACGAGACAATTAGTACAGAGCTCTTAATGGGCAAGCAGCGTGTATCGGTATGACCAGTACACGTGTAATTTTCTGAGAAAAATTTTCGTTGCTTGTCGCAGTCAGTTAATCCGCGGATTCCCTCCATCTAACTGTCAACCAAACGCAGAGAGAAGTCGTACCTCGTGCTCTCTTTGTAATTCTTTCCCCAGTGCTCTTGCGTCTTTGAATCGACGTATTTCCGAGTGGGCCAAAGAAGTTGCCCTTTGGTGATAATAATTTTGAGTGATGTTAAGTCATTGACAAGTCCATCTAATGTTCAGAGTCATTGTGCGTCGAAATCTAAGCAACGTCACCTTACTGCCGATCAATTCGATAACGACTAACGTTGACTTCCAGGTACTTTTCTCCACTACCTTCGTGAATTGAGCTTTTTTCTCTTTTTTTCTCTCACATGCTTGCTTTTTCCATCTTTTAATATTCTCAACAGCCCCAGCTACTTTGCACCAATTGGTCTTACATCCATGATAATGTTATTTTTTGTTAGAAAAAAATCGTTTGAGTAAGATGTTCATTGAGATATGTATTATTATTTTATAAATGGATGCATTCAAAATATAACGGCAGCCGATGCTCAAATATTGATTTTTTGAATAGATGTGAAAATAAGTTACAGAATCAGTTGTCTTGAAATCAAAAACGTTTAATTTTTAATTCAAAAGTAATATCAATAGAATTGATTAAAAATTGTAAAAGAAAAAAAGGGACATATGACTTACGTAATAGATTTAGGGAGTATAACATTGATACGAATTTCTAAGCTTTTCACTCCTAAATGTGTGAAGCTTAAGAATGAACTATTCAATGAAATAATTATGCAATTAGACATGTTTACGCAAATATAATTACATTAAATAAAAAAATTCTTTAATCAAAATCCCTTTCAGGATAAATTTATATTCACGATCAATAAATCTACTGTACCGACCTTACTATAAAAGCAGATCCCTCACTTCGTGGTTTTGGATAAGTTTTCGATACATGGTTCACAGAATTAGATTGATACCTAAAAATAGTGAACTTACCTAGCGAGTTTTCAGATTTACAATATTTTTAATCGGTTGCTGCTAAATGCGTTCTTCAGCCCTTAAGAAAAGTGTGCTTTTGCATTGTTTGATCATTTTCAAAATTACATTACTATATCGAATACAGTATTTCAAGTTCTCACGGTTTGTTATTTTCTAAATGTAGAACATTCAAAATTGCAATTGATACTAACACGAAAAAAAGAAAAATAAGTTTAAATTTTTCATCACAATCAATAATCGTTATTTGATGCTCGTTGAAGTATTTTAATCAAAAAATTTGATAGTTTTTCAAATCATTCAACTCGTAAGAGATATTCCCTGCATCATAAGTTGTTTCTTGAAATAAAAAAAACTTAAGACGGTTGTTTATGTAAATGTATCAAATAAAAAATTTTCTGTACGTTCGAGGAATACAATACGTCGTCGGTCGCGTGGTTTTGGGCAGCGGGTCGCGTCATACACAACCGCTTGACAATGTAAAACTAGAAGTTGGGAGAACTGCAAGGTAAAGTGAGCACGTAACTAACATTAATGTTCGTTACTCGGTTTTCCCTCGCCAACGCTTACGCCTAGCAGAAGAAGAATACAGCAGAAAAGCACGTGCTCAGCTAGTTTGCGTATACTTTATATCTCGACTATTATAATCGACTTATTGCTTTTCTATAGCTTTAGCCTACCCGATCGCATAACCATAAGCTACAACACGGCTATGGGATACTCTGACGATTTATTGCCGCTCGAAATACGAAACGGGTATAAAACTTTGCTTCGGTATTATTTGAATAATAATAATTCTGATGATACGAATTAACTCAAACTATTTAGTTTTAATGTTTAATTCCACTATGAATTATGTGAAACTTTATTTATGCATTGATATATTTGAAAATTTATTAAATTTGCTCAATTCTGTTAATGTTATAATAAATATCTCAAATAATTTTACTTAACCCTTTTTATTGTATTTATTTATGATTGCTCTGTAACTACTGTTGGTTCAATGAGTCTAATAATGATACATTATCATATGCGTAAATGAGTAATTGAAAATAGTGCTTTATTCATAATTAAAGTATACAATAAGGCTGACCGTAGATAATTTTCACTACTTAACAATCTCTAACAATTTGTTCATGTGAATAAATTATCAATGATCATTAAAGTTTGATTATGAAGCAACTAAACAATTGAAAAAAACTCACAAACTGGACACTTGTATTGGTTCATCAACACTTATTAGAAATGAAAATAACTTTTTATTTTTTGTCAATATTCGATTAAAATAAACAACTTTTCTCTTGTATGAAAGTTGTGCGTTTAAAAATAACGTTTAACAAAACTCGAATGACGAGCATGATTTTTTCCCCATAAAAATTGTTATATTCAAGCGTAACTGAATGTTATAAGATGAAATCAGAATTTATATGTATTTTCTCGGGTTTATCCTTAAACCTCGAGGGTATGTCACATTTGAATCCTATCAAACATGAACTTATTCATAAGCAGACGTTACTTTTACAAAAAATAAAAGATGTATAAGAACAAACTAAAGTTTAACATTATTTGACTCACATATATTGTCAAAATAATTTTCACGAGTAATAAAAATTATAATTGTCGGCCTATAAAAATATTCTAAACAGATTTATTCAAGTGATTCAATGAAGACACATTAAGAATGAAGCTTTCAAATCGTTTTTTCATCTTTAAAATAACCTTTTTGTGATGATTATTATTATTCAAACTCGATTACAAAATTGATTCCAAAATATCTTCTTATGAATAGTTTATTGTTCAAAGGTTTGGCAGTACAATAATTTAATTTTTTACCTCCAATCGATACCTCGTACCTGTAAACATATCCATTTTATGAAATTATTTATACTTATTGGATTGTACAAGATACGAGTATTATTTTAGAAACCCTCTTAAAATTTTAATGTAAAATCATTTTTGAATAGTTTAAATATAAAAAATAAGTTTCCGAGGTATAAAAGAAAATTATTAAAAAATAAACAAAAGGTGCGTATCTTAACTTAATGTTGAATTCTCTCAATTTTTATTAGTTTCCACAAATACATTTTAAGATTACATAAATCCATAAAGAATACAAGAAATTTTTTGCATTTGTTTTATATAGCTATTAACAGTAACAATAATTATCGTTAGACGTTGAAACAAAAAATAATTAGAAAAATAATAAATTCAGCAATATTTTTTGCACTGTCGCAACGTACGTCAAGAAAAGTTAGTAGCTGGCAGGTAGTAAAATTTGCCACACGTTCCCTTTCTTGCGCTGCAGCGAGCAACATATATCGCACATATTTTCAAACTTTCGTAAAAAAAACCTGTAGCATAAAGTATCTTATGAAGATATTTATATAGATGGATAACCCTTGTTTGTTGTAAAAAGAAGTAAAATATGATCCATTTATTCATCACGAATGTATGAAATAAAATAATGAGAAAACGGAAGGAAAAAAGAGAGGAAAGAAGGCAGAGGGTAGGGAGGATAAGCGCGTACCAAACATTGAACCGGGAGCGAGGAGTGAAAAGGTTTCAGGGGCGGGGGCGCACTTGCAGATTGGTCTCTTGCGTGCGGAACGTCAGTAGCGTCGCGGCGCTTCAGCTACATGGTCGGGCTTGTAAAACTGAGGCCGTCAAATTAGCTTATCGAGATACCGATCACAATTACACTCGGCGCGGCAAATGCGTCTTATCGTTGTACCAATTCATGCGATTTTCTGGACAAAATTTCCGTAATAAAATATTAGTTAAACAAAAAAAAAGCTTTTGGCCTATTTTACGAAGAATATTCAAATCGAGTTCAAGCTTCTGAAAACATGTTCATGAACGAAGATATTATTACCCAGTGAAGATTTACAAGTTTGCATGGTTCGCCATGGGACATTAGAATCGAAAGTTTGGGAAAAAATTAAATGTAAACAAAACTAGGCAGTTACTATCTTAAAAGAAAACACTGACAATCTGCAGAGGCACGTTGACGTTTGGTTTATTTCTTAAGCAATAAACGCGTGATCTGAGTTACGCGCGTACAGTGGCATCTGGCTAATACCATTTCGATTTCTAGCCACCCGCAGAGTCCGAGCGATGTTCTTGCTTGTCAATTCAGAAAAAGAACGCGTCTATACTCAAAATTCATAAACCATAAAATATGCATTTAGATCTCTTATCAACAGTGGTGTGGTGCAATAACAATTAACTGTTAATATTGATAAACTGTTGTGAACTTGAGTTTGCTTTGGTGGATACTACTAAAAATTAAAGTGACTTTGCTTGGTTATTCATTGAATAAAAAGTGTATAATTCTTCAGATTCTCATATTGAAATCTAATAATTCGTAAGTGCTGTCTTGTTAAATATTTTATTATATCGTCGTCCCACAGCAGGCAAGTGCCATTTTAAACTAAGAGCTAAAAATGATACCTGTCTGCGCGGAGCTGACTGAATAAACCCCTAGAAAGCCTATTTGTATACTTTTTGCTGTATAAAAAAAAAATAATTTTTTGCATATGAAATTCAAATAAAACTTTTCTTGAATATCTGAACATTAATATCCGAAAAATACTGCATTTTGTAGGATATTAAAACGAAGAAACAGTCGACTATAAAAGTCCAATTAATATTATCAAGAAAAATTGTTTTTTCAATATTTTGAACTCTTGACAAATTGGCAAAATATTAATTTACATGAAATGATGTAAAAGTAAAATGCTTTAGGTCGTAATGCCCTTTTTAAATACACATTCCTGTCATAATAATTCTCTCAGTAAGTGCACAGCAGTTTTCAGATTTTTCTTCCATCCAACTTTTCTGCGAAGGGCAGTTGATCAATTCCATTGATCTCTCAGCTTTTCATTATATTAGATTGAATGAAACTTACCATTCGCGAGTTTGAAGTTCAATAGTCAAACAAATTTTCTATAAGGTTTTTGATAATTGAAACTTTTTAAGGAATTTATTTTACTAAAATTCCCATATCAAAATAGCATCACTTACATTAGAACGAAGGGAATTTCTTTAATGTGATCAAAGGCCCATTACAGGGAAATTGATGATTATATAGTTAATGATGTTCAGCGTAACGTAATTTGTTACGCAAATATTCGCATCCGCTCAAAGTCAAACATGTAAAGTACCGAGCAACTTGTTGAAATTAGCTAAACGTTTGTCATTCTGTTTCTCACAACTGAAAATGAAATATTGAAAAACTAGCGCTTGATAAAAACATTTTTTACTTTCACTGTTAAAATAGATAGTAGACAAACATAATGAACAACGGTTTGGTTTTTATTGGCTTTCAAGTGCGAATATTTTTAAGTAATAGTTTCTTTTGCTGAGAAAAATGTAACAAAAAACATTGTTTAAATGAATAGCTGAAACTATAATAGCTGGAAAACGTTTTATAGTAGTAAAATGCAACGAGCAAAAGATGCATGAGGGGGCCTTCAAATGAAAAGCACATTGTTTCTTGGGCCATTCGAGTTACTCGGAACTTGTCCGACTCCAGGCCTAAGTTCTGTTTCAAAGTTGCTCCTTCTAAATGCAAGCTTGGTCTTTGGTCTGAATATTTAGCAGTGGAGATGTTGTCCGCAATCTTCTCTTCCGGCGCAAAACAAGCGCCAAGTGGCTCAGCCATAGAATAAATACCGCCTCTCCATTTGGTTCTTGAGTCTCGGATCGATCGCCAACGTAAAACTTCTCGACTTGTACTGTTCGAGCCCGCAAATATACATTGGATACGTCCTTAATCCTTCATAAAGTGCTGAGAAAAGTAATTCAATTCTCGACTTTAATCTTTTTATCGCTCTCATTAGCGGTTGATTTGTTTCAATACCCAATGCAACGGCTTGTCTTCTTAAGTTTATTATAATTATAAGCTACTTGGACTAAATGCAACTCCATTGAGCATCCACCAAAGGAATGGCAATGGCAAACACGTGACTGTCAACATCGAAGCCCTCGCACGTAAAATAATTCCAATGCAGCTCGAACATCTCTATCACTCAAAGTTTATCGAATAATATCGTATACTTAAGTCCAACTATTGATTGCAGCGTCGTTGCATAATACGCTTTGGTGAATCAAAATCGAATTGAGCTTGCAGTAGTAGGACAAATAAAGGATCGATGAGAAAAATGCCACAAACCAAAGAAAAGAGCGTTAAGCTGTGGAGATTAACCGTATAGAGAAGAAGCAAAAGAAATTACAGCGAATATCTTTAGGGCCTCTACAGCTCACAGGTAGGAATTTATGCTAGTTGTGCATTAGCTCGCTTATGACTTTCACAATAAATGAGCCAGCGCGAAGAATGTCAAACACTGCAAGCTCGAAAATACAGCGTGTTATTTATGCCAAGCAGGTTTCTCTTGGAAAAAATTTCATTAATCTTATGAGATGGCAACGATTTTAAACTTTTTGAATTTCCGACCACTTATCGTACGTTTTGAATGAATCTCAACTTGAAAAACATCGTATTCCTTACAGAAATTCTATTTTTAACAGATCATTTGTTTAAAAGACAGAAAAGCAATAGCAATATTTGAAACTATACAAAGTGCAATAAATTGTCGATTCTTTCACGAGCTCTCTACTTTTCTAATTTTTCATCCATTTGTTAATAGAAAACAAATAATTGAGTCACTTTAATAAACAGAAATTTCATTTTTAACAAAGTAGGGTTGAATGAAAAAGGAGTTAATTTCTTATGAAAAAAATATATACTCAAACGTGACTTGGCCAGAAAAAATTTGAAGCAAAAAAAACGTCAGCCAATCATCCACAGAGTAACTGAAACTTTGAAATTCACGATCGTTATACCTGAACTCTTTTAAAAGTCTTTTCGAGGGAACTTTTTCCATGTTATCCGACTAAGCAGCAATGAATTACCAAAGACTCATAGCCATATTGTTCTGATGATGGAAAAACGACCAGTTTAAGTCATATTATATACCATAATTGAGTTTCAAATTACCTTGTTCTAAAAAATAAAAGCTCGCTTCCTGTATACTTTTTTTCAAACGCTCAACCTGATATTTATAAAGTCAATTAATTTAAATTTTCGTGCCCAGGAAGATTTTTTTAGTAAGACGTGAAGTTCTTTATAAATTCGTACACGTATAATTTGAAAAATGAATAAATCGCATGCTATTTAATCACATCGTTTAAAGATGATTAAGAAAATCTGTACGAGTATGTTATTGAAAAAAGAGAAAAAAAACGTTGATGGTTATATGTGTCGGGATCATAAATTCGAACGATCATATAACTGTGTGTCCCTTTTGTTATGTTCGCAGGATCATATAGCAGCGGGCAAAGCTTGCAGCGCAGTATAACAGTAGCATCATGGCTCGTTAACTGAAAAAAGTAGCTCGAGCTCACGATAAAGATATACAAGAGAGTGACGCGTAGACCGAGGCCGCAACGGCGCAGCGCAGCTTTGGCTGAAAGAAGTCCGGTATAAAGTAACTACATAACGACGACTACGACGACTATTACGAGCTAGTCGGAGAAGTAACAGCGGTGGCAGCAACAACAACGGCGGCATCGCAGCAACAGCGGCGGGGACAGTAGCAGGCGGCCACGTCAATCTCGGCGCGCCGTTATACGACGAGGACCGGAGCGAAAAAACGACCAGCGGCGCATGCGGAAAGACAATATTCCATCCCAGTCTCGCTGTAGCCCATCGTATACACACGGCAACGTGACGCTCCTGCTGTTGCTGCTGCTGCTGCTGCTGGACAATCATTAAGCACGTGCGTCCTCGACGCGCAATAAACTGCCCGCCCGACGCTGACGCGAACGACGCGACTCGTCGTCCAAGACGCGGGGATCGTCTCCCGTCAGCTGGGCCGCTCTCAACACGTTCATTCATGCTTCGCATCGCCAATAAGAATGCGCGAACTTACGTTTCGTTCGGCCAATTAAACTGCGCCCGAGTCTGACAAATAGCCCCGGCTGAAACTCGCAAGTGACGGAAACGCTGCTACTACTACGTATTAACTGGACTTTTGCAAATATCCTTGGGGCTCGTGCGTTAAGGCGAAAGAGAGAGAGAGAGAGAGAGAGAGAGAAAGAGGCATCCAAGAGTAATAGCAGCAGGGCAGCAGTGGCAACTAACGCATAATCGGTCGAGCGTCGGTCGACTTGCCTCACCAGTTCAACTTTCCGACCTTTGCCACGCTCTCCCCAGAGAAGAGCGAAAGAGCAAAAAGACATCTCTCGAGGCACACGTCTCGGGAGCGAGATATCTCTTTCTTCGTCCTTACAGCTGGAATCTCGTGGCGAGCACGAGAAGCCCACATTTTCTTCTTGTATGCGCTTCGCCCCCTAGTGCACTGTTTCTCCAATATCTACTCCCAATCTTCTTTTCTACCCGCTGCTGGTTTTCTTTTTTGTTTTGCAAATTTTCAATTTTATAATATTCTACGTTCCTAGGGGGTATCGATAAATAAAATCAGGATATCTGTTCGTGTATCAGAATTACTGCGATTTACTCGCACAGAAGGCTTGTGCAATTTTTTTTCGCATACAAGAATTTACTCATTAAATCGTTAGGCCAACTTTTTTTATTCCGTTAATTAAAACTATCGTTATTGTCAAACGGGCTTTTTCAAAAAGAAAAAAAAACAATTTAAACTAGAAATGGCCGATCGGTATAATTGCCGTGGAAAATAATGATAAGACAACATGGAATAGAACACAGGGCTACAAAATTGGAGTATCTTTAAAATCGCTTTGTGAGGGAGAAAAAATCGACGTATTTTTTGAACCTCACTATAGAGTCGATATTGACAGGTGGGATTGGTTTATTGATTGTACATACCTCGAAAACGATTAAAAAAGTTACCAAAAAGAAGCATTGGAATTTGAGTAATTGCGCTTGTATTTTTTACCTTTTTTTATCATAAAAATCGATGGGCAACGTTGAGAAGTAACAACTTGTGAGGTTTTTCTTGCTTAAATTTGATGTAAAAATAAAAATAGAAGAAAAGAAGGAATCTTGTTAAAAATGAACATCGTGACATACGAGTAAATAAACATCATAAGAGGCGCGCGGAGTCGAAGCAGTTCTAGTAAAATCAAAGCTCAGAGGGCTCGTCGTCGCGCAGAGATAGAGAGAGAGAGAGAAGCGAAGAAAGAGAGAACATTATGCAAGCCAGCTGAAATATCGACTGCTAGGCTGGAAGATCAAAGCAAATCACATCTGCTCAGACTCGGCGAGCACGCGCTCAACTTACCGGAATAAAAACGCGCGCATACGCGTAGACGCATCAAACTCATCGAAAACACATAAAAGCTGTATAGCCGTCATTTTAGAGAAAAACAAGAAGCGTCCCCGGTTACACGTATAAAAGAGGGGGAAGAGTCTAACATCTCCTCGAGGCTGCCGCAGCTTTTTCCATCGCGATGATACGGTGAATGCGCCGTATACACGGATCTAGCGTAAATCCAGCGAGACAATTACTATGGCGGCAACGAGTATCGATAACGTGCCGCTCGACGATCTGGTGTCGGGCGTCTTGCAAGAGGCCTGCGCCAACGGGACCTCCTCGGGCGGAAACGGCACGCTCTGCTTCGAGGAGAGCTACGTGCCCTACGGCGACCGGCCCGAGACCTACATCGTGCCGTTCGTCTTCGCCTGCATCCTCATCGTCGGGGTCGTCGGCAACGGTGTCCTCATGATCACCATCTGCCGGCACGCCAATATGCGCAACGTTCCCAATACCTACGTCCTCTCGCTGGCCATCGGCGACTTGCTCGTGAGTATTTTCGCCCTATCCACGATGTACATGTGTCTAGTCATTCGCGCGCGTCAATGACAAATAAATCCTGATGATTGCGCGTGAATTGCAAAACTAATGTCGCTACCAAAAGCGAGCTAAATATTGATGCGATGACGCTCGGGCGTCGTTTGATCTCCGGGATAACTTCGTCAAATTCGCGAAAAACGCCATGTATTGGAGTTTGATCCCTTTCCCGCTGCCAAGTTGTATCAAGTGGATGCCGGCACGAGCAGCCGCGTGCCACAAGTAATTGCCTCACTGTCCCGACTCCATATCACCCCGTCTCGCGCGTTCTCGTAATCAAAATGCAGCGAGTGCGAGCGATTTTGCCCAGTGCCAAAGTATCGCAACATGTATGTGGGCTGTATCGCGTCGACTGACATAAAACCAACAAATTATATATATTACTGTAAAATGTATAGTTTTTTTTAAATTCGTAATTTTTTATAAGAGATAGGTTTTCAACATCATTTTTATAGTATTGTATAGGCATAACTTTACACTTACGGATAATAAAGCTTTGATCTCCTGTAGATCTACCCCGACATTGCTTAGAGGACTCAACTTTTCAGAATTTTTATTTTTCATTGTACTTCATACGAGAACGTATACGATGCTGATCCTGTTTTTTGTTACATCAATTAAGGGGAGTCATACATCATACTTATTGTTTTATTTGATTGTTTATACTTTCAAGAGTATTCTGTGAAAATTTCAGCCCAATCAGAGCAAAATTGACGAAAATATTGAACATTTATTTCGACTACTATTTGCCATCTGTGGCATTTCACGTCAATTCATTTTTTTCAGAAAATTCGTTATAAATAAAAAATTTTTTGGAAAAATCGAAATATCTCTACGTCAGTACCTGCTCAAAGGGTTTATAAAGAACTATTTGAATACTTTTTTAGTTACGTTTCTCACCGATTTGAAAAATCTTAATATAATGTTGTATCTTTGAATTGCGATTCCTCGAAATGACATTTTTCAAATCGGTGAGAAAAGTCACTCAAAAAGTAATTAAAATTCCACAAAACTCAGCCCATAAAGGATATTTTTCTGAAGACTTTGACACCTATCAGGGATTCCCACCTGAATAACTCTGATCTAAACCTTGCGCACAGTGCTGAAAAGCTAAAATAGCAATAATGAGCTATTTTTAGATGCAAAGTCCTATTCTGCAACTTTTTTTCACATTTTTTAGGGCGCCAAGATGTCAATTTTATGTTGAAAATGTAGATTGACATTAAACCGTAGTTTATATCACAAAAATGATAAAGAGGAGTGGTGTATGACTCCCCTTAAGAATATTTTAGAAGCTGTTAATAGTAAACCAAAAATATGTTATCGTAAAAATATCGTACACTGTTTTTTGTTACCGTACTCGGAAATTTAATCTCAGATTTTCCAAAAATTTTATTTTTCAACAAGGAGTATCTCAAAATGGCCCTTTTAAGATTTTTAAAATAGAAATACAGCGATAAGAATTTAAAGGCGCAATATTTCAGCCCACACGTCAGCTGACTCGGCATGCAGTACCTCACACAGTGCAGAATCTCACGTTTTTAGACGTTTGTCGCTATATTTTTGTCAGTAAAAATGAAATTTACTCTTTATAAAGTATGAATTTCATTTTAGTCTACTTCAAAAACTTCCAAAATAATGCCTTCGAAATATCTAATGTTGAAAGTTTATTTTTGAAAATTTTCCGCAAGAATAATAACTTTTGAAAAATCTGAACAAACCGTCAAAAAGCTTAGGAAAAAATTCATCGCAAACATACGTCATATATTTTTTACATTACAAGATTGTTCTGGCGAGTTAGAAATTTACCAATTCGCCTAATAATTTCGGATGAACGGGGCTCTACGTAGTACTGGCGCAAAAAGCCTCATATATGTAAAGCAGTCACGCTCTCGAAGCGCGATTCTACGATTCCACGACTCGCGAGTGTACAGACGATGCAAAATCTCGTTACGCAGTATGGTACGACTGCTTATTACAGCTTCTTCCAATTTTACCCTATATTCATGGTCTCGCATGTTAAAACTTACCACTTTCGTTTTCGGAGATGAGGATTCTTTGTTTTTATTATTGGACTAATATGCAAGACCGAAAATGAGGTTTTAGCTTTAGTCTCTTCTGCTTTACAGCGAAGCTAGATCGATACTTTTTTTCTAAAAATATTTTCGTGACTCGCTTGGATGGTTGATACAAAGGATTGCAGTTGCGTAGATTCTCTTGCGTATGACGTCTTTACTGTAAATCATCGATTATTTGCAATTATAAATGTAATTGCATACAGGATAAAAATAGAATATTTCAATGAAGAAGTACATTTTCCGATGACTCATTATTCCATCAAGTTACAGTTACGAAAAAAAGTTTTTCTCGAAGCATCTGATTAATAAGATTTTACAAAAGCAACAAAGGTTAACAACAAGGTTAACCCATTGTACTCGTGAAAATCACATTGCGAAGCTAGAAAATCATCGAATCGTAAAAAAGCTCCCAATGACATTTGCGATTTTCTCTTGCGCAATGACATCTAAAATACATGCTTGTTACTTGCAACACGCTTCGTTAAGATTCATCTCGTGTACGACAACATCGATAAGGCTCTCCCTCACAGACCCATAAATCAATTCAATCAAGTGTACATCCATTGTAATATGTCCATCGTACTACGCGCTTCGTGAGCAGTGAAATTGATATGATAAAGCCTTTATTTGTCCTCGCATGTTACACTAAGCTTAAAAAAAATTAAATCATTCAAGTCAGTTTAAATATCTTTGTGATATTTCAAGATTTTTGATATTGAAAATCTTAAGAAATAATTTACATTGCTTTACACAATTTTCTTAAGAATATTTAAAAAAAAAAAATTAAAAGATCGAAAATTTTGAGGCATTGCTAAGGTTACTTTAAAATATTTCAAAGGCAGAACACGTTGAAAATTACGCGCACCCGAATTTACATCCTAATAATACGAAAATTAGGAATTTCTGGCTTGGAATTTGTAGCTTAAAATGTTGAGCATTTGAGTTTTTATTGAAAAATCTCTTACGTGATTTCTAGATTCAACACAAGCGTAAGAAATATTTTTATTAAGTCGAAAAATATATGTAGTAATATTAAATAATATACGTTTCCAAATACCAACAATGCTAGAGCACCTGTATCTTTGTTTCTCTGAAATTTCGCATTTAATGTATAAAAAATACCCCTTTGAAGTCATATAACGCAGGAAAAATTAAGATAAAACTCTGAACCGTGCAGAAGAAGTAAGTAGCACAATTTTGTAGGTGAAATGGCTTTGACAACAGCACAACATCGAGACAATGGTGTAATTGTAACGTCCGGAGCAATATTAAAATAATGATAAGAATAATAATAATGATAGGTTGACAACCGACATGTACTGCATATAACTACAGGGCGCTCAATAAAGGACGGCCATTGATGATAGCGATGTCACGCAGTGACCTTTACACGCTCTCCGATAACAATTACGAGACGCGTACAAGAGCTATTGATTCGCAGTAAAAATAAATGCAATTATGTGTGTGGGTGCTTGTGTGGCGGAAAAAAATATGTTAAAAAATGTGTCATAGCCACTGGTGTATATGACGTTTCAGGTGATACTGACGTGCGTGCCCTTTACATTTATGGTGTACGTGACAGACTCTTGGCCATTCGGACTGTTGCTGTGCAAGCTCTCTGAATGCGCCAAGGACATTTCCATCGGCGTGTCGGTGTTTACGCTGACGGCCCTCTCGGCCGATCGTTTCTTCGCCATCGTCGATCCAATGCGCAAACTTCACGCCACAGGTGAGCCCGACAGCACCACCTATAACCCTATTTACATATCCGACAGATCTCAGCGATACATGCAAAAACTATACAGCCGACTGACTCGATTATTCACGTGGACCGAATTTATTGCCGCAGGAAAAATTTGCTGCTCTCTCGAGCACGGCCACTTGCTATCGCGATTCCGTATTTTTATGTATATAAGTGTATAATATATGCGATCAAAGTGTCGGGTGAGCTTGCAGAGGCGCGTCCACGAGTGGTCGAACCAGAGCTCAACGACCTAGCTTTTATCTGACAAATAATCAACCCGATGGCTTCATGTAAATGCAAATTGCGAGCGAGTTAAAAAGCGAAGTTTTTTAATACTTTGAAACCTTATATAATTATGAGGTTAATTATAAATCACTACAATGACTTTACTTTAAATTACTCTACTTTTAAACATAAAAATATAATAGGATTATTTACAGGTGGTGGCAGACGAGCGACGAGATTCACAAAAATAGTAGCTTCGTTGATTTGGCTTTTGGCAATATTTTGCGCCACACCCGCCTCATTTTCTTACCTTCGTGCGTTCAGGGTCAACAAGAATGTTACATTTCTGGTGAGAATAGACAATAATAACGAATAACTAATGACAAGTAATGATAAAAATACTAGACAATTTTAAAACATGAAAACCTGAATGAATCTGATGGTAGCAGTAATGAATTTGACTGCAAAAATGATATTTAAAAGTAAAAGTATGTATCCATTGACCGATCGTGTAAAGACTAACTGGCTATTGATTGAAATTTAATTTGTACAGATAAAATGTAAAAATATTCGATTCACGTGTTGTTGTTTGTTTGCCCAGTAAGATTAAATGTCAGTAATAATATTTTTATGGTTAACTTTGTAAACATAATACCAATCAATTAATTGCATGAAAACCAGTATGCAATTATCGTTGCAACAATAGCTATTACACGAGGTAAACAGTCGTTAGAGAAGTAGCATCAGCTATTTATAAAAAACGAAAATAACAGACTCAAATTACTACTTTCGTATCTCTATAACTATATATCGGGCGATCTCAAAAATTGATAACTCGCTGAATTATATTGAATCTATATAAACCTTTCCTTCGTGAACAGACGTGCTACCCGTATCCAGACGAATTCGGACCAGGCTATCCAAGGATCATAGTGATCTGCCGATTATGCATTTTTTACTTCATCCCATTGAGCATTATCGGCGTGTTTTACATATTAATGGCAAGACATCTGCTGCAAAGCACAAGAAATATACCGGGCGAATTACAGGGTCAGGTAAGAACGTCAGCAACGAACTATACATAATTTTCCTTCTCGCTCGAGCGAGTCGTATGGAAATCTACTCGCTTGTTTGTTCATGTGTAATAAGACCTACGTTTTTCCCCCCTCCACCTCGAGATGCCGATGTTTGATATCATTTCATTATCATTCGAATGAATTCGAAGGTTCGCTCTCGGCCGCCGTATCATTCGCGAAAGATTTTATTTCCTGTGCAATTATACTTGGCTCATGTAAATTAATGTCACTATTTTGGGTCACCCGAGCAATTAAGCAAGCCAAGGAAAAACAAGCGAACGCCAATCAAACCTGCTCCGTTACTCGACAGTTATTTTGTGTCACCAGGAATGACAAAAATCACATTTAAATGTAGTCGCAAATAACCGATGTCAAGCAATCCGCGTTGCTATAATAATCGCGTTAATTCCATTTTTTTTCTCGAGCAAAATGTTCTATTAATAGCAGGCGTTATTCGAATTTCACCTCGCGAAAAAAAAACAGAAAAAGTAAAACATAATAAAGTGTAATAAAATAGAAAAGGAAGTGATCCGCATCGCCGTCGAATGCATAAATAGATACATAGTGGGATGTTTTACATCTCCCCCCAGCGATTCAGCCACCGGCAGCGACGCTTCTCCATCCCCTCTGCGCAGCTGAGACCTTCTTGTTCTCTTCTCCCTTGCGTGTAGCCGTATATAGCTGTATATAGCCGCCATATATAGCCAGCTGCGAAGCCGCCTACTCGTTCCTCGTGCTGTTCTCCTTTTACTTCGCGACGCTTTTCCTCGTGCGACTTGGACGCGTGCCAAAAGCGCCTCACAATAGCGCGATAAAAATATGGCTCGCTTATAGTAGCTGCGCGGGGACTCGCTGCCACGCCATCGTCCATATGCATGCGTTTACGGATAACGAAGCGAGTCAACAACGAAACACAAAATATCGCGAAAAAAAAGACTCGAAAAAGGCACACCGAGTGCAGAAGAAAATGGATTTCCTCTCAGACGCTCGCACGTACACTCATGCCCGGGGATTTCCCTTCGTCCCTCCCTTCCATTTTTGCTCATTCCGCGCGACAACTGTTCAACTCTCGAAGGTACTCTCGTATAAAGCGGAGGAAGCCGTGAGATTTCAAACGGTGTAATTAAAAGTTTCGAAAGATCATCGTGCCCCGCGCGTGTCGAGCGCACCAAAACGGGGATGCAAGCGGTTATATCCGTACTCGACTAATTCAAAGTACGCACGGTTTATTAAAGTATTTTCTTAGATATAAAAGTCGTCCGCACTCCGTAGGCCAACACTTTCACCCGGCTTTTGCTCGAGCTTGCGCGAGTTAATTTTACGAATACAAAAAAATAGGTGAATCATGCACAAAAAAAACAAAAGCAAACGAACGCAAATCGAGCCGCAAATGTGCGAAGCGGCTTTGAATGAATTAGCATAAAAAGCGATTGGCGCTGATATTATGTCGACACAGATACGCCAGATAAAGGCGCGCAAGAAAGTGGCAAAGATGGTGATGGCCTTCGTGGCGATATTCGCTATCTGCTTCCTGCCGCAGCACGTCTTCATGATGTGGTTCTACCTGAACCCCAACGCCGAGAGCGAGTACAATGCCTTCTGGCACTCGTTCCGCATACTCGGATTCTGCCTGGCGTTCATGAACAGCTGCATCAACCCGATCGCGCTTTACTGCGTCAGTGGCACCTTCCGCAAGTACTTCAACAGGTAAGTTCAATAATTGATGCGCGCCCGAATGTTTTATGCAAGCCGACGCGTGGGCCGCTCGAGGCACGCACTACCTTTACCTTTGCCTTTACCTTTGCCCGACCGAGCGCCGCATTATTTACTGTCTTTATCCCTCTACCTAATCCAATCTTTCGCTACTTTCGTGCTTCGATACGATGCGTCTTAGCTAGCCTAGCTCTATCTCGACCTTTTTAACGTAATTACTTTTGAACCCTCGAGTCAATGGAAATCGAGATCAATTGCTAATCCATTCCCTCTCTAATTTTTCAAATTAATCAAGAGTCAGTCGAATTTTTTTAAATTCACGAAATTCATAAATAAGTCGAACTTTTCCAACCCAGAAAAGCCAAATTTATTTTCGATTCCATTAAAATTGAAACTGTTATTTTCTATTTTCTCAAGTAGATAAAACCAATTATAGTCAGACAAGTTAATTGTACGATTATTCAGCGACACCAATAACAGTTTAATTTATATAAAATCTTATTCATTAAAAAAATTACTTCAAATTCTTGCCAATCAAATTGATGGACATAATGAATGATTAAATCTTCGCAAGTAATTTATTGTCTCCAAGATTAAATTTATCACATTAAATTGGGTAATGAAATATGCTTTACTATTCATTTATATTTCAGTTCAATGAAGTAATAATTTATTCTTGAACTTTGAATAACCACACTTTGAACGGATCAATCTGATTCAATGTCAGGTAAATATTAAAATCTCTCATACGTGAAAATATATGCAAGCATAAGTGAGAGAGTGAAAATCAAAGTGAAAAAATAAAATCACGACTAAAAGTTATTTATCCCATCAATGTACATAAATTGATTTTCAAAACAAAGTAAATTTAAATATGTTTTCTATAAATAATGTTAAGATACAGATGTACGCTGTTAGCATAGTAAAATACAACCGAATAAATGTTTCAGTCGGGAAATTTTATATTCTGAGAGTGAAAAGTTGGATACAACTCACTCCACCCCTATCGCTCAGACTTTATATATATTTATATAAATACATGTAGACATGACATGCAACGTTGAAATAGTTTTTTCTACGTATACAACGCAGCATATGTATGGGTACTTTTACGCGCGAGAAATAGCTGAAACATACATTGGTGTTATAAAAACGTTTTACGGCTCGACGAGCTAGATCAATTGGAATGGTTTTAACGCTCTAGGCATGAGGGACAGCTTTTCATGCTCGTTAAATCAACCGCGTCGTTATGAAATCACACAAGCTACAAAATGTCCTTTCGATTGCCCCGTTGAAATCTCGTTTGACCCGTTGCGTGATTGCCTTTGACCGCTTTAGAATTTCTTAATTGATTTTTCTTCTCCACACCTGAGCTTTATGTATCGTGATCTCAAAATAATAACTTATACAGCAGTAAATTATAATAACAATGGAATAATGTTAAAAATTGTATCTGTTAACGATACCAATAAAGTGTATAACTGTCAAACTTTATGTACCACTGGATCGACAAAAAAATGAAGTTTATAAGTCAATTGAACCTTCATGCGTTCAAACGGTTGCAAGATTTTATCGGTTTTATTTCCGATTGTCGTTGTCGATAAGTTAAAAATTTTACCCTCAGTTATCACTGGGAAAAGTGCATTTACTTTTGTAAAAATCATTTTTGAAATATTATTGCAGATGATACTTCTTTTTATCTTATTATTTACTTTTAAACATCAATTGAACAATAATATTTAACTCATCCTTTTTTACTTCGATATTTTAAAAAATAAAAGACTAACTTTTTTTGAATCATGCTTCTTAGGGCTTGATAAAAATGATTTCCCCAAGAAACTGATAAGTATTATTTAATTTAATTCAAACTTCTTCGTGTTCGTAGTAATCCAAACTGCACTAATAAATTTGAGAATTCTTAATTGGTTTAAGATAAAACGGCGTCGGATCCTCATTAGTAAATGACTCAGAAGACGCAAATACAGTCAATTTGAGAAATTAGTGTTCAGTTGTGCAAAATTGTTACCACTCAAAAAGGCCATAAATAGATAGAAACAATTTTGAGAAGTCGGATGCAATTTTGCTTCAAAGAAATATCCTTTTTTTTCCTATTAGAATATTAAGGGCTAACAGGGGGCTTAAAGCTATATATTCCTAAAATTGCTGACATATGAAATTTTGTAAACATAGGCTCACAGCAATAATACTGGTGGTCGTTCATACCTTTGAGAACTTGTTTCCATCCCCATATTAAAGATATGTGCTCATGGTGTGGGTAACACTCATGTTAATTTGGTTAATGATCGAAGCAATTTAAATGTCGTAGAATTCCCTGCAAACCGCTGAACGAATTTACTCCAAATTTTATATTACACTTCTTCAGTACATAGATGAGCATGGTCACAACCACTATCTCAGTGATACATACACTATATAGTTTATATCTATCTGAAATGATTCATTTTATACAATTTTATAAGGTTCTCTACACTAAAATAGTGAAATAGCACTTTATAATGCTCCAATCACTTAGATAGTGGTTGCGACCATGCTCATCTATATACTAAAGAAGTGTAACATAAAATTTGGAGTAAATTCGTTCAGCGGTTTGCAGGGAATTCTACGACATTTTAATTGCTTCGATCAGTAACCAAATTAACATGTGTGGTACCCACACCATGATCACATACCTTTAATATGAGGATGGAAACATGTTCTCAAAGGTATGAACGACCACCAGTATTATTGCTGTGAGCCTATGTTTACAAAATTTCATTTGTCAGCAATTTTAGGAATATATAGCTTTAAGCTCCTTGTTAGCCCTTAAGCTGAAATCAATATTTTATTGTAAAATAATTTGTTGAATGCCAAAAAAAAGTTGAAATAATATTTTTTGTCATTAGCTTTAGCTCATACTATTTCAAAACGATCGAATAAGTAAGTCTGAACATCGCATCGACTATTTTCAAATAAAATTTGATACAGAATGAGAAATTGAGAAAAAATATGAAATTCATATTTTTTTATTTGCATGCAAGGCTTGCATAAAACGACCTTACTATTTTGTTGCGTATCGAAGCTTCTGTTTTGTTAGGGCTTTGATAACCTTTTTCATCCGCAGCGTAGAGGATAGCTGAGAATTTCGTTCGTTATTTAAATTCGTTATTTGCAGTATTATTTCAACAAAGTAAAAGCGAAATTTGAAGCCGAAAATGCGACTTGAGAAAATTTTACAGGTACTTGATGTGCTGTTGCTGCTGCGAATCCTTAAACAGACGAGGCTCGATTTCTGGCTCGAATAGGAGAGGTCAAAGTTTCTCGATGACGACGTCAAGGCGTCACACAAGCTCCCGTAGAGGACAACAAAGCGTCATTCAGCTTCAAAACTGGCAAACAAGCGACTTTAGCCACCATCAGCTGCGGGGTGGCCGCTCCAACGTGCTGCCGACGCAAGAGCAGGAGACTACAGTGACTATTTTCCACAATGGCCACGAACAGAAATCTTGAGGTAAGAGAAATTTATTAAAGCTGGATAATGACGAGTTTTCGCTTTTAAAATTATAAGCCTTGACTGCAGTAGTCACGCGGCCTGTATCGAGTCGAGAGCATCAGCTGCAAAGCCAATTAAGATTACGATAATATTATGACTTTGTTAAATGGATGTCTATAGGTATTCGGGCCATCATTTACAAGGGCTAGGAAACGAGATATTGCAATGAAGCAGTCGTGTAGTCTCGGCGTGCTTCGGACGTGAAATATATAATATAAGCTCGCTTCGACGATGTGCAGCCGGTGGCTGATATCACACGCGCACTATAATAATGAACTTCTTGTCAACTAGTACTTTATTATAGCTCTGCCTCTCACGTCTTTACGAGCGGGATTGTTGTCGATACCTATAGTAATAATCCACAAAGCGTTTAATTCAACTTCTGTATCACTTAAAGATCACTCCTCAAAATCAATTAAAATAGTAAAAATATTATAAACTAAGGATTTCTGCATCATTTCAAACATACGTAATAATGCTTTATTCATTAATTAAAATTTGTTGTAAAATTATAGAGATAATTCTTTAAATTTAATATATTCAAACAAAATTTTCTTGAATCATTTAATTTAATTTCCATCATATGTTCTTATAACTAAGTGTTGTACTTTCAGATTTTATCCGATAAAGCTCTAACGAAGATCGAGCGCGCACAAGTTCCCAATGAAATTTTCAAAACGTTGCGATTCTTCCTATAATACGTAATTTTAACAAACACAATTTTCTAATGAAATACTTTATTATGCTTTTGAAACCAATGAACGGAATTTCTGCTGACCACGCAGTATTACGTTGCAGTACAATTCATGAATATTGCATTTACAGTAATAGAATAAAAAGGAACTTACATAAATATAAATATTTTCTCCACTTTCGAATAAGAACTTGAAAATCAATATAATATGATTAGATTTTTATCAAATTTACATCTATCTTTAAAAATACATAAAAACGAGAAAAGTTTTTGCTGTGGTAAAAAATTGAATATTAGATGGGCGTCTTCGCGTGCATTTTTTATAAATCCAACCACTTCTATGCACCATCGCATATCGATAAAATTGTATTATACAGTATTCATCAAGAAACTGTGGACATTCATTAAACTTTCCTACTTACCAAACTAAAATATTATAATAAAACTCGTTTTAAATTACTTGTTACTTATTTCTATTAAGGAGATATGAAAGTCGGGATAATTTTTTATAATTTCTAACATATATTTCATATTTTCTAAATGTATAGGAAGTAATGTGTTTGCAATCACTTTAATCCTTTAAGTATATTTTATAATTACGTAAACTCTTTCATTTTTATTATTTTGTGAACAATTGCTTGGCTCGTAGAAAAATGTTCAGTAGAAAACTGATAACATGCATGTAACAGTTTTCACTTTTATGCTATCTTCTGCATTCTCGAAAATTTTTTAAGAATTATTCGTTTTAAATTTTCAGTACCATGAGCTTTACAAACTATCTACAAACTCTAGTTTTAAAATGTTCCTAAAATATAAAAACTGATGACATAGGTATGCGTTAAAGTTTCACAAATTTCTGTAATAAAAATAATTATTATTATGAAATGATTAAGTGTTATGTTAAATAATCAAACATTTAATGACTGATCGAAAATAAAATCTAATATTAAATTGTAATCTGTTTCAAACCATATTTTCTCGAATTCAAACAGTCTATTTTGACGAATCGTCGAACGGGTGTATTTCTAAAGAGCATACATAATTTCGAATACTTAAAACGCTGTCCTTGTCTTTGCAAAGCAGTCGATGGTATTTTGATGTGCATTTTTAGAATTTTTTTATAGAAATTTTATCCAAGTTTTTCGTGACTTAGACGATTCGTGAGTTGTAAGGCTTTTTGAGAACAATTAAGGTGCCATCGAACAAGGAGTTAATTAACATGTTATGCATACACAAACAAGGCTGGATTGTAAATTCCTTTTTTTCAGGCAAAAATAATCTAATGTAAATTTGATTTTTGCAGACGATTTGAAAAAAAATTTTATATACTATAGTATTTTTACTTCAAATTTTTGTTTAAAAATAAACAAAAAAAGGCTGATAGATAGTGTAGAAAATGATGTGACTGGGCCGAATGAATACTGCCAACAGAGTGTACTAGAATGTCTATTACTGCCATGTTATTTCAGTAGATAAACTAAAAAAGTGTTAAATGAACATGTATCCGTAGCTAACCCAGATCTACAAAAAACCCGGAGATATTTTGCCGAGTGCAATCACTTGCGTGACTCTCTCGAAGTTACAGTGACTACATTGTATTCTTACTGATAGCTACGTATATAAACGAACCAGTTTTTATCGCGGTTGTAAAACGCCAGCAGCAGCGTGCGGAAATCACACAATCTCTGTACCGTCGGATATGCGGGAGGACCTAAAGACACATGTCCGCCACAAGAAATTTAAAGCTTTCGCCTAGCTCGTTTAGTCCCATAAATATAAGTGTATGGATGGGTTTTCCAATGCGCCGTCATATCTGTACACCGTATAATCTGTTGCGATAACTCTTCTATGCGATATTACGCTCGGTCGATGAAGGTAAAAGCCGTTGATTTTGTAATAAATTGTCCAACAAAAATATGCGAGTACAAATGAGAGTGAAGAACGCGATAGCAAAATCTATAAATTTATCAGCTTCCGAGATTCGTATCTGGCGTTTGCTGCACTTACAAATGATTTCTCAAATATTTTACTTTAGCCGACACAAAAAATTTGGCTTACACTTTTATTCATGTAAAACTTATAGCAAATTACACTCGCAAGTAACAGTTTCATCAATTAAAAAGTTTTCGTATAGTTGATACGCATAAACGAATGAATAAAAGTAATGAATTTTAAAATTATGTAGGAGCTGCGAATACTATACTGAAGATAAAATTAAACTCAAAATAATCATTAAATAAAACCCTGACTCGTTTTTACTACAAACATTTTTAGTCGGTGTATAATTCATATTGAATTTAATCATAAAAATTTTTAAAGATGAACACGATTTAATGTAAACTTGTTCGTTCACGTTTGTTTCAGACCAAACCTTCCGCAGTGTTCAATGGGTACAACCAAATTCCAAAAACCTCGATCCAATTGACACTTTTACCGAAGAAGATGAAGTAATCACATTTCTCTCCTAACCAGATGATCTTACGGTATTGAAAAATTATCAAGATGGCTAAATAACCAAAGTGAATGTAAATATGAACTAGTACAGGTGCTTAAAAATAATTGTGATCGTTTATAATAACTAGAAATAAGAATAAGAATTATCTATTCGTGGTTAATTTTATTTTGAATGGAGATACCGAAGTTAGTAAAAAATAAAAGTCCCTACCATACTTTGATGTTCATTCACCATAAAGTTCAGAAATAATACTTAAAAATACGTGCTTGAGATTTACATTACTTCGGTATGTCTTTATTCACTGATATTCCAGTGCAATTGTTACATTTTTGATTCTATATACATACAAATATCTTACTGTATACAAAAGAGAAGTTTGAAAGATTATTTCTATATGATGAATGTCTATAAATAAAATGTGTATAAATTAAAATTGTTTCAAAAATTTTTTACAGACTTTATGAAATCGAGCTATAGATGATAAAAATTATTTTCATGTAAATAACCTCACCCTCAATTAAAAATTAATTTAATTTTGCATAGTTTTTATAAATAAATTTATGCTTTTTCCGTTAATATGAGAAAAATTGGTTCTGCATCATGTAGAATGCTCTGTTTCACTCATACATTCTGTAATTTCATGAACCAAGTGAAAAAATGGATAAAAGGAGACATTTTTTCTTAACTTGACGCATGAAAATATAAAATGGTTTCTTGACACATGAAATAAAAATGGTGGGCATATGTATTATTTTGACTTGATTCATAAAATCATCCATTGCATGAACAAGGCAGGGCATTCTACACGACGCAGTGTCAATTTTTTTCTCAATGTATGATCTTGGGCTTATTCAAGTAAATTTTGATCTTCATAGTTCAATAAATTATTAAAATTTAATAACTTTGACCCAAAAAAGATTTAAGGATGCTATAATTACATAATATAAGCTCATGTTTTCAAATTATTTCGAAATATTTTATTTTTTGTTACTTCTTTTATATTTATTACGCATAAAAATATCAAAAGACTCGTAAACAACACTTTATACCATATCTCCGAATACAAACGTATTTAATATTCAAATGATTGGTACACGTAATTCGAGTTCGACTTTTTATAATACATCTATTTCATTCAAAAAAAATTTTCAAAATCATTCACAACTTTAGTAAAATTTCTCTCAATTTCAAGTTACCATTAAGCTATTTATCTATTCAAATAATTATTCAACTGACGTGCTCATTTACGTTTCATTATATTATTAAGCGAATTTGCATGTTGTCGATAAAAATGTTAACATTGTACTAATTCAGGGCATTAATGGGTATATGCAGATTTATGAGGATTCAGTGACGCAGCAACAATTCCAATCCGTGAAACTTTGAATATAAACATCAAAACTTTGAATATTTACATGAAGCCGGGTCTAAAATCAGGCTAAAGGAGGCAGGCTGCACGTATAGAATGTATATAGAGAGTTTGCCTTACTCTTCAATGAAAACTACAAGTTGCAGAGTGAGTGACGAAGGTAATGTACATGTGCACATCTTAGGAGGGCAGTCGATTAAAAGTCTATCCCTGCTATTGCTAAACAATAGCAGTAAAACTCTTGCGAAGCTATTGCGGCTAATCAATTACCTGAAAAGCTCTAACGAAGCATAACGTTATTTCATTATTTGAAAGGACAATTTTGACCTAAAATCAATAATTTTGAAATTTGCGTAGTCGATTAAGCTTCAAATAGTTGAGTATGTACAAAACCGACATAAACGTCAACAAAGACTGAGGCAGAAACAGCCAAGTCTCAATTTAACTTTAAAGTTTTTTTGTGAAATTCCATTGAAGATTTTTAAGTAAAACTTTTCTAGGCGTGTTAGATTAAGTGAGTACGTGGTAAAAAAAACTAATCGTTAGAGGGTCTGAACGGGATAATCAATAGAATATAGACTTCTACAGAAAAAGTCTTAGGTGAGCTGTGATTAGCTTGTGCTTGTGCAATACCAAACTTCTATTAAAACGCTTTGTATTCATGCAATTCCCATCAATATAGTCATATAAACTCGGAGATAAAAAAGATCCAATGCTTATGTTATGAATTAAAATAGAACTTTGGTCCTTTTTACCGTTTTATGGGGTGATGCATTATGTGCTTGACTCGCAAACTTGTTTGTTATGACTCCGGATAATGTAGTAAAATGTCAATGACAATATGAAAATGTTCTGTTTCGTGTCCATTTTCGCTCAACTTGAAATTTAATTTTTATAGGTTTGATACTTACTACAAGTATTTAAATAATGTGTCAGCAATCATACTTTTTTTAGTATTATTTTTCATTTTATATCACTTTTTTCAATGTAAATATAAAAATGAATGTGTCTATTATTGGACGGAACATTTAGTAGATTAGTATCAAGTTATATTGTGTATAAAAATTGATTAATAATTTAATATAGACTCGGCCTTCAGTAAAAATTAATTGAAAAGGAATTCATTCAAGGGTATTGATTAATTTTATGCAAATTGCTTTCTCGAAATATACGAAAGTTATTGGGCAGCAGCTTAATTGAAACTAGCTCTTGCAACGATCTTCGAATCGTACAAGTGTCGATTGCTGTTGAGGAAATGTAATCCTAGCAAATGACGACCAAGGGTTTCTTAGTGAAAGATGCATTTACCTGGCCAGATTTGATAATATTCAGTTGCTTGACAAGTTATAAAAAAAACTGTTGCAATAAATTCGCAGCATTTGCAAATCCAATCTAGATGAACTTTTGCACGTTTACCAAAAGGGTCACTACCGCACACGCCACCGAATTTTACAACTCATTTTGCTTTGAATGCATATGTACTCTTCACATTCCCTTTACATTTATAGTATATGAATAATTTAATAATTTAATCTAGCAGCAGTATTTTAATGAGAAGATAAAAGAACAGTGAAATAAATGCTGTTTCACGTGTATCTAGAAATTATAGCAAAATAAGCCAAGAGAAACATCAATAATAGCAATCAAATGTTTTGGAAAATAGCGATGAAAACATATTCGAACGTATGTCAAAAGTTTGGTTGAAATTGCTGCTGTTAAGTTGGAAAGTCTGTCCAGAGAGACGTCAAGTCGAGTTCATCGACTATTGCATGACACAAGAGAATTATCTGTATATATTCATTCTCGCAGTAGTGTAGCAGCTTGCGGGACGCCACGTAGTTGAATCTTATAATCAAAACTTGGCCCATCGATAGCACCTTTATATTCATGAATGCATGTAAATGTATACATGTAGCGAGCCTCGTATGGATGGCGAGACTTCATTTCAGAAAACTTGGCTATATACACATAGCCACTTGGCGGCGGCGAGGTTTACGGATGAAATCACGACAGAGCCGAGCATGTGCGGTTAGATTGGCATCTGCGTGCAAGAAGCTCATTTTCACCGCATCACGTAGAGGTTTTCAACATTAGCCATTCATCACCCCCGCGGATGCCCGCGCGCGGCACCGTTGATATATTAGAAATTTCTCATTTGCCGAGATAATACCGAGTTCGCGAGGATACGAGCGTCTTGCCGCAATTGTTAATAAACGTATATAATATATGCGCATTGGCCCGCGTCATCGTGCGCAGGATATCGCTTATTTTTAGCTGTACTTGCCAGCATGCTAAACGCGTATGTGAAAAACGAGACAAACAATTTCGATATGTCAAACGCAGAAATCACTGTATTTCCATAAACGTCGATAGTTCCCTCATAGTAAATTACACAATCGGAGCGGGGGTTGTTAATTTTGCACGAGCTTGGCTTTGTTGTCCTCTGCTACAGTAGCACAACTATACATCAAGGTATCTAATTAATAGAAAAATATAAATTTCACTGTTTTTAGTTTTTCAAAATTATCGCTCGGTTGGATTTGTAAAAAAGTTTGAACGTTATAAAAACATCGCGTGATTGTTTTACGCCGAATCGCCGCGAGAATCTGAATAAAATTTTCTTTCAGCCGTTTCGCCGGGTGAGTCGCGTGCACTATCCTGAAATCGCCCGAGATTATTGCATATTTTCTTTTCCGCGTTCATCGGTGATATCGTTCCGCGAGTCTTTGCTTTTAACGCGCAAGGCAAAGCACACGACTGTAGTTTCCATTTAGTTGATCGGGCATCGTAAAAGTGCGGAGGTGCATTATACGAGCTAGTACAAAAGTTTTTTCTTATACGTTCTTTCTCACCCACAAAAATGATCTATGATGTTGCCTTGACACGGTCGGGTTAAAATATTCTCCTGGTGGCACCCACACACACACACACACACACACACACACACACACACACATACACATATTGCAAATATATCTATACGGAGCTTATGTATGTTGCTGTATACGAGCTAGAGTTGTTGGTGAGTATACGTATACAAGCATGAGGGAGTTAATTAAAATCCGACCTAGTATGTAATGCTTGGTACGGCGCGGTCAGTCGCCACCGAGACTTTCATAACTTTTTGTTTATAAGCAGAGCACATTCGCCCAAGCATCGGTAAAAACTAGCGGCTAGCTCAAGCCGCCGAGCTCATTACGAAACGAGGCTTCATAACTGCTTTATGCTACTACTAGCGGCTGTAATAAAATACGAAACACGTGCTCCGACGAATATTCGCATTTCTCGCTGGATATATTTGGCAAGTTTTAAGCCCATCAAAATCACGTCAACGACGCCACGGATAGCGGTACTTATACGGCTGGCCGAGGCTCTTGCATTGTTGATCCGAAAACAAAAATTTCATGGATTAAGCCATGTGAAGCTTTGTGTTATATGTTATATACGTTAAACGCGTTAAGGGGAGCTGAAATAAAGAATCGCGTGCAGCGAGAAATGTGCGAAGTAAATTATTCTCTTTCACTTGCTAATGCGCGTATACGACCTGCAAAGCCTCAAGTGAAAAGCGACAATTTTTTTTGGCCGCGGCTTGAAAAAGTCCTATTTTTGCCTCAAACACCATGAAAAGTAGAGCATTAAATTTCATCAACTTGTTTCATGAAAGCTCATTTTATTAGCCGATTAACGCGAGTGCGTTTTCCGATTTTGTAATTTTTCTTTGTTTTTGTTGATGCATCAACTAGAGTCCTGTATGAATAAATAAGAAAAACTTTACGACAGTCAACATCGAAATGTTGCATTATACGAATTCGAAACGTGGATATGCCGCTGAAAGAAGAAAAAGTACCTTTATCGCGATATTCATAGTTATGGTAAAGAAGATAACGCGGTAAGAAGTACTATTATCACAGTAGTAAAAAGCATCTTGTGACTCGGCGTGTTTTAGTGGCACGGGACTTTTCGAGCCAACGTTTACCCTGACGAACATCTTCTCAGAGTCCCCGAGAGCAAGGTGAACGAGCGAACAATGAAATAAAAAAAGGAGGAAAAAAAGCTCGGTGGATGTAGTAATTCGAGCGAGGCGTGCGGGGCTGCGAGCAAGCTTATTTACTACAAATTATGCACGCTGACTTTTAACGAGACGATGACGATAACAATGACGTTAACGTGGGCCGATGCACCGATGCCGGCGATAATAATAAAGACGACGCTGGACCGGCAATGATATCGAGCTGATCGAGGCATTCCACGCTTCAGAGAACGCGCACCTGACTCCCGTCGGCGGCGGCTGCGGACTTGTTCCGCCCAGCCCCGATAGCCTCCCAATAGATCGAATGAAAAAAATGTTGATCAAGCCCAACAGAGAGTGTCAATCGAGGCGACATAATGCTGAGCTCGCGCAATCCGTTCTTTGTGTCGTCGGGAGGGAGATGGCCAACGATCGTGCCTGCAGTGTGTCGGGGCGCGCTTTGCTCCTTGCACGCAGTAGCAGCAGCAGCAGCAGCAGCTGTGTCAGAGAGGAGCTGTTAACCGTTGGCCGAGTCCAGCGCGCGCACCTATTGTTTCCGAATTTTCTTTCGTTACGCTCTGTACTACGCCGATTGAACGAACTAGCCCCCCGATTGTCGCAGCTCATGCGATTGTAGTTTACTCCCCGTTTCTGCTTCAAGTTTTCTATCGTACCGAAACTCTCCTATAACGAAATGATGCTCCTCCTACGTATCTATTATATACCTACGTATTTAATCATTTTTGCACAGGGAATATATATAGTGTAAATTTGTTTCGACGTGGGTGAACTACGTCAGTTCCTGCGAGCTTCTATATATCAATGCACAACTGTCGGCGCGGACAACGAATAAATAGAACTACATGCGAGCGTCACTGCCGATAGAAATTAAATGCAAATATATCCAGTGTAACGTAACCCGACACTTGGAGAAAAAAAAATTACGATTGCGATCTATTGAAATATTTATTCAGCATTTTAGCAATCGCGTAATCATTTATAAAAACAAATCTCCAAGTCCGTTCGAGCTTGTTTTTCGCTCAGTACGAAAAATAATCCATACATTATTATCCAAACAGAATATTCTTATTTAACATGTTCTTTACTGGTACAAAGAGTTGTAGGCCAATGAAATTTTAATGCCCCGAGAATACATCGGTAACAGTTGAAAACTTTTGATGACCATAAAAATCAAATTTTCTATTTTAATTTTTCGAAAGAATTCGAAAGAAAAATATTTTGAAATGTTAATGCGTAGATAGAAGTTGTAGCTTTTCCGATGTAATCGACAGGAGAAAGAGAGAAAAGCAAAAAGTTTTGATTATTCCGTGAAAACGGCACGGGGACGTGGGTAATTTTTCAAACGTTCTCAAAGTTGGATATCGTAAAGGATGATTTGGCTCGGTACTCGGAGCGAGCAAACGGGACGATTCCAGCGACGAGTGGGAAACACGAAGAGCACAAGAGGAGAAAATTCATCGCGCGCATACGCGTGGGCGGTGTATACGTACGCGTTTATTCGCGTACGAGCACACTCGTCGGTGCAGAAGCGCGAGGGACGCCCGTAGTGTTGGTGTTTGCACTCACATAATGTAATAATACATCGCTCATTACTCGCTCTCGTTTTTGTTGGCTGTTAGCTCGCTTTTCGCGTAGAGTCGTGTAGCGTTTCACGTTGCGCGCGTTTTTAAGCGTAGCGTGTACACGAGCGCGAGAGTAAACGTCGCTGGAATGCCCTTGTGCCTCGCTTGGGCTACGTATGTATACTACGAGGACGTGTGCGCGGAGGGTGTGTGCAAGTAGCGCACGAGAGAGCCTACACACGTAGTATAGTAGTACCATATAGTTGCTCCAAACTTGGCGTCGACGCTCGGCTCTGGCGCGGCACACATGATGCGCGTGGTGTGTGCGAGAGTGCGTCCTTCCTCTTTCTCCATCCTCGCGCGCGCACACCCTCTCGTGCACTTATATGTGTATATAGTCGCGCAGCAGCGTCGTTCGTACAGCATGGAAAAGACTGGAAGAGTACTTTGCCCGCAATATCGCCAGCTTACCTTCTATTGAGTCTCCTAGTCACGCGCCAAAATCCGAGCGCAGCAGCAGCTCCGGCGATATCGAGCATTACCCACGGTGACGTCGCGCGAGCCCTATACCTCGCACCATTAATTCGTCGAGTGGGATCTCGAATTAATGAATTTGCCTCTGTGCTGCTGCTGCAGTATACCACGTACGCGCGCCTCTACGTCCATACCTACATTTGCCATTGAATTCCGACGATTCCTATTTAACTGCTTCTATCTTATTTGACTCAAAAACTCCAATTATTCTCTCGCTCCACCGATCTCTGCCATTTTTTCATTTCTGCTTCTGTTTTGACTTATCGATCCGACTAAAAACTAAGCATTCGCGATGAATTTACTTTCGTTATTTTTACAAACTTAATTACAAAAATGAGATAAAACTATCGATGTGTTGATTAAATAAGTCATTCGACCAATTTAAAATATTTAAAATATATATAACCGAAAATCGTCAGAAAAGGTGGATTGCTTTGTTCAACCAAATAAAAGTTTAATTGATCTCTAGATGTTTTTGTGAAAAGCGCTCAATCAAGCTGATTTATCGATAAAAAAGGATGAGTCGAATTCCCTGTTCCTATCCATTGTATTTCACAGAGGTTTGTCAAGTACTTGATTTCATTTCCAATAATTCGGACGTACAAAACGAAAGGACGACAAAAAGAAAGAAATGTAATTTCATTAAAATCAAGTTATTTCCACGCCAATTCAATGCTTTCTAATGTGTTTAATTGTTCAAATTTATTCAGGTTCACAAAGGCGAGAAAACAATGAAAAAAAACCCAACTAGTTATAAGCTTTTTATTAATAGATTTTTATTACACTTTAATTACCACTTCCAGTAGATCTAGTGTGTGAGTGTGTCAAGTATTTTAATAATCGATGCACATTGCACAGCTTATAATGCATGATTCGACAATGGACTATTTTTTAAGCGATAAAAAGACCGAAACAAAACATTTCGTAACAGGGTCTTGCACAAATATTAAGTTTTCGTTTATTTTTCTATATATATTTATGTATATAATGGTAACGTACAAATGATAATAATTGGATATCTGTAATCTTTCAGTTGGAAAACAGATATTACAATTAGCAGAATTTTTACATTATGGTTTTGCTCCAAGCATTCAATCAAAAACATTCGTTCGTCTCGGAATATAATATTTTTGCCGTAGTCCATGAATTTAATTTTGTTTGTAATTGCATGCAAAACAACGTCGTGTACATATTATGTATAAATTGATTTACGCATATTTTTTTTCTCTGTTATTCATATAGCTATCTATTTATATAATCATGTGAGTGTGTATGTGACATGTGTGGCTGGTGTCGGTGTTGGTGTATGCACAATACCACTTGCTCGTATATATAATATATATTATGTCAGAATGTTTGCGGGTATATTAGTGGTAATATCTTTCACACGATGACCCGAGTATAATATCGCTCGGTGAGAATGATAAAGTTCTGCGCTGTCGGTAGGTGGGTGTAGCTTCATCTTTAGACAACATCGTCGCGTCCTGCAGCGTGTCGCGCAACTCTCAACTCGCTTGGTGCAATAAGCACAGGCAGCTCTCGAGTATACGCGTAGCAGGGCCCAGCGGGACACTGGCTCGTGCACACGGCTGAGCTGGTGCACTGGCGCGCGTGGCAAGAGTTGGCGATTACTTACGCAGCCTTATAATATACTATACTGCAAGCGTGCACACTTATATTCTCTGTCTTTCGCGCGCGCGCGCGCTATAGTCTATAATATTAACCAAATGCAGCGAGGTGGCTGAACCTGCATTTCCCTTACTTCTATTTCACTCCTCCTCGCTCCAACTACTATATATTTTCGCAACTGTTCCCTCAGGTAATCATTGTACATGCAGCATTGCATTTTTGCATAAATGACATGATGCCGCTGCTGCAATCGATAACAAAATAAAACTATACAAGTTAATAATCGTCGGTACGAATATAATCGATCGGTGTACTAAATCCTAAAACAATCAGCAAGCGATACTCGATTAGTTACATTTTCATTTACAATGCGCTACTCGAACATTGACTTATTTCCCCACGACAAATTATCCTCCTCCTTTCTTCGCGAATATAAGCTCTGGTGAGCTACTAAATTGCGTATGTGTCTTTTTATTTAATAATACAAATTATTAAATACTCTTCGAAAACAATAGTTATGATGATCGCCCGATAACAATAATCATAGGAATATTTATAATATCATTGTCAATATCAACTTTAAAATTAATCGTAATTATATTATTCATATAACTTTGCGCCACATATATCAAAGTTTTACATTTAATAATCACTGATGCTCGTGCTCTCGCCCACTTTGCTAAAAAAAACGAGTTTGCTCACTTCTTTACTCGTTGATTGTATGATTGCAAGCATTATCAATTTGTGTCGTATACAATCCACAATTCATTTCTGAAATAGAAAGCGGAAGAGGGGTAGTGAACGTTAAAAAAATTTTGACCACAATCATGTAGTCAACAATATGCATTAATAATAGCTCAAATCACACACAATAATTGGGCGAGCAAATTGAAGGCGCTCACGCGCTTGCCAGCTTCATTATAAATAATGAAATACTGCTCCAAAATTTATACCTTTTTTCTCTGTCTTTATTCATCACGTGCTAGGGCTTAAAATTCAAGTATATTGTAGGTCCGATTTACAGCTTCATATTCTTAAATATTGTAACAACATTATTACTATGTCATACGACGTAATAAAAGCACCTGGACTAACTTGTATTCAAAAAACCATAGTCGGTCTGAAGGTGATTTTGAAGCCCAATGTTGCATCAATGTTTCGCATGTAATTCCCATGCGAATTTACAAATCCGGAGACAGTGAGAAAGTAAAAGATCAATAAATAAGATAGAGAGAGAGAGAGAGAAATTCAGAGAGTGAGATACAGTTACAAAGTTACAAGTTAGCGTGAGATCGGATTCGCTGGACACGATTGGCTCGGGTCAATAGCAATTTTTTATATAAAGCGTTTGATCCTTGCACGACGCACCTATCTTCGGGCACTCGACCAATCGAGAAAACGTCAGAAATGAAGGCGGAGACGAAGGAGAAACTGGATCCAGTGGCATCGGTCAAAGTGAGGGAGGCGCGCGGGTTCGCCTGCACGAGCAACAGCGGCGTTGCGCAAAAAGACGTGTACAGCTACTGACGCCTCGACCTCGCACAAGCCGTTCAATCGAAAACGAAGGGAAACCTGAAACTGCACCAGTCCAGCTTTGCATCCAGAACGTTGTGCGACCGGCTCAAGTAGACCCGTGATGCCTTGGTCCAGCAGTCCAACATTTCGGCCAGCGAATCTGCCACTCACTTGGCTTGAGCCTGAGCCTCGGCCGATGACACTGCAGCCGTTGTCTGGGCCATTCCCGATGCCACGACCTTTTCGCTGCTCAGACTGATTGGAATTCCTCCAATGGCTCCCGGCCCCTTGCGTGCCAACTTTGACCTGTGTAAGAGAATTTACATTTCGCGCTTTAGTTTCGCTTTGTTCGCTGTACAGCGACGCCAGACACGAAAACTAGACTATTAAAAAAAATCCATCATAATAAGGTTGCTTCGGGATACCGATATACCTTAGGTAGTAACTTCAAATTTACTTGAAACAAGAGTGGAATATTTCGAATTCTTCCAAGAGAAGAAAAATATTTTCTATACTCGAGGGAAATTCGAAACCCTACTCTGTCTAGTTTTCGCATCGCACGTCCGTATTATTCTCATTTATGCAAATAAAAACAGTGTTCAACGCACCTTATTTGTCCGGCTAAAAGTGGGTTGATGGCGTAGAGCCAATCGTAAACCTCCTTGTCACCGAGAGTTTGCAGGAGGTAACCTCGGTGTTTTGTCACGACGCTATTGCATGCAAAATAAAACGACATGATTCGATTACAGTAATGGATGCGTGAATCAACAAAATTCGCTTAATAGATTAAAAAACTTATTCAACGTTTCTGTTGAAACAAGTACAAGTTGTTATTACCTAAATGTATTAGGTACTTTGACCATGGCCAGCTGATCTTCGGAGTATTCAACTTGGGCGGTGGCCAAATTGATCAAGGCTCTCTCAACTGGATCCTTCTCGTCGCGGAAAATGAAAACGTATGGTCTGCGCACCGACTGCGAAGGCAAAAATCGAAGATTTTGGTCGATATAACGTGAAAAATATCAAGTGTGGCGAATGAATCTACTTACCACCCATCGCTTCTTCCATCCATTTGTTTTATGTTCGAGTACGTTGAGGTAGCCCTTTCGCGCGATCACCGGACTGATGCGAATCTCCTCAACCTCGGGCACGTAGAGCACGAGATTCTCCTTGGATGGGGAGACGGAGCCTAGGGGGCTCGGTGCCACCGAGGAGCCGTGGAAGCACGCGGCCGCCTCTCCGCCGGCTATTATGCTCTCCTGCAGCTCGAGCAGCTTCGTGCGCTCCGGCGACGTCAACCTAAAGATGCACGACTTAGACCTGCTCCTGATTACATGCCCCGACTGCAAGTAACAGCTCTCCTGTATCACCCGAGACGCGTCGAGCTTCGATATGTTCGCTCTTATCTGGCTCTAGCTCTGGTTGTCTCGTCTCTTTTTTACGACGTTTACGATGACATGATATATTGTTATTATGCTACTGCTTGGATAAATGTTTGCTCAAAGTAAGATGCGATGCAGCGAGTTCATCGGTGAACTGGCTCGTGAAATACGACGAAGGACGATGAGAGTGCCTTTTAATGTATGCGAGTCGCTGGTATAAGTGCTCATTGCGTTGGGAAACGTCACGCGTCGTTCGCTTAAGCAAACATTCGATCTTTCTCGAGTCTACGCGCGAGCGACGTAACAGTTCGATATATTCATTGCCTTCCACCCACGCGACACCCCTTTCCCTTCTTCTCCGCGCACCCGCTTTCCTAATATAATGCTCACCTTTCACTGGCATCTAATGAAACATCAACGAATAATGGTCGTATACAAGTAAACGCTTATCAATTTCAAACTGTATCTAATTCCAGTTAATTTATATTGAAAATTCATCGATTTTGATATTGCATTTATAATGAGCCAATTTCCGAGCTTGTCTACGGTTCAATATCAACACGATGAAATCAGATATTTAAGGAAGCTGAAATTGATTTTTCATTTATTTTTGCAGGAAAATGCTGTATTCGTATATTCCATATTATGCAAAATTATATCAATCGCTAATAAATTTATCGACAGCAAGTGAAAAGAGAGTTTTCATCGTTTAAAAATACGTCAATCTGAATCATCTTATTTACGTTATTGAATAAAGTGAAAAATCGTACCTCATTATATTAATGATTTACCTTGAAATGTTCAGTTGAAATAAAATTAGCTAAACTTGTAAGTGAAACTCACATATTAATGGAAATGCATAACGACTTAATACGGATGAACAAGCTCGTACGATACTCATGAAGAGGAAGAGACAACGGCTACTTGGCGTTTCAGGCAATACGAGGAAAAAAGTTACCTGCTTTTTGCGATCGCATAAACGTGTGTATACTGACTCTTGGGAGGACGAAGAGACGACAGAGGATACCATAGACGCCGTTATATCGCCGAGGGTATCGTCACCCGGTGATACGTCCGACATAACGATCGGCTCCTTGCTCGGTATTCTGCCTTGAATCAGTTTGACGTACTTGGTCGCTATTTCGCGCTCGCGCTCAGTCATCTCCCATGGTTCGTAAACGTCCTTGCTGACTGTTTTCTTCAAATGAACCGGACTTGCGTGCGACTCGTTGGTCGCCTTAGCCACCATGTTGCATACCTCCTAGAATTTAATCATACCAATTAATTTTTCCTTTTTTTGTTACCAATTGATCAAATCAAATGCGAAAGCTCTCTACCTTTTCACTCTTGGTGAAATCATGGGTAGCTTTATTGCAGAAAACGTTTTTGTCAATGCCGAGTTTTTCACGCAACAACAAAGTGTGCCGAACACGTTCGACTTCCTCGAGTCTTGTGAGTTTTTCGAGTTCCCACTGATGATCGAAGATAAGACTGTCGCCGCGTGGTCGCCATCCATCCAAATTCTCTTCGCCTCTGACGTAAGTTGAGCTGGTATCGAGCACGCGTCTCTGTCTCCTTTGTACACCGGCTTCGGAAGCCCGACGCAATACAAGCTCGTAAACGCCGCTGAGCCTGTTGGCCTCCTGATTTCGATAGCTGCCGCTGAACAGATGCTTCAGCGAGCGAGGTCCTACTCTAGCGTCTCGACCATAGATTATCATACTGAGGTCCTTGGTGACGATAGCTGGCCTGCCGCAGTTCTCCAGCTTTTGCAAGAAACAGCGATGTCAATAAAATACTGACTAAATGATCTATTCTACGAGAAAAAAACAACATACTTCGAGGTAAGCGGAAATAGTCATGAAAATCTGTTCGCCGTAAGAGGTAACGCGATTGAGTAAGGCGGAGTTGTGAAGCGAGCTGTCCCAAGCAGCCTCGAATCGGTACATGCAACGGTCGTCGCCCGGTAGCTCGAGAACTTCGCCGGGGAAGAGGCCGAGAGACAGAACCGACGAGTCGTTGTCCTCCTCCTCGGGCTCCGGGGTGTTGCGTATGCGGCCAACGACGAGCTCGCGCACGTCCTTCCAGCGCAACTCGCTGGCCTGCTCGTGCACGATGGTGATGCGAATGCGTCGCTGGATGCCTTGGTGGAGCAGGAAGAGGCCGCGACAGGGCAGATCGTCGCTGTGGTCGACCACGCAAGCCACGTACTCGCCGTTCGGGGCCAGTTCGCAGATCTCGAACCAGACGAGCAGGTCGTACTTGGCGTGTACGTGCGAAGTGCTCGGCGACTGCTGCAGCACGCATTGGCCAAATTTGGCCGAGCGCACGGGCTGACTTATTGGAATCGACGGTGGCAGCATCCTCTTTGGCGGCTGGCGTACGCTACGCAATGAACACATCCATCAGTGCACCTACATTCTCCTTCTTTTTTCGCTTGATGAAGTTACTCGGACGAAGCACGAGCACTCCATTAAAAGGTTCCGGAAAATAAAGGGGGCATGCGCGCTATTGTTTTCAAGTTTTTTTTTCACGGCACTCGAACCGTGGAATTTACGTACAAGCGCGTCAGTAACGTACGACAGGCTACCCTTATAACTTCGTTATCGAGTTTTATCAAGGAATGCGTAGGTGCAGGGTATGTGCGTATAGAAAGTTCGCAGTTAAATTTATCACAGTCACTTTTAGCGCTTTTAGTATTTGCAAAGTTACTTTTTTGTCATCCTTCAGAAAAAAACATAATTAAAAAAAACCAACGTGTAAGCTCTTGCACTATCGGCGTTGATACAAAAAATTCTAAATATACCAGGTACGCGGTATGTAAGCCATTTATGGTGAAACTATCTGGAGGTAAAATTACGGGGTATAAATAACTCCATAAAAAAATAACGTGTGCGAAGTGGACGTTTCAAAGTTTAACGAAATTATCGATGAACACTTACTACTCGAGTTTAGCATCTTTGTGCAGAGGATGTTGTTGGTAATGGCCAAAGACCTCAAATACTATAGGCTGCGTTTTTAAGTACTCGATGAATGACTTCGTCACTGTCACCGTTATCTGAACAGACCAATGAATATATTGAGTTTATTGAAATTTTTATCGGTTTATATTATTGCTAAACCCGTGAAAAGTTTTCTGCTTACGTTCTGAACATGGTAAAATCCGGGAGGATTGCCTTTTCCAGTATTCTTGACAGGCTCTGTTGAGAAAGCTTCGTCATGTCTGTGCAAGAAGCTGTAAATCACGAAATACAACATTTCAGATATTTTAATGTACTTTATGAATGTATAATATGATTTATGTTATTTGTACACAGCAATATAAAAAAAACTTTCAGCATAAAAAAACGAGAAATACATATTTATAAATCATTGCTCGGTACATTTAATTATAAAAAATAAACCTTTTCAAATGTTTTTTTATTTCTTACTTTTTTTACTTTTTCAAACCTCGATAAAAGTAGATTTGTGAATTATACGTTAGAATATATCTAGTAATTTTATATATTGAAAAGTATCTTACTTAAATTGACAGAAGATGTCCGCATACTCGGTGGCAATGCCCATGGCCTGCAACACAGTCACACGGAAAGTAAATTCTTGACCGGGTTGCAGGTGTTCTGGTAATTCGTCCTCCTTCATATCGCTCGATACTGAACTGTCGCCCCGGCCACTGTCTGCATCACCAACCTCCTCATCCTCTTTCAATTCCTTTGTTTCGCGTATAACTTCTCCTTTGATATTTGTTTCTTTATTTTCTTGATTTTGCTGTCCCTCTACCACTCGATCATCTTGGGACACTATTTGTGCTTGTTGCTGGTTCTTATCAAGAGTCTGAGCCAGAAGAGTGTTGCGTCGATTTCGCCGTTGCGTTCCAAATAAGTCGTCGTCGAACGAGATGCGAGCAGATTGACGTACTCCACTTGAGTATTCACTGTTTTCCTCTTCTAGGACATTGCACTCATAAGTATTTTTTGAAAAGCCATTTGGCTACTAGCAATAATTAACTAATTTGTCTTTTTTTAATTCATTTTTTTCCAGTATTCATTTTTAAAAATTAATATACCACGTATTTCAATTTTTAAAAACTAGATTTTAATTACAATCTAAAACAAATTTTTTTATTGCATATGGAAAAATTACGTACCAACAACAGCTTGTACAGCCACTCTAAGATAACCTTTGACATCTCCTTTTTCGTTAACGATAGCTATTTTGTGAATCAATGGTGTTGGGTAAAGAAGATTACTCAAATATACAAATGATCTGGAAATTTAACATCCATTGTTATCGTTGAAACTTTTGAAGGTAAAATCTGTTTTTTGACAACTTAATCGTACCTGCCAACCATGCGGAACCATGGGAAGCGATCATAGAAAGGATCTCCACCGGTAATACTTTCAATGTTATAATCAGGTGACGTAGGGGATAATTCAGCTTCGTTGTGATACATCTCTCTCATTAATTCCAGTCTTTGCCTATATGAATAAATTATACGGCATTTAATTGCTAATATCTTATAAGATCAAAAAATCGAAGCCATTTCCAGTCATGCTGTACTTTTTAGACATGTTTTTTTTAACAAAAAGCAACGAGTGTTAATCACCGAGCTAGAATTTCATGTATTATACGTATAACTTTGAGGTCTATACCAATTTAAATAAAGTGATCCCTATAAGACATAATCATTACACGTGAATGGTTTGATCGTAATAGTATCTGAATGGCACTGAGCATATTTTCTTTGATGTGGTAAACTAAATTAATCTTTGGCGAATAAGTGAAACTTTTATACCAAAACACACATTTCAACATTGTTGATAATTGCACAAATGATAAAATATAATTGTGAAATGGAAAAAATATCCGAGCAGACCCAGCAGATCATTTGATGAGCCCGTTATATGATAAATTCATGCAATGAATGTATGATCTGAAAAGCTTATTAGAGATGGAGTTGTGTGTAAATAATATTGAAAAGAAAACTTTTCTCGCTGCGGAATTTTAGAGAAAAACTTTAAAAATGGACAGCAAGAAGCAATAACAACAGCACAAGAAATGTGAGGAATAATTGGAGAAAATGCGCGTCGTCACAGAGACTCGTCGTGCGCGCGTACCGAGCACCAACCTCGAAGGTAAGAGATATGATAGCGATAGCTTCGATTGAACAACGTCCTCAAACACCTCCGGGGGACTCACATCAGAATCACCATTGTACACGTGTCGCATCAACTCCAAACGCTGTCTAAAAAGCCAATAATTATTCTTAATTAAAATCAAATTCGCAACACTTCTATATCTTCATACAGTCATATGCAATTCGTGCACCAAGGAATTCTTTATCGCGTGAAGTATCGTAATAATTATCACTCATAAAAATTCTAGTCGTTTTTCTTTAAAAATCAATCGAAATCGCACAACGAGTCTTACTGTTGTCACGTATTAACTGCACGTGCGACAAATGTTAAGGTCCGTCATGTGAGCTTGTATGGAATGTTTCAGTGTCGGGTCTCAAAATAGTATAAGTGAACAGAAATCAACAGCTTAGAAAGTTGAAAATATTGCAAATGTTTGTACCTCAGTTTATCCAAGGTCCAGTAATGCGTAGCTCCATTTTTTAAGTCTTGCACTTCAACAGCAACAATGGTCCGAGGAAATGGCCGTTCTTCTTCTTCATCGTCCTCCACAGGAAGAAGATCAGGAGGTAGCGGCGAATATAAAGTATCAGTAAGTAGAGTAAATTGGAATTGCACCTGTAAAAAAGAAAAAATTGAGCAACGGTAATTTTAAAAGTGAGAATTGATGTATTAATCGATTTTCCTAAACCTTACCTTCTTCTTTAATTCAACCGAAATGGCATTGGCCTCTTTAAGGAATATGGCGTTACCCCAAAGATCATCTCTAAGACTGGTGAACTGATGATACTTCCATTTACGAAAAGCCCAATTAGCCAATTGAAACTCTCGCTCGCCCCAGTTGCTCTCTGCGTCAAATAATGGGTTGACTGAAATGTAACAATCACCGAGCGAAACAGTCAGATAAGCCAAGCAAAAATCTACAAAGTACTCTAAATCGCGAGTGGTACTCGTTTTGGCTAATTTTGATTAAAAAAAAAGAAGACGTAAATTTGCAATAGTGCAATGTATTAGTATAAGTGTCTTTGTTCAAATATTCATTTTTTGATGAATGAATGAGATTTGTATTTTAATTAAATTGTTTTTAAATGTTATAAGTGATAAAAGTCAGCAATAATTGCTATACAGAGTATAAAAAAACAGTTTTATATTGAAAAATTAAAAAAGCTGCAAAAGACATTTGATTGTCAATATTTTGCTCATGCAAATAAGAGTGTAAATATTATTTCAATTATCATGGTGATCGTTCGTTAATATTCAGGCCCAAGCGAAAAAATCAATGATTATCACAAATGCTAAAGTAGTATGAATGACTACATGAAAAAATAAGTTCTACCAAAGATATCTTCTTCAATATTGTTGAAGTCTTCAGGTGTGTAACTGCTGTACATTGACATCGTCATGCTTTGTTCCTCGACTTGCTTTTGTAGTGCGTCTATTCGAGCTTCGTAATTCTAGAAACAAACGCCATGATAAGTATAAAGATAATAAAATATTAGAAATCATAAGCTTAGGTTCATTCGTACTTTTCTCTGTTCTTCGAACAGTTGGTCGGCTTCTTCCTTTTCTTTGCGGAACTGCTCCTCCAGAACATAAAGACGTTTCTCCATCTCCGCTTTCAGATCTATGCCCTGTTTCTCCAGCAGCTCGATTTGAGCGAAGTTCCAGTCGACGTTCTCTCCACTGCCTGGAGTCTCGGCTGGAGAGCTCTTCTCTCGACGTTCGCGAACTATTGAATAATTAAACATTATCATTCTAACCGTGCGATTGTTTTCTATGTTTAAAAGACGAAATAAAATTCCACGCATTTTTACATTTTTTAAATATTTTTAGCATAAAATTGAGGCCGTGTCTGTTTAATTCGTTAAAGTATTTTTAGTGAGCTTGAACATGTATACCAAAACTATATCTGCTTCCAATAATTTTCTGTGAATCTACTGCAAATCTGCATGTACATATGCATGAATTTATACATATACACACCAAGATTGCATCTGAAAGCTTAAAAATTAGGATAGGAGACAAGAGAGATAGTTGGACTTTCTTTGTTAATACGAACTTGAGCTCTTAAGCCTATTGATATAACGTTTACAGTCCATGACTGGAAAATTGTGCAATCATACTCAATGTGCAAATTTTTCACGCAACAACAAAAAAGTGCGACCTACAAGAGCTTTAAAGCTCTCTTTTTTGCGTAAATAAAATAAGAGAGCTTAGAAAAGTAATAAAAACAATACTCAATTAATTCAAACAAGAGAAGTTAAGCACAAACAAGAAAATAATTAATTTAAGGAATAAATTTTCATGAAATCACAATTTTTATAAACTGTACAACAAAACCTCAATCGTTTTCGCAGAAATTGATGTGTACCATTGTAAAAAACAACTGGAAGTTATTCTGATTGCAAATCCGAGCTAGCGTAAAGTGTCAGGGCTGAGAACACGAGATAACGAGGAGTGAACCATGTTGAATCTATGGGCGTTTCGCGGGTCTTTTATCGCCTCCAGAACGACGAACATCTTTGGACGGGGTATCTGCTATACGAAATTTAGAAGCACAACAATTGTCAGCAAAAAAAAAAACACCAAAAAACAGTAAACTAAAAAAAATTTAAAACGTGACTTCGAATTCGAAAATTTCAGCACGAATCGAATCAACAAAAGCTTTACAATGAAACCAGAAAAAATTGATTGGAAGTTCGTCAAGTCGTTCGGAAGTCTTGGCATATAAATTTTAACACTATATATATCACATAAATAGCTAGGCATCGAATATTTTTATAAAATTGTTTAGTGAATCGTTTTCTGATAATACGTGTGTGTAAGACTTCAATGTGAATGCTATATCTGATCTTATTTCAACCTAACGCAACCGGAATCGAAGTGTTAGTTCCGAACAAAAAAGTACACGTTAATGAAGTCGTTTGGATAATAACAAACCTTGATCGGGATGGTTGAATCTGAATACGTGGTTCTTGCCGAGAATGACTCGAGAGCCGGTCTTGAGAAGAAGTGGCTCCGTCACTGCGCGCCCGTTGACGTAAATCAGTGCGCCCTTCTTTGGTATCAGGGTTATTACCCCCTCGTGATTTTCGAAGACGCAATGTTCGCTTAGAATGTGCGGACCTGACAGCTGTATATCTTGGGGAATATTGGCCTCGGCGCTGCCGATTCGCGTGAAGCCGTCCTTTATGTAGTAAATCAGGCACTCCGACATCAGAGGATCCTCGTTCAGATTGACCAAGTGCGGCGTCTTCTTCGGTGAAAACACGCCTACGGTTACGCCGTCTTCCTTCACGGCCACTCCCATTTCGGCGAACACGGCTTCTCGTTGAACCCGGATCGCTTCGGTTCGTTTCAACTTTTCCTCCCACGTTTCGTTTAACTCTGCAATTGAGAATCGACAATTCATTTTTGCTCCTATTTACTTTCAACCAAAGTCATTTCTCCTGTCACGCACCGGCTATTAGCTTTTCCGAGGCCTGAAGTTGTTCTACGGCCTCTTCGGCCAAGGTTGACGTTCCGTGAGAAGGGAGTCGCTGGCGCGATGGTTCCTTTTGATCGTCTTCTCGTTTCGTGTTCGCATTCCTTATAAAACACGTTATGTCTCCTGCAAAAGAAAAGTAAATTATTAGAATCGAGCACATTTCGTGTCATCACCCCCTACGGAGTAGACAAATCTGTGTAGAAGCTCTTAAAATAATCAGCTATCATTCAATCTCTTATATCTTCATTGAAAGCAAAATGAAACCATCATAAAGATATTTTAATTTGAAACAAACTTGTGATCAGAACGCTTAACTTGGACGTGTTTGTGTTCATAATTCTTCAAAAATGCTACTAATTCTACAAATTCCTCAACCGTTTATTTTCAAGTTAAATTACTGGTAAAAAATTCAAAAAATGAAAAAGTGTAGACACGCCGAGCCTTGATTTAGATTTTGCTAAAATTTATTTCAAGACGAGGTGGAAAAATAATTTTTATCAACAACTTAATTTTGTCAAAAAACTTGTAACGAATGCACACACACACAAAAATAATCATTAGTCATGTGATAACACATCTGATTAAAAAAACTTTTGGACCTTATAAACCGTCGGAACAAAATTAAACCACGATTATTCTTAATTTATGTCAAACACGTGACTTAAATCTACATCACTCAATGGATAAAATAGAATATTTTCAGAATTGTGCCGTCTGAGAATTTTTAACTTTTTTCAAATCACAGTTGATTTTTAATTGTAGTGGCGTAGTTGTGGTAATATAAAAAGACAAAATCTTGAACATCAAAATAACAAGCCGTAAAGTAAGCAAGTAAAAAAATGCAAATCGGCTACTCAAATGTCACGATTCTTTGATTTACTTACTAGACTCATTTTTTTCGTACATTATTCTACCATCTGGGCCTACGCAGTAGCAGGAGACAAAAAAGAATTTTAATTACGTGCCTATTTTTATACTCGCAATTTCTTTAATAAATAAATGACAAAACAATAAATGCTCATAAATTTCGAGTTTTTATCGACATTGATGATCGAAGAGGTCAATTTTTCCTTCGTTTATAATTGTAGACAGATAATTCAAGAAAAAAATTTTTTTCGATCATTAGCATCAATTTAAACTTGACACATATGAACGTAATCAAAGACATTCTGGTTAGACACCGATTATTATGGTTTTTATGGATATAGGTTATATTTTTATGGATATGGTTTTTATGAGTAAAAACACCGTAATAAGTGTGTTGTAATCGATGTACATTACCTTCTTGGTAATCGATTCCCTCTTGCTTTAAAAGCTCCCGTAGTTTTTGAATTTCCTCTTTAAGCTCTCGGATGATCTTAGCATTGGCATCTTCGTTAACCACAGCCTTGCAAACTATCTGTTTGGCTCTATCCGCATATCTGAGAAAACAATGCACTTATATGGGATTTCATTGTAGAGGATAACATTTTAATGAATACAATGAACTTACCGTAACGTTGAAAGGGTTTCGTCGTAATTTATATCTGCAGGACTAATAGCTGCTATCATAGCTGTTTTAGAATTTCCGCCAAGGTTTTCTCGCAACAACCACGTCAGTACAGAATCTCGATAAGGAATGAAATCGGCCTTCTTTTTCTTTTTGTCTTTTGAAGCCTAGAAAACGTATTCAATTGAGATAATAACGTACAGAATTATCATAAAAATGTAAAGACTCGACAACATAAAATCTATGACTTACCGCCTTTCAATCGAAACATATGTTGCAGTGCGGAAAATAGCAAATAAAAGAAAAAAAAATCAACATTATTTATATTCATTTGAAATGATAATTCTGGCTTACAAGAAAAACTTACGATTTCAGCAAGAGCACTTATGACTTTTCCGAGGGTTGTCAAGCTTTTGTTGATGTTAGCACCTTCTTTCAGTCTGGTTCCTTTGGCTCCAGTAGAATCGGCCCGTTCTGAACCAGCCAAATCGACGAGCGAAATTTTGCTGACTTTTTCGGTAGCCAAACCCGTCGAACTGTCTTGTCTATGTTGCGTGAAAAATATCGTAAACACTGCATGTGATCTACTAGATGTCTCGTTCATGTTTGTCGCCGCCACCGTTCTGAAAATTTCAAGAATTCCAAAAAAATGTATAAAATAATCAAAAAATATAAATTATATGATATAGCATATAAATTACCTGGCTTTATTTCCTTCGTCAATAAGATCATGAATATCCTCGTAAGACATAACGGCTAGCTTGGAGAGATCTTCGACATAAGGTCCAAGTAATGGGTGCTCTCGAACTCTTAGATTGCCTTTGTTTTTCGGGTTCAGAAGATCGCGCACGCGCTCGCAATAGATCTCCATGTAACTGACCTCGACGGAGTGTTTCATATCTTCGGCCGAACTATCGCTAATTCGATTAAATAAGTCCTTGCAGATTTGTGGAATGATACCCTCTTGACCCTCTTCCTGCTTCCCCATCATTGTGTACGACTTTCCGGCGCCCGTTTGCCCGTACGCAAATATACAAACGTTGTAACCTAGAAGGAAGGCAGTTAATTATTCTCTTAATTAATTCTTAGATTATTTTACGATAACTACCTTCGAAAGCATGCTCCAACATTTCTTCTCCAATATCTTTATAAACCATAATTTGCGACGAGTAATCGTCGTCATTTGGCTGAAAAAAAATTTCCGTTAACTTAATTTTATTCTTCGTCTGAAAAATGAAAAAACAATTTAGTGCTTTATCATTACTCACATCCATAGAAAAGTAAGAATAATCGTAGTTGAAACTTTTGGTAGCATCTTTTGTCCCAGCTGGTGCTTTAGGGTTTGTTATAGCTATATCGAATAGTGATAATAAGTATTATTTTTATTAAATAACCATTACATTTATAATAATTCGAAATATTATTCTTTAATACTTTTTAGATTTAATTTTTATCAACTCAAGAGTTGAAATTCAACCTTTATAAAAGACGATTATTTTTCATACACAGTGTAATGGCACTCGACTATTTTTTATCAGCAGATGTGAAAAGTCATATAACGAAGATCGAGTACTTCTTTTGTCTACACTATTATACACATCTAAAAAAAGGGTTTATCTGTGCGAACAAAAATGCCCCAATAAAATCATCATAATCTGCTACCAAGAAAGAAAAATAATATTTCCAATCACGCAGTTGAATGTAAACTAAATTGAAAATGAGGTATTTGATGTTCTAAAAAATAAAAATTAAGTTTTGAACTGATAAAAAATAAAAATCAATAGAAGTTAATCGCTGGATTTCCGACTGAGCAATTATGTCTCATCCTCAAGTGCAATGCAAGCGGTGCATTACTTTTCGAGACAGATATGATCGTAAATTCACGCAGCAACGAGTGATTGGTCGATTATGTAGAAACAGAGCAAAAAAACCTTTGAGCGCGTAGGCGAATACGGTGCCCGAGTAGTAACTTTATGCGAGTATATAAAGTGCGCATAACCATGTGCGTATGTGTTGCCCTTTCTCCCGAGACCACCCAGACGTCACAGCGTCGCTATAACGTTTTCCCGTTGTATAAACCATGCATAGATGTTTATGTGCGCGTACCCCGTCACCTCCGCACGCGGACGCATTCCGTATTGCTTGTTTTTATGAATTTTCTGTGCTCTGCGCTCGATCAATGGAGTAAAATTTTTCAGATGTTCGATTGTGAAGCAACGTTGCGCAATGTTTTCCGATAATTCAATGTTGCAGCTTTGCACCCTTTCATTAGTTTATTTCTCGCATGACTTTATGTTAATCCAAAGTTTCTATCTTCTAATCTTCATACATTTTTTTTTAGATAAAGATTAGTTTACCTTCAAATGCTTTTAATATGTCGCAGTCATTAGAAATGCAGAATGGAACGTGTCAAAAAATTGAAAGAAGCTTTTTCTAATTTTAAACTAACAGCTGTTCAGAAACTACAAGGAAGTTCATGCCAATTAGCTAATATAGTTTGAAAAAAACGGACAATGTTTAATAAATCAATTGTTGTTAATATAACATTGGATCGACTTTGAAATTTAACTTATTTTTACGTTCACTTCGTGAATTGTTTTTAATATTTGTGCAAGGATTTACAATTGATTTTTATTCAATTGTTCTCTAATTTCACGCAAACGAAAAATTGAGAGCGATAATTTTTCTAAACGAAAAATTTTTAGGGTAAATAACAATCAAATTGTACAGTATTAAAACGTTAAAAACACACCCCTCTGCACGCGCTGACTGAATAAAACGCATCATTGCTTGAAGGCATTGAGAATTATATAGCTCATAATGTATACATAAACGAATATTATATGACGTAATGTTTCAGAGAGAAGAAGTAAAAATATTCATATATTACAGAAAATAAATTCTATAGCACCTTCAACCCTGCATTCACGTATATGTATGTAATATTGTATCGCAGTAAATATATATAGATATATATATGAAAGTAGTTAAGTATAAACGTGTGTAACATGACTAGTGGTGGCTGACTCACCACTACGGCAGCGACTTATCGATCGGCAACATGGCAGTCGCGAACATCCGCGAAATCATCCGAAAGAAACCGCCTTAGATAAAAATTGAATTCAAAACAATACTGACCATCTCTAACAATTCAACCCTAGATTATAATGAGCTCGACACTTTTACGTAACTAAAAATCGAAAAATCGACTATTTGGACATTTCTATATGTTTATTTTCGAACCATCGAAATTATTATTCAACTCAAATGTTCGATATTTTCTTTAATTTTATAGATGTGTATTTTATTTTATTTTTAGTTCTTTTCGCGTCTTAAAGCTTATTTGCCAACTTAGTGAGTAAACAAGGCAGTAAATATACCGTGGCATTCGACCTTTCAAATAAAGAAACCTATTTCATTATCAGCAGCATTGTATTACAAACTAAACAAAGAAATATCTTATTTCTTTTCTTTTTATTTTTTAAATCATGAAATTTTTCTCTGATGAAAAAATAAAAAGATGATGGCATTAAAATATACTCACATGTGGTTTTGCCAGTCATTTCTATAATGCATTGAGCTTCTCGGGTTATTTCCCTCATATTGAAGGGACGAACCCGCACAGCGACTTTTACCGATGACATCTTGATTAGTTTGAATTATCCTTATGTTTATAGTTGTCTCAAAAATATAAATAATTCGTCTGAAAAAAATAATTCATAATAATGTTCATCAAACTAGCATATGATTTAGTAAAAAGTTTTCGATTGGAAAATTAAATTTTAATTCATATCAATTTTTCTTTATTAAATATACGATTTGAATCAATGGCATATTCACGAAAGACCGAAAATACAAAAAAGTAAAAACTTGTATAACAATTTATTGTATCCATGTTAAATAAAGTGCAATTATTTTAAGGCAAATGTAAGTTATGAACCACCACAAACTATTGTCATCAAGTTCTGAATTAATGGATTTAATAGAAAGGAAAAATTACGATTAAAATCTTGACCAAAAAAATTTTGCTATTTTATCGAAACTTTGAAGTATTCATAGTCGTGCATTAATCTTACAACGTAACACAACAAGAGTGAAAAGGTATTTAAATTAAATTTTTATTGTAAATAAAGTGTCTTCGGGATAATCACACTTCACAAATGAGTTCAAAGCATAAGTTAAAAAGCTAATCTTCTGTATGATTGTGCAGTCACCCTTTAAAACGTAAACACTATGAATAAATATGTTACGCAGGAAAAATTTGGTGTGCTTTAACCCAAATATATAGGATTAAAATCTGTTAAGTTCTTAATAATTCAAAACAAACAATTTGTGGGAATATTATTGGCATATAGTTTTACGTAAGTTGACCGAACCAAATAAAAAATGAATTCATTCTAATTTTTAAATTTTTTGCTTTCAGGAGTGCATGCTTAAAATTAAATTGATAGCTACACTCGAGAATGTATTGATACAACGAATCTATAGGCAAATATTCTAGTAACCATTTATGCAGTTCAATAAAATATTTTGCGTTACAGATTCCAAGAAATTTAGATAATTCACGATTCACAATTTGCACGTATAATTACTTATAAGGTACAGTAGAGCCAAAGACGATCAATAAATCTTGAATATAAGATCAGAAATAGGAAAAAAGTTGAAGTATCAGTTACAAATATAATTGAATATCAAACAAAAGCCACAAGAAGCTCAGACAGCGGTAAAACAAGGGAATATATTATCTTTGCGTAGTATAAGAGGGTATATGTCGAGAGCTTCGGTTGAATGTATTTGCGTATCGACGTCAGCTGACGTAGCAAGAGGGAAGTCATATATGGAATCAACAAAGGGTTCGTAGTCATGTAGACGCATAAGAACGGGTCAGCTTCAACAGATTGTTCTCGATAAAAGGTAAGCTACAACACGAGGCTTCATAGAAAATAATTTGAACATTAAGGGTAACGTGTTCACCCAAATTAACGGAGTATAGCTGCCAAGGAAGAAAGCTCAAGGTCCTATTGTTAAGACGATATAGAATTCAAGCCATGAGCTGTCCAATACGTACAAAGGCAAGCGCGCGCATCTACCTACATACTCGAGAGTGAGAAATTGAAGAAAAACAGTGCGAGAAAATTTGACGTTGGCCGGTTGAACGACGAAGAAAAGACAGCGCAATGAATCAAGCATTCGTAGCTCGATGTTATATAAATAAAATGAAAATTCATTGAAAAAAATGGCCTCAAAATAGTCAGGCGAGAGGAAAGGAGAAAATAAAAAGGAAGAAAAAGTCACGGCTTACGCACAGATGGCCGGGAGCTGATCGATAGCGCGAGCAAGACGGAGCACCGAGCGAGACAGAGACAGAGAAGAGGCAGTGCAGTGGAGTTCGCGCGCGAGGCATCGATTTTTACCTCTCGTTCTCTCTCTCTCTCTCTCTCTCTCTCTCTCTCTCTCTCTCTCTTTTTCTGCAGGCCATCTAACTCGCGTCGCTTAAATCATCGAATGAAAGCTCGCTGCACGCAGACTACATAATACTCTCAAACAGAAAAGTTACGATGGTCGAAAAGTGCAACTCACCCGTCTCACGAAGACAAGTCCCGGGGCAAACAAGCGTAGCACTCGAGAAAAATTACACAGGGGCAACACTTCACTGAAACACTGCGGCGCACTCTTGACTCGTGTGTTGGTGCGTACGGAGGAATCGTCGAGGGAAACGTAAAATCCTGAGGAATGTCAGCTGATGAGTGGGCGGGGGAGAGGACGAGCTTTCGGACAAGTGGTAAAGCTCGATTAACTGGGCTACTGCAACGACGACCAGGACCGCTCGATGGGATGCTTTGAGCACTGGACACTAATGGCGACGACGGGCACACTACTCGTGCGATTGGGAACACTGCGCGAAACAACTACAGGATGGGCCACTCTTAGTCGGAAGAGGGCCCCTTGGAGCTGGCTGCTACTGTAGTTAGGACCGCTGCTAATGCGTCGCTGCTCGAGGACATGGTCGAGAGTGACGAGGACGAGAGCCGCCCCGTGTGCTGCGCCTACTGCTGCCTTTTTCGACTGACCAGGCTGCTGGCTCGCATCCACCAACGAACGTCCGTGTCCTCGGGAGTCGAGACGGTCTCGGCGTTATCGTCGTCAGCCGTCGGCACAATTCGCCCCGCGTCGGCGCGTTCGCAGTCGCTGCTGCTTCGTCACCCACCCTTGCCCGCAGTACAGTAGTCGGTCTAGCCTTACCCCACTCACGGGGGGTGCATCGTGCAGCGCTATACATACCTCCCCGCGGAGACCATTTCTATAATGCGGCCGCGTGCTTGCGTCTGCTCGACATCGCTGCCCTCGCGAGTCAAGCTTAGTCTTTTGACTGTCAATCAGGCACCAGAGAAAAAAATGACGTGAAAATATTGGCTGACGACAACTTTTTTCGAGTATAAATTTTAAATTGAGTTTTTTAATAGAGCAATTGTTTCAACAAAGAACAAAGTTCGAATGCATATTTGAACACACTACAAGTTCAAATTCATACATCGATTTTAGCAGCCAATGAATAATTAATTAAAAAATTAAATCTATGACGTTAAAATCGATATCAATTATTATACGTATTGCGTGTTGTACACGTGTTTAGACTGACTTGTTAAATTTTTCCGCCAAGTTTTTACTATTTACTACACCTACCATACACATGAAAGAGTATTCATTAATTGCTTCAATGGCAAGCTTCAAATTAATAACAAGTATATAGACGCCTAGAAATATTAAATGTATTACATGATACATACACGAGGTACAAAAGCTATAAAAAAGAATAGAAATAGTCACAAAGCATTTGTCTCTGCTATTATGAAAGCAAGTGTTAGCTTATACAGGTTCAAATTGGCAATGAATTTCATCGGCAGGGGGCAGCACTACGTGGCATTAAATTCACACGCTAACACAAAGATAAGAAATTTTATTATATATATGCAACATGTCGTTGCACATAGATACACTTGGGTATATATAAACTAACAGGATCAATATGAGGGAGCAAGCACATAGCTACAACGATTCAACCAATATATGTATTTATACATATGTACGTGATCAATGAAAACGGAATTTCATTAAATTTTAGCTTTGAAAACTAAAAAGCACTTGAAATGGTTGGACTTGAGTCAAAAAAAAAAAAAAAAATACTGCTGCATGTTAATATTACGTAACTACATCGAAACAGGGTCTTTATTTTTACGCGTGTGCAAAGGTCGTTGCCGGTTTATAATATAACTCGATTCTGCGAAAATCGTCGATCGACCGCTGGCTAACGCGAATTGATCAGAATGCCAAACTGCGTTAACAATCGTTACTTGTATACATCTATGGAAAGATTGCGACAAACACTATTAACTCGTTCTACATCCATTTTTACGCTTGCAAACAGATCAAATTGTTTTCGAATCTGGGATGATTTTTCTCGGTCAAACTCGATCCCCAGGCAGTCATTGTAATTAGGTCATCCCTTTTTGTATGCTCGCCTAGTAGTCTAGTCACGATTCACGACACTGAGAATAATATACATTTTGATTTACATCTTTATGTTGTTTCAACCAGCGAAGTACGGAAAAAAGTCAAAAATTACATTTTTTATCGAATTACTTTTTATGCAATCATGAAAACAGTTACTTTTCGATTATTTGAACTAATTTATTTTTAAATTAGAAAAAATTTATACAGATACTGTTAATTTAAAAAGCTTTTATGAGTCGTATGGAAAATATAGGTTTCATCACGTTCTTGAATAATGTCATTCTATAAATTTGGAATATTTCAAATATTTCAAGTTTAATAATTTACAACTCAAAGTTATTGATATCAAGCGTTAAATATTATCCATAAAGTAAGGCGAATTACCATGTACAAAAACACGGACTTGCTGAAGAGATCTTGGATCCTATCTCATATGCATTCCACGAAATGAGAAATCATAAAACCCAAAACAAAAAGGTAAACAAGCCGTAAACATGTTACGTAGTGTAGCTTGTAAGTAGATAAGCTACAATTTATATCGTCCTGGGAGTCAAAGAAACAATACCTTCGAGGTTCACGTATTCACTTCCACTAAATTAAATTTTAATTAGTGAATCTTAAATACCTTTCCACCTTATTGCTAATGAGCGACCACATATCCTACTCTTACTTAAATATTTTCATTTGAATTATAAGTAAAATAATAATACTTATTACAGGAAAAAATTTGTAGCATACGGATTATATCAAATTTTATTTTAGCACCATAACCAACTATAAATTATGACAGGGTAATTTTGATTGTAATGAAAATATAATATAAACAAATTATCGATCGTGAAAATTCATCTAATTAAAAGATAGTATTTTATATACGTACATAAAAACAGAAAAATAAGGTGTTGAATTATTTATCAATCCCTGAAACCTTGGACAAAAAATTATTATGAATTATATATTTGGCTGTAAGGGCAATTAATGTGATTGCTTTTCGACTGAGCGAACTTCATAGCTTTTTAAAAGTTACACGCGAATGCATGTTTTTACTGTCTAGATCGATACACTCATGTAGTATAAAGACCTTTGACCTCGCCTATCGATTAATTATGCTTTGTTATATAAATATATACAACACTTTTAAAAATTTACGAATAGCTTGAACCCCGATCGTCTACGCAATGAGTAGATAGTTTTTCATATAACTTGTAATTTGATTATTTTGGAATATCGATTGAAATTATTATCAGATTTCCTTAAAAAAATATCGATTTTACTTCTTTTTCTAGTAATATAATATTTGCTCATGGATATGTAATAAAATTATTTTCATTAAACCCTAGATTAAATTCTTGATGGTGTTTCGTATGACTCTTCCCATGTAAAAGAAACAAAATACTTTCAAAAATCGAATTGATACAAGAAAGCTTCTGTTTTCTATATGACGAATTTTAATAATAATAATAACTCTTACAACTATGTGAAAATGTAGGATTTTAGAAAAAAAAAGTTTAAAATTGTTTAAACATAAAACACTTGATTTATAAAAAAAAATACAAAATTCGATATCATCGTACAAGTTCAAGCTATAGAATTGTGCTTACTGTGCGCAGACCGATATATTTCTGTTTTTACAAGAGAGACTATAAGGAGGAAGAATGAGGGCCAATAGCTAAACGTGTAAAACAACATAGTGTAAGCGAAGCACGAGATGAAAATATATAACAGCTTGAGCTCAGAGATGGCAACATTTTCTTTTTTTTTTTTTTTAACATCCCTCGAGATGGAACTATAATTTATTTTGTGCACCTGAGAACCGTCAATTTTTGCAGTTTCTCGCAGCACGCGCAACTTATTTTATCTTTGTGCTCTCGACCGTTCTATAGCTACATTGTAAGCTTTTCAAACAATCGAGCCAAAACCCCGTGGGAATTGGCTTGCAAGCCAATTAAATTTTACATTAAATTTTTAAATCGAAACTCGAAAAGTACAAACCTATTACACTAAACTTACTGAACATACGTTCAGTAAGCCCTTATCGATCAGTGTGAAATATCAAAATGTACAACTGATAAAGGGGAAGCATTTAAAAAATTCAGAGTAAAAGTAAATGAATAGAGCAAAGGTGTAAATATCTTATGCAGCTCGTACGAAAGGAATAACCATCGATAGGTGGATAGGAGGAATAAAGCGAGGTCAGACGCGTGGGGTAGCGTACAATGACTATAATCACACCTGTACAATCGAGTCATCCTCGACTAGATGAGCTAATGCTTACAGCTTGGCATACACGTACATTTAATGAAAAGGGTGAATAAGTGACATTACTATAATGACTTTGATTAGGTCGAATTCCGAGTCATTTTCGCGCTAAAATCATTAGCAATATTTTAAAGCTGCCGCATATTCGATCTATATGGTTTTTCATAATTTGGTGATTTCTAACTTTATAGGAAAGATCGTAATTTATATAGTTATTATATAAAGTCGATCTTGAGTTAATGTAGAAAATTTTAATGTTGAAATCTGCAGGATTTTTTCTTTTTTGATATAAAGATTAATCGATTTTAACCGAGTTAGCATAAGACAACAAAATAATTATCGCAGCATTGGAAAGGCACATGTCGAGGTGGGAAATGCAGTTACATATACAATCTTGTATAGGCGTCGCGAGTGTATTACGAGGTTCTACACCAGTGCACCTATGAGTCATTCGATAACAAGCAAACAATATCGACTTAAAGTGTTAAAACATCAATTAGCTAAAATTTCAGCTTTAAACGATTGATGTTTGATTTCTAAACCCCTCTTCGTTGCAATTGTACTATAGAGCTATATTTATAATATATAGCGTTCAACCGTGTGCGCATGATACAAATATGCCTTACATTTGCAGAAATTTAGCAGAAACAATTCCTCAGCTGTCATTTGTGACTCTACGCAGAGTAGAGTGGGAACATGAAAATGCAAGCGTTCAGCAGACGATCAAGGATCACTCGCAAAAAAGCTACCGAAAACTTTTTCTTTTTGGATAAAGAATGACAATTTCATAATTTATCAAAATTATGCTAATACATTTTAATAAAATTTCTTGACTTACCATGACTTTAATGATGAAATGACAATATTAGATGAAACTCTGACGGTCGTGCATGATCATGATGCGAAAACCAATCTGTGTTCCATCGTTTCTGTTGTATACAATATTTAAGTTGGCACTTCGTAGTTGTTTTAAAAATATGCAGTTTATCGATCGCCGCGAACTTTAAAAAACAACCATTGATTCTCACGAAATCCTGGAAAATGTAATAAAATCGAATAATTTTATTCAGTTTTTTAGAAAACTGAGATATTAAAAAATTATGATGACTAAATAAAAATAAGGCAATTCACTTTGTAACACAGAAGGTTTTTATTAAAAATTCTGTTGGTTTATGTACTAAAAATATCAAACAAATAATCACAGAACATCTCTACTGAAAGTTTAGAAAAACAATAATTGGAATAATTTTAAATATTAACAATATTTTTATTCTTGTGAGAAATTTTTTGACCTACTACTATTCCTATAAATGTCTTTTTCCAGCTCTGTATTAAATGCTTTACTTAAAGACTACAATTTAACAACCACAAGCATTCTTAAAACGACAATTGATATCATTCCAATTTGCAATATCAAAAATTGCTTTAACGTAGTCAGGGCGAACATTTTTATATTGCAAATAGTAAGCATGTTCCCACACATCAATGCCAAACAAAGGAATCAGTCCTGTTGTCGCTTGCAATGGATCTTGGTTTGCACAAGTAGCAATTTGGAGTCTCTTATCTTTGGGATTATACCCTAACCAACCCCAACCTGAACCTTGAACAGCAATTGTGGCTTCAGATAATCTTTTTTTCATTTCATCCATACTGGAAAAATCTTTTTCAATCTGTTGCAAGAGACTAGCTGCAATCACAAAATAAACAGTTACATTTTAAAATATTAATAATTTCAAGGTTAACATTTTTAGGTAGATCAAATCTGAATACATACCGTCTGGTTTTCCACCATTTGGAGACAGATTTTGCCAAAATATAGAGTGATTTAAATGACCTCCTCCATTAAATTTAATAGCTGGCTGTAAAGCGATTTGAGCATTTACATCTCCTTTAGCAACTGCTTCATGTAATTTTTCCTCTGCGACATTTAGATTATTGACATATGTAGCATGATGTTTAGTATGGTGCAATTCCATAATCTCAGCACAGATAATGGGTTCTAACGCCCTGTGATCATAAGGCAATTCTGGTAATTTATGCTTCAATCGGATGAGAGTAGTTGAAGGAGCTCGCCTAAAAATATAAAAACAAATTTAGTCTAATGACATTTCACATGTGAAGTCAATTTTCATAGATAAAAGACAAAGATAATTACTGCAAAACAAAAGGTTAGAAATTACATAATATTAACTAACAAGTGTGCGGTAAATATAAAATTTAAAGTTAATACATTAATATCAGTTAAAAGATAGCAACTTACCCTGAGCATGCTAGGATTGCCCGTTTGACAGCAAACATTTTGTTAAAAAAGTAAAAAATTGAACTGACAGGTCTAGAATGGAGACTGGCGATTTCGAGAGCAGCCAATTCAGTTCTAAGTATAGAATGTTATGTATATTTGCCGGTGTCAGAATTGCGACACCATCAAACTCTGATACAGTAACGTGTATAAAGAGTGGCTTCTGGAAATCGCGAACAGGTGCGCGCGCACTTCATTCACGAAGATACTTCATTTCATTTTTCGCAAAATTTATACTTCGTGATTGCAGAATCTCTTACAACGAGCAAACTGTCAAGTTACATACGCGTATTGACGGAATCGAAAGCAAAAACATTGAATGGGTTATGAGATGGCGTTGAAGTAGAATCGTGCGACTATGTTCGTACGCGCAAAATTTGACTTACGATGATGGTGTATGTATTGTAAATAGAAAGAAAAAGAGAAGTCTGGAAAAATTGTAAACATAAACAGAAAATCGAATGACCATTGCTCGCATAACTGAGTGAGAGTCAGGAACGTAAGTTCATCGATTACTGATGACTTGTATTTGTTAACTGAGAATATAGTGTGTGTTGTTTCGTTGCTTTTCTTTAACTGACGTTGCATTTTGAAGCAACAAGTAAAATTTTACAAAATATACACTCGCTCAGAATCGTTAATGTAATTCAAAAAATATTTTAATCTACCATAATGATGGATATGACTGGATCGGCTTCGCAACTGATGCCCAAAGGTACTCGAAGACAATTTTTCCAATGGATTGTGAAGTGGTTTTATGCAAATAGTCCCGACAATGTGAGTAACTTTAAAATCAATTTTTTTTTTATATTTGTATATTTCTATTGGGAGAAATCATCAGGATTGTATCATTACTAGAGCTTTTTTTAAAGCAGAATAACTCGACTTTAATTCGTTTATCAAATAATTATGTAAGAAATAATAATGAGCGAAAAAAAGAATAATAATGAGTTTTGATGAACTAGAATTTATTGAAACCCGACATCTCGACCATCATCTGTTTGCTGCAAGCAGTTGGATTTCAGCTTCGGCAGTTTGAAAAATGCGAGGCTGCAAAAACGGCAAACGAGCCGGTGAAACCCAATAATACCAGGATAACATTGGAGTGTGGCACATCGAAAATGGTAGCCACTCTGGAAATGAACGACGTTGCCTGCGAGTGTCCCAGCGACAGCGACAGGGACAATGCAGATGGTTCGTTTTGGAGCATCACCGGCAGCGGACCAGCAGGTGAAAACAAGGTGAATATTTGATTTTTTTTATCGTTCTACCGACGACTAGCCGTATTGTACCGAGTCATCGCGACACGTGCGCCCGTTGACCACTCAATTATATTACCCTTAAAGTTACACTCGAGCATGAATCACATCGAGGAAACGGGAAGCAACTTATTGCCAGAATTGTCGAAGGAAACGACCTTGTTGGTGCGAGAAATTACCCAGAGGCTGTTCACTATAATCGGCGGCAAGTGCGAACCATGCAACAACGTCGACGAGGTGCCAATGCTGAGTAGCAACCAAAAGCTCAACACGTCGATAGCCAAGAGTACGGAAAAAATGGAGAACCTAACTCGCAGTTACACGGACTACTTTGATTCGCAATTCAAACCTCGGACATTTGTTCCAAACGGCACGGTAGGTGCAATGCACTAACTCATGCACAGTATCATTTCATCGTGATTTGATCGCCGTTTGTTTCATGCCCCGCGAAGAATCTGTTCAATGGGAGACTCGTCACGGCGAGAAGCGTCAACGACGTCGGCAGGGCGACGACGACGGAAATACCGAAACTCACGAGGCAGGGCACTTACGAGCTCGACCCGTCGGCGAACGACAGCTTCGAGGCGAGAAAGTCACCGCCGAGGCCGGCGATCTCGCCACCCTTGAGCCACGCCTTGTCCGAGTCCCTCGGCCAGATATCCATACAGAGCAACGACGAGGAGCTCTTCGGACTGGCCGACTACGTCGTCAAGGCGCACCAAATACTCGACAGAGCGGTCAACTTCATCGCGAAAAAACTACCGAATCAACCGGTCTCCAGCAACATGTCCTTCGCAGGTAGGCAATGAACCGATCACTCCCAATTGTCTCCCAATTGTCATCGCGACAGTCTTAAAACGCGTATGCTCGTGTGTCTTCGCCCAGAGGACCCGGAAGAAACGCCGGAGAATCAGGCCCAGAAAATGGCCAGATTGATGCCGCCGCCTTTGATGAACAGTAGCTTCTGCCTCAGCGCTCCCAGGAGCCTCGGCAAGATTCAGACGAGCGTCGCGCGGACCACCACCACCACCAGCAGTGGCGCAGCCGTGAAGCCTCCTCCGATTCGTCGTGCCGTCTCGGCGATAGCCGGCTCGAAGGTCGCTGCGTCGACGGCAACCGGCACGAGGCGTGTAGCCACGCCACCGACCAAGCCCGGCCCGGTCAGGACCCTCAGCTCTCTTCAGGCCAAGGCCCAAGTCGCGAAGCCGATTATCTCGGGCACGGCCAAGCGCAAATCCGTGACTGGGAACAACAACACTAGTGGCCCTGGTGGCCCATCGGCAATCGGTGAGAGACGCCCGTCCGCTTTTACCTTTTGAAACGTAAATTTAACGATCGAGACTTTGTGAAATTTTTTCAGCTCAACGAACGAATCTGGCGACGAAACCTCCGATCGTTACCAAGCTAGTCGGCACGAAAACTCTGCCGGCCACGGTTACGAACCGAAGTCTTCTCGCTAAAAGGGCCTCGGTATTTGAACAGAAGGCAGCGGCGGCGGCTGCTGGGGGTACTGCCGCGTCAGCTACGGCCAAAATTGGCTCGCCGGCGGTCACGGGGAAAACGGCCTCGCTGCTCAGGCCACCGAGTCACGTAATCGCGTCGAGGCTCAACACTTCCACCGCTTTGGCCAACGGCTCGAAATTCGGCTTTACGGGACTGAAAAAGTGAAGCTGGCTCTACTTGCAGCACTCATAAAATTGCCTAATTTTTAGTGACTCTTTCGCAGTCTTGCTTATTTTTGTTTATGTTTTTATACGCATTAAGTTCGTAAGAATTTTTGTCTACAATTACGTTGAATAGTTTTTAAAAAATTATATTGTTGGTACGAACAATTTTAAAATGATTTAAATTTTTCCATGAAAAAAATCAAAAACTTTTATTTTAACGGTGCAACCAAGCCAGGCCAAAAATCAAATTTTCTGAAACTTTTATTGAACAATCTCCAAAAAAAAAACTACACGGTACCTGTAGAACATTAAAATGTAGGTCAGCGTAGTGCATTTTAGAGAATAAAAGTTCAATAGAAGTTTCAGAAAAAATAATTAAAAATTTGATTTTTGAGCTGGCTTTGCCATCTCCTTGAGTAAAAATTTTGATTTCCTTTCATCGTTTGTTTAACATGATAAATCTTTAAGACGAAACAGTTTTTATCGAAGTAGCATTTTTATTTTTAAAATTAGTACGATAGAATAATATTCTTTATAATAAAGTATTTAAAAAAAAACTGTTCATTGAATAATGTAAAAAACTTACTGTAGAAGAATAAACTATTGGTCTTCATGAAGCAAAGCCAAAAATGTCGTTGTCAACTACGTGAAAGTATAAATTTTCTTCATCTCGATTCAATTGCAATTTTCCGTTAAAAATCGAACATACTTTCAAAATTCATCGATACTCCATTTTGTAACGATTCAATTTACAAAAGTTGTGATTTTTCCATCAACTCTGCAATATGTTCAAACACACTCTCGAAATATCTTGAGCAACTCATTAGAAAGACTTTTAGTTTAAAAATGCAACGGGCTTTTTACGGCTAATCGAAAGTATGCGAGCCCCGAGAGCTCATTGGCATGATTATCAATTGATGGGTTATGGGTTCGTTGCTAATTTGTAAAAAATTACTTAATAAACACCCTCGAAACAAAATTTTAGTGCATTTGAACTTATGCAGGCTTTGGTATTGATACGATTGCCGAACTAAACGTGCGCGAGGAACTATCCAGTTTGCGAGCGAAACGTAGACTATGCCTTAGCGCGGTACGTATTATGTGCAGGACGGAGCAGTGCTCCATACCTATATATATACGTGCCTGCCACTGTTACTGTATATCGTGCACGCGAGAAAGAGAGAGAGAAAGAGAGCTATATAGTCTCTGCGCCAGAGCTCTGCTGCACTCTACAGTCCGAATGCGAGATACCCGAACCCCATCATCCAAAGTCCATGTCAGCTAGAGCGAACCTCGAGTCGTTGAGTCGTTTGGACGTTGACTCGCATTCGCTGCACGCAGTCCACATTTTGTCAAGTACTTGTTGACCTTACACTTGTCTTCGTACGCGAGACCAGTTCGATCACAACCTCGGCCGATAGACTCAAATCCGCGCACTTGCGGTAATTGGACCCTGGGCCGTCTGGTGAAGCGCAACTCGCGCTACGCCAAGCCTTGGCGCGGCATGCCTGCAGCCTAGCATGGATATTGGACAGTCGAGTTTTCTTCAGTCCGGCTTCCACAGCGTACTTATCTTTTCTCGCCGAACGAGACTTTAAGTTCATTGCAGTGTCTCATGGTAAGTTAACCAAGCGCGCGCCACCGTCGCCAATTGCCGTACATTCCCGAACCCGTATACGTCTTATGCTATCTCTTTCGTAAAATATAATTAAAACCAAACCTGTACACACACACACATTCGGCACTTTTGACTTTTAATGTTGTTACCCATGTACAATTGTTAGTACTCACTAATTTGTTCTATTTTATTCTCTTGCTTCTTTTCGTTTATATCACGTCTTATACGAACCAACTGCCTCGATAATACTACCTATATGCAATCTCAATAATCAATCTAAATAATTAATCAACTCACATGCTCTACTACTGATTTCAATTGTATTTCTCTTTTTATCCTACTTAAACATTTATCTACTTACTCAAATAATGTAACACAGTTTTATTTATTCATTTATAGATTTGCTCATGTGTTTCTAAGTGATATATTGATGCTGGGAATTGAGAACACCATACAATTTTTTCTTGCGAACCTTGGTAGTGTACAATAAGTATTATGGCAGAAGAAAACAGTGAAATCAAATCAGCAGGGACGTCTTCACCCAGAAGTGCTCACAGCAATGCCGATGGAAAAACGACCAATTCTAACTCATCTAGAATCAAACTGACAGAACAACAATTGGAAAGCTTCTCTAAGGAAGAATTGATGGCAAAATGGCAGGAGCAGGATTTATATGTGGACTCCTTAGAATCACAGAATTCTTCATTGGAAGGTACTAATGAGATAACTTGAAAGTCTCTCAGTGTCTATTTTACTGACTACTCTTATTAATACTATTGTCAGTATTTCTTACTCCACTGGATTCTTAGATAACTTACCCATTCGAAATAAGCATGAATAAGAGTAATATAGTTTGGGTGTTAGCTTTTGTACTTTTTTACAACTATTATTGTGCATCAGATATTTTATTGAAATTTGTGATCATAAATGGTTATTAATTAGTTAGGTACTTGAAATACAAATTCTAATTGATATTTTTCAATTAGTTGATTGGCGTGTCCAAAGATTTAAGATGATGTGATTACACGTGAATTATTAATTACAAGTGGTCTAAAACATATTGTGAGTCAAATTGTGATAGTGTGGCTGTTGGTCATTTTTTGGTTTACGTGAAAAATGTGGCAAAAAGTTAATTGGTGCTTCTTTTCTTGTGTTTGGAAAGTGGTTAAACAGTACTTGTTTATTTTTTGGTGTTGTGAAAAAAATTCATCAGCCAGTATAAAGAAAGCACCAAATAATATTTATTGGTTCAACAAAATATTTTGTTGAAACTATAATGCATAAACTTCAGAGTTTTTGCTATAACTTTCAATAGATCATTCTAAAATTGAAAAATTCTATAAGATTCTGATTTGTCTCTAAAGCCCGGTTATAAATTGTGAAAAGTAATAGAATATTAAAAAGTGAAGTCATATCATTACAAAAACGAAGAACAAGCCAATTCTGCAACAATCTTTGATTTGAATTCTTTTACAGAACTTTGATATGCAGCCCAAGAATAATCAAGCTTCAACAATAATTAAAAAAAAGTATGCGTTACCTAGAGACGTCAACTGTTTGACATTAAAAAATCACAATTCATCAACATTTGAAATCAAAACTTGAAAAAGTTATTTTAATATATGTTATGAATATATTTATCAACTATAGTATCAAAATGAGTTTTTTCTTAACAATTAGATTAAAGTAACTAGGAAGTTTTGATCATCTGCATTTTCTCCAAATCCAATTTTATATAAATTTTTATTTGAAACTATAATTTAATATTAATAGCTAAGCCTAAGTTTTAGATCGATTTTAAAATTTTTCAAAGCAGTATCTGAACATATAAGTTTATTACTCACTGAATATTAAATAACTAATTTGTAAGATAAATGATTGAAAGTAAGAAATGTTAATGTATTTTTTGTTTATTCTAGGTGATATAAACTCCCTGAGAGAGTCCAATGAAAAGTATAAGCAACAGTATGCAGAAGCCTCGCATAGGGAAAAAGTTTTAGTGAGAAGGCTTACTTCTAAAGAACAAGAAGTTCAAGAATACGTGGTATGTTTATTTTTAAAACTATTGATATTACAAATATCCACTTAATGTCATAATATTATTTTTCAAATTCAGAATCAAATTGCTGAAATCAAAGCTTCACAAGCACCATCTTCTACTACTTTAAGATCAACACTCTTAGACCCAGCTGTAAATATACTTATACAAAAACTACGTCAAGAATTAATTAGCACTAAAGCTAAACTTGAAGATACCCAAAATGAATTAAGTGCTTGGAAATTCACCCCAGATAGGTAAGCATTGAAATATATAATACAAATATTTTTTTGAAATGAAATAAAAATAATTTATTATTTTTACTATTTATAGTAATACTGGTAAGAGATTGATGGCAAAATGCAGATTGCTTTATCAAGAAAATGAAGACTTAGGACGAATGATATCCAGCGGTAGAATAGCTAAACTAGAAAGTGAACTTGCATTACAGAAAAGTTTTGGAGAGGAAGTTAAAAAATCTCAATCTGGTATGTTCTATACAATTTTATTCTTTGAAAATGATAACTTAAAAAGCAGCACATAATTTCTTAAATTTTGATATATTTTATTTTAGAACTTGATGAGTTCATTCAAGATCTTGATGAAGATGTAGAAGGCATGCAAAGCACAATATACTTTTTACAACAAGAGTTGCGGAAAGCTAAAGAATCTGTAACTTTACTTCAACAAGAAAATAATTCGTTGAAAACATCAAGTAGTGAGAATAATTTAACAAATGGTTTATCACCACACACTCCACCTATAAAGAAAGACGAATCAGAAGAGAATGTACACGCAGAAAATATGCTAGCAAAACCTGAAGATAGTGATAGATACAAAGGTGCAAGGACTCCACCTTTACCTGTAGACAATTCTTGTCAAAGTGACCGTGCAAGTGTTGATAATAATGACCAAACAGGACATGAAATTCATCAAACAGAACTTAATGATGAAAGTTCCAGTGATTCTGCAGCTTTGATCATTAAAATAGAAAATGAATTATTGAGTGATCGTGAAGATGAAGATGAAGCAAGGAGCATTAAAAAGAAAGTAAGAACTAAAACTAATAATAAAAGCAGTGGCAAGACAAATGGGGAAGAAGTGAATTCAAGGACAAGGGGAAGGGATAGGGCTAAAAGGGATTTAAGTGCACCAAATAGTGATGAAGAAAAACATGTAAAGAAAAAACGCAAAGAAAATCTCTTATCATCCATGGATTATAATGATGAAGAAGATTCTCTAGTTCTTACTAACGGCGAAATGTTACAAAGTGATCCTGAGTGAAATTAAATTTTGTTTATGTGGCAAGTAATGTTTATGACATTTGAATAAATATTATCAATGGAAGAATTCATGAAATGTGTACATTTACAAAAATAGTGAATTTGTGAATTCAAAATTATCTATTTATAAATTTTTCTTACAGATTTCCTATCAAGTTGACTTGTTTATAGTATTTTTTGATGTCAATAATCATGCTTGACCTATAGATTATGTAATCTACTATTGTTCGGTAAAATAATATTCATAATCGTAATCTGTATAAATATACATAATAATAATAATTATTTATTAATGTTAAATTAAGTGTGAGACATAAATATTTGCTCCGAAAATCGGTTTGAAATTATTTAATTTATTTTCGTGTAATATAAAATTGGAGCTAAAACAAATTATGAACCTGAACAAATGTAACAAACCATATTATTCTTTAATGTGGTTCAAGAAAAAATACCACAGACGATGTATTAATTATTGAAACTGTGACACTTCAAAAGAACAATTCAATCTTGTAATAATTTTTTCACATTTAAAAACTGTATAAAGAGTTTATGAAGTTGTCATATTAAAGAAAACTTAATGTACAATTTTTTTCGTTCATTTTTATGCTACCACCAACACCAAAAATCAAAGTTTCCAAAATCACTGGTTTCATAAATAAGTTGATGGAAAACGAAGACTTTATCTATGAGGTAAGGTGCAAACTGCAAAGGAATGAATAAAAGCCCTGTCAGCTTATTAAAATGTCTATATTTGAGTAAAACAAATGTAAAAGATTTGATTGACATTTTTTTGTTTACATACATTTTACTTTCAGAAATTGCTATATGAGGTTTATAGATTATATAAATAAAAATAATGAAAGTTTCAACATGAGTTATTTTATAATAGAATTTAAAAAAAAACAAGATAACACGTGATTAATTAAAAAAGCATTTAAAATCATTAAAAAAAATGTAAAGTTTCCGAGTATGTTACTATTCAATTAATAATAATTTAAAAAATAGATGTAATTACAGATACTTCAAATGATGCTATGTCAAATGATACAAAAAAGCTTTGTATTAAAAATGTTAATGTTCAAGTACAGTTCGTTGAGAATTCTTTTATGTTATGTTCATTTCAATATCATGGATTTTCAAAATTTTTAATTTTTGATACAAATGAATGAAACCTGAAGGTAATGGGTTTTTTCAAGAAATTGTTTTTTACGAACCTTTTTTAGAAATGTTCCATTTATTTAGTAATTAAATTAATTTTTTACAAATGACTTGAAATGTAAAGGTTTCGAATTCAGTGATTGAAATTTGTGATTTTAATAAAAGGTTAATGTTTGCACTACCATATTAAAATTACAAATTTTCATCAACTATTTCCAATTTATCAACCGTTTAAAAGGGAATTAAGAATTTTTTTTCAACTTTTGCAATCCTTAAAAAGTGAAAACATTTAAGTAACCCAAGTAGCACACTGTACATGACCTAATAATTGAAAAATTTATGGAACTAAAACTAAAATAAGAAATGTCATTAGATATTATATTATTAATGAAAATATTCATTTTAGTGATAGAAAACTTTTAATAATTTTTATAACAAACGTGAGAAATCACCAAATCTTTTCATGAGGTTTTGAAGGACCATTTTTCAATCAAAATAAAAATAAAATATATAATGATTTAGTAGATTAGAAACGTAATAATCTTATTTTCTTTCTTAAATGGTTTGAGAGTAGTAAAAAGATACATATAATACATTCAAGTTGATAAATTTATATTTTTGAAGAAGGCCAATGATATGTAAAAATACATATATTCTATTTACAATACTGTAGAATATAAGCGAAGTAACAGAGATATACACATACTATACATATAATTACAAGTGAGATTTAATGATGTATAGATCTCTTAAAAAAAGTACAATTTTTTAAATTCGATTTTTTAAAATAAATTATATCGATAACTTACAAAATTGTCTATATATTTGCATCATTAATCATTAGTTAATCAATTTAAAATCAAAATGAATCATTCAATAAATAAAAGCTCAACATTTAAATAAAAATAAAAAATACATAGAATTATTAGATTAAACTTACACCAAGAATCTGGTTGACATATATATAGATTATTCTTGTATTTATATGCCGACTGCAACAAGTCTTTTATCCGTTAATCTTATAACGTTGCAAGAAATTTCAATAACACAATATGTAAGTAAACCTTTCACTTAGTCAAAAAAAAATTTTATTTTTTGTAAAAATATAGTTTCTTTTAAATAAAATTTTGTTGAATAACAATCGTAAAGTAGAAAACAAAAATGCAATAAATCAGAATTATTGAATTGCTGGATTTGATTGTGTGCTACAGCAATAATAAACAAAAAAAATTGATTAATGTTACAATCAAACACATAATATAAGAATTTTATCCATACTTATTTATATAAATCTTCATAAAGTTTATTTTGAAACTATTGGGAAACATTCATCTTTTAATTATATGAAAAATATTCATTTCATACTTGTATTTCGTTATTTTATCATGATAAAATGATATATCCACTGTTTATATGTATGTCTTGTAAACATACATTAAAATATTCATGTGCAGAATACACACACTAAAATATGTTCTAATCTGCAAGGCACTCCATACTTATATTACACTTTTAATTTTTTACAATAGAGAAAATCTCTAAATCAATTTTCACCATGTAAGACTATCTAATTGGCATACATAAAATATTCTTGAATAATGAATTGACAAATATGGGGCGTTTCATCATAATACTTTACAATATATTTTTATTTACTATTTTACACTCAAGTGTGGTTGATATTTGATGGATATTGAAAAGCAAAATATTTTTTGTATAGAACATTTTTTATAAAACCAACACTTTTTAGATATAAGGCTCAAACATCTATAATGAAACGTCCAGTATTTGTGAAATTAGACTTATAAAATTTGCGTATTTTCATAATTACGGCTGTCTTTGTTATTGACTTATGGCAAAAGTAATGCAATTATTTAATCCGCAGTACAAACACAAAATGATGAGCTTTGCTTTAAAACAATACTTCACATTATTATATTAATAGTTCATTTTGCAAACAATAGTATTTATTTATATAAATAAAATGTGTCCTTCGATTGCATATGACTGTTATCTTCATTCTTCAAGCTTTGGCTGCTCACTTTAGTATTAGCAAGTTTCACAAGCCTTTGTAATACAATACAATATATAACAAGAAACACTTATCTACCTGAGTGCTTGCACATCACCTTTGTTTGTATAACATCAACAACAACATACATTATCAGCATCTGAGCATTTTTATTATCAATTTTATGTTGAGGAAGATCTTCAACAATAAATACAAGCTTCAATCCGTTTTCTGCTGGTATAATTCTTTTAACGATTTAAGTTCATCCATCAAAGTTTGATTCCTCATTTCAAGTGTACTCACACGATTTTCTAAACACTTTATATATTCTTTTTTTTTTCTTCTACACTCTCGAGCAGCCTCTCTGTATAAAAGTTAAATTATTAATATCTTTTCATGTTCTTGATTGAAAACATCTTAATGTGATTCTGAATTTTTACCTATTTTTCATCAGCCTCTGTTCTCGTTTTCTTGCTGCATCTTCAACAACTACTCCAGGGCCAGTACTAGCTGAAAATTTGCAATATTATTTAATATAAAATAATCATTTGTTGCTTAAATGTTAGTAGAATTTTTAAAAATCTACCTGGTACAAAGAATTGTGCATCTGGACCTTGAGCATATTGTACTATTGTGCCACCTGCTGTTGTTGAATTACTCATATTTAAGGTGTGTAGTCCTGGTACTCCTTCTCCTTGAGCTAATTGTATTGATCCTGCTGGTATAACTAAGAAAGTTGTGAATAAGAACAATAAAAGTGGAATAAGATCAGTTAAGTTTTTAAATTAAAAATTAAGTTTGAACAAGTTTTGTTTACAACTATTAAAGTGAGTAAAAAAATTCAATTAAAAAAATAATCAACTGTTTACGAATATTAGCATCATCAAACATAATATTTTAGCATGGTTTTAAACAGCTGATTGAGCATCTTTCAATTGAATTAGTCAAATTTGAACTCTTTTGTTTCAATTTTTTGTATACTACCGATGTACCCTCAGCTTTCCTTTGAGCAATATTTTATTTGTAATTAGAGTTATTTATCTTTTCTTGCTAATAACATGATCTTTTTCTGTCGAACTTGTATATACAACAAACAAGTGCGGCAGAGAAGACAAGAGAAAACAGTACAGTGATCATACGTAATAAACTCCATATCAAAAGCAAGCTAAGGGTCTTGACTCTCACAAATTCTAGCGCGCAAAAGTCTTGTATAGAAGTCATTAATCCTATGATTATCGCGCACGTTCGATTTTTTTACATTTTCCAGACTTACTCCGCATGTCTAGATCATTCAAAGACGTTTTGCTTCAAAATTATTTAAAACATTTGATTTTTATTTGCAAATTATCAACGTGTAATTTTATTGATATTCAAAATGCCACACCAATCACATTTTCAAAATATAATTAACTAGAAGAATACTATAATTTAAACTTTAAGTTTAATTTTTCATTTTCAATAACTTAATAAATCAAACAAGTGATCATAATTACAAAACATTAAGATAAATAAAATTATGTCAAACAAAAAAAACAAACCTGCAGGATAGGGTAACGAGTGAGAAGATACTTCGCTATCCACATTAGAATCATATTCAGAAGAAGTTTCAATTGGTCGCATACGATTATCTGCAACACCTAATCCTATCCAATTGAATTTTTCCATTTTCTTAATTCATAATATAATCAAGATAAAAAAGTTTTAAACTATAAAATGAACCAAACCAAATTTTACTGATAATGGAACAATTTTTTTCTCTGCCTTGCAATTAATGCAGTCAGATCATACATAAAATAAACTAAAAATCAAACAAGTCAGATGTTAAATATTTAATGTGTAATAATGATCAAATGTGTCATATGTACTAGTATTTTAAGCTTGGTATGGCATTTTGTTCTTAGCAATAGATCCATCCATTTAAATTAAGAACAAGTATACGTTAAAAATTTTAGAAAGCATTACTTAATTCCGTATGAACTGACATGCATTGCTTGCCATAATTTGATAAAAATGGAAAAATTGCTTAAGACTCAACTTTTTAAACTATTTATAGTAAGAATATACTCACCAGTTATTTCTCCACCGCCTAATTCACTTAGTATTTTCCTATATGATGGCCTACGCGATAGCATATCTCTTCTTCTTTTTGGAGATTCTTCTTCAGAGCTACCATCATCATCAGTTTCGACAACCTAGGATAAATTTTTAATTGATTATACAGTAATTTAAATGAATGCTTCTTGCTTTAACATAAAATTAAACTCACTTGTAATGTCTGTAAGCCTCCTTGAGCTGTCTGAATAACAGAGTTGGGTTTGACAAGAATAACATTTCCTTTAGAAAGAGATACAGGTTGTATATTTGTGGCAGTTTGAATAACTGACTGTTGATTTGGTTGAATAACTGATTGGACCTATCAAAAATGAATAAGTTTTACTAAATTGTCAAATTAAAAAATTCTGCTCTGTCATGATTGTTGCAACGTAATAAAAATTAAACAACATATATTTACAAAATTAATACAGCTTGCATTTTATAATTAAATAAATGGAGTTAAACTGAGGTTGTGAATAGTATAAAAATGTTTTTGATAAAAACTTAGCAATATAAATAACATTTTAAAATGATTTTTGCATAAATCTTTTGATGAGCTTTTTGTCAATACTCAATTCAGTTCACAACCTCAATTAATGATACATTTTTTAACTTATAATACCAAGACCAGCATTATGCAAATTATGATGATATCAATAAAATTTTGAAAGAATATGATTGAAGGCCGTAATCAGCTTTTTTGATTTGATAATGTAAGAGTGTGCAAAGCATCAAAAATCGAACTATATAAGTAAATGAAAAGTTGTAAAAAATTGCGAAAAATCGGTAAAAAAAGGGGTCGATTTATAAGCGGCAAGGTGTACAGGTGACAGGTAGTGAAACATTGTCGATGACTCAAGCCTGTCCTGTATACCTGCACTGCGTCGAGTTGCACAATGCTGGTAGAGGCAAGCTGTAGATATTGTTGGGATGATTGTTGTTGTTGTTGTTGCTGATTGTGTATCCTAGCTTGAGACTGTACCGATGTCACGATGTTGGGGGCGGTCTCGCCGCTCTGCGATCCCTGCGCAAGTGGGTCCACAACTGATCCGTTCTCCTCGACCATGCTGTCCATAGCCCGAGGACCCGAAACGCCGCCAGTGCCCTGCAAGATTCATCGTTGCTACATTAGCCTGTTGCTTCCATGCGCGTATTTTTTTTTTTAATCGTCGCGCGTATGTATATAATAACGCCGATGCTTCGCGTGGTACAGAACTATTATAATGCGCGACGATTGCCGATAAGGCGAAACTCGAGAGCAAGCCGAACGAGCGAGACAGAAAACGCTGATATTGCGAGAGCCTGGAACGCTTTACATAAGCCGGCCGAGCAAGACCGATCGAAAGCGAGGGAAAAGAAAGACAGAGAAAGAGAGAGAGATCGCCTAAAAATAGAGTCGCTCGCGGAGTAAACAAGTATAAGTTCGACCATATCATAAGCAATAGGAGATCGCGCGATCAGCGCGTTGTAAGCTGTGCCTGCTGCTGTCAGATAGAGCCTATCCCAATGGGTTGGTCATGAATGATCGATATTTTATCTTTTTACAGATCGCAGAGAAAGTTCAAGGAGACAGTCATTTGTCTGAAAAAGACACGAATATGCTAGGATGCTGCATCAGAGTGAGAAACACGATGCATCGTACCAGTCGTCGTCGTCGACAGTCAGCAAATAAAGTGTCACTCGATAGTGGGTGCACGCACGACTCGAATCAGTCGGTCTGAAGTTTCATACAGTTTCGCGCAATTCACGGCCGTCGGAGTGTGCAGTGCGGAGCAGACGAGCCGCGGGGGTTGCACAGTGAATTAGGCGTGTATAGGGTTGCACACTGCTCGCACGAGTGTGTACACTAGCGAGCAGACTGCAAACGGATCGGCTCACTGAAAGTTCGCGCACGCGGAGCGACGACGATGCGGGCTATACGAGGAAAAAAAAAAAAAAAACAGTGGCCAGCGGCCAGTGTCAGTCGATGGATTATCGCGGCGCGCACTCACGGATGCGAGGGGGTTGCAGCAGCAGCAGCAGCAGCATCGCAACACTACTAGCAGCAACGTGCATAGACGATGCAGTCGAGTGCAGGAGAATCCGACTCGGGGGATAAGCGGCGGCCTCGTGCAGCGCAAGCTCTCAGTGCACGAGTCCTTGGCGGCAGCTTGAACGGCGCGTAGCCGCGATGCAGCTGGGTGCGATCATTATAGGAACGAGCAAAAGTGCATATCGTTTGGAAGGATGGCTCGAGGTAGTCGTTGTCACTCGTCGCACTCGTCACTCGCGGCCGTCTGTCTGTTTGTCAGTCCGTCTCTGTCGCGCTCTCCGTCTCTCTCTGTCGCACTCTGGCGTTGTCGCGCGCGCTCTACGCTTGCTCGTCTTTGGCTCGCTTTCACTAGTAGCTCTTACGGGCCGTTGCGTTTCGCGTTTTCGACTCGAGAGGCAACGTGCACGAGGCGCAGCAGCAACAGCAGTAGCAGCAGCAGCCATGCAGCTTTGCAGCGAGCAGATGCTGCAGGTCCGCCGAGCTCGGCTGGCTATCTCGTCGGCGACGTAGCCTATTATTCGCGTCCAGCTGGGTACTTTACTTACCAGTTACGTACTTTTCTGTAGCGCCGTTGTGCAGCAATCGGAGTGGGCAAGCGGGCAGGTACGTAGCAGCCACGTCAAAACTCCAGTGGCTTCGTCACTGGCGGAGCCCACGACCTCCGACGAGCTGCGCGTCACCAACAAGATGGCCGTGCAAAACTTCGAGGCCCCCCTCCACCTCGACGTGCGAATAATACACACAAACACAGTTCACAGATATGCACACACACTGTCAATCCGCGAGCAGTCACAGGCAGTAGTGAGTAGTTAGCAGTACACTCCTCGCTCCTTGGCACGCAAGCGCTTACACGCACACTAACTCGCGTCGGTCACGATCCGCACTCACACTCGCGGGGGCCGCCGCGACTCGCCGACTTGGGCACGACTGGCGCGATTCAGTAATCAGCTTCGCAGCAGCGGCGCACGAGTATATACACAATATAATAATACACACACGCACGAAAAGTCGGGAGTACGCTACTCTCTCGACGATCCACACGCGCGGAGCAGTAAACTCGACTGATGACGGCACGCACCGAGTCGGAGTCGGCTCGAGACCCACTGTCACTGGCCACTAGCCTACCTATACACACACATATATAGATATAATAAAAAGTTACACGCACAAGCGCGCCAACGATTATGCTTTTCGCAGTTTGGCCTCCTCCTATATAATATGGCTCAACGCACGCTCGAAAAGCCTCTCCGACTGCCTTTCGCGGCTCTTATAGCCCAAAGACGATAGGCGCGCACGCAACGATTCACGCGGCTTTATAATCCGTCTACATCTCGCCGCCGTCGAGATCTTTCGAATTCGAGATTCCAGGCCCAAACGTACCCTTATCTCTCGGCCCGCTCCCGCGCGATACTCCTACGCTCTACAACTGCTGCGAGAAAATACACAGCTGCAAGTTGGCGCTACCGTATTATATATAGGTACGCATACGCTCCATGGACGGGCGAGTGTGCGCTGAAAATTGAAATAATCTCTGCGCTCTGGAGCAACTATACTCGCGCTGGTATATGGCGCGACTGGATGTCATGGACTCGCCGGGCTCAACTTGGACTTGACCGATTTTCGCGAGCCATCGGAAAATTTAGCGCCGCTCGCGTGCTTTCGACCACTCGATAGGATTGTAAGGCTTACCCCGAGCGGCTATACCGATTTTGTGATTTGTTCGCGATTGTTGGCACAGCTCGACAGCTGCTAACGATCTCATTGATAAATATAACAACTCGATATGTCAATCTAAGCAAGCTTCCAATCTGTGCTCGTGTATGTGTAAAAAGATCAGAAGAGAAAGAGAAAAATAAGAATCGATAAGAGCTGGAAAGCTGACAGAGAGCTTATCTGCTTATGATATTTACGCGAGACTCGTGGGTTCGTGGGTGGGCGAGTAGTTTTAATAATTCGAAACTCAACCCTGAGCCCAGCTCGCTTTGGCAAAAGTACTTGCATCGTATGGCCGACCGGAGCTTTTCGATCTCTTACCGATCACCGTAACGATCATCGGTAAAGTTGCTCGAATACATCCTGTTTACAAATTACGCATGAGCGAGTATGCAACGCACGGTAAACGTCATTTGGAACGATCGCTGATTGTCTAACTCCAGCTGTGTGATCGTAATGACGGATCTGAATGTTGATACACATGCCTCGATCTTTCACGAGATAGGAGCGTGCTTCTGTCGAGCAGTTACACAACTGTATACAAGAAAAGCTCCAAGGAGAGCGCAAGGGTTCAAAGTAATTACTCGCCATTTGTATAATATAATACCGGCAAAAGAGAGAAAATTTCGTATACTTTCTCTCGGTGGGATTTGGCTTCGATTTGGAAGAAAGAAACGATAAGTAAAAAGATTGCGCAACGACTCAACAACGAGAGATTAGAATTCGTGGAAAGAAAAGCTCGGCAACGCGACCTTTGGGAAGAATCCCGAGTCAAGAACCGCTCGGAAGAATTCGAAATCTTCGAACGTCAATATTGCTCAATTGGACAGCACGTGGCTCGCTCGCTCAAGCAGTGCTTTTGATCGGATCGCGCTCGAGTAAGGAAGTTGTGATTTCAAAAGATCATTCACTCAAGCAGATTACACATTTTACCCAATTTATTGAAACAACAACAATTCAAGCATAAGAAACAAATTAATTTCAAGTCGAGCTTTAGCTTTGAATCAATTAATCAATAACCCAGCGTCAAATGTGTATAAATTGGCTGGACAATGGCGAGTACCGTCAAAAATTTGGTTCATTCAAAAATACTCGATGTCCATCGAAAATCCCGTAGATGACCATCGAAAGCTCAGGCGTCTAAGCGAAAAAGGCGGTTGTATCAGCGAATAATCGATTTCGCTCGCTGCGTAATAGGAGCGTCGATTGGCATGAGGCAAACGCGCGCCGCGGGCTGCGGCCGCACGAGAGAGACAGAGCGCCGCAAGAAGGGAGAGGTGGCGGTCGCGCGGCGTCGACGGCAGGGGGGCGGCCTGCTGCTGCTGACGTCATGCGATGACGCGCGTCCCGCAAACACATGCACAAATTACAAGACGCCAAGCCGTGTGAGCTCTGTAATGTAACGAACGACGAGTCGACGAGAGATTTTGCGTCTCTCGGCTCGCACGAGCCCGACCAAATACGAAATAACCCTCTCCACGACTCGTATAGTCGTCGTCGTCGTCGACGCAGTCGGGAATCGGCCGTTCGGGACGTATCCGCGTGCACGCCGAGTTTGTACGTCGAGCGATAGCAAAGAAGAGACTTATCGCACCTTCCTCGTAATACATAGCCAGAGTAGTCGACTACGTTCGACTCTCTCTCTCTCTCTCTCTCTCTTTGCGAAAAGACCCGCACAATACTCATTACTCATCGAGAGCTGATTCTCCTTTCTGCCGTATCGCTCTCGGGTTTTTTCAACGTTTATTCTTTTGCCATACGTTCGGATGACTTTTTTTTAATCTTATTTTCATGAGATAAATTAACGCGAGCGTCTGACGCCTTTTTTCCAGCTCCGCGCTATACTACATTTCGTTGCGATAATCGTGCGCGACGCTTCGATTTTTGCATCGATTTTTTTTATCTCTCACCGAGCCCCGAGTACTTTGAATGACAATCGTTGCTATATAAAAGCTCAATGAAATGCAAAATACAACTAAAAACCTGGCCCGCGTCATACTCACTATGTCCAAGGCATTTGTATGGCATTATTATTCCATTGAAGGCTTCAAGATCTCTGGCCAGATAGTCGATGGACTTTGAGAGAATAAATCAAAGCTTTTTTTCAAACGTCTATTTTCTTATGTAAACGTACGTACGGGATGATAGAAACCCCAATGAAGAATACTTTATGAACTATTTAAAAAAAAAAAAAAAAGTAAATAAAAGACTCGTGGCATATAAAAATCCCTTTGAGCACTTTTTTATTATCGATCTGGATGAAAATTTAACTAACGTTGAAACTGAAAAAAATGATATTTCTTTCAGCAAAGTTCGATCTTTGATTTTCAATTACCATTGCATAAGCATGACGTGACGGTGCAGTCGATATGACGTCATTCAATTTGAATGATTCACCTCTGCTCGCAGTTAAAGACACTTTCAAGGACTCTCTAAGGTAAGGAATTGTGAATAAGAGAAAAATAAACTGTGCGGCTTCGTTAACTCATTTCGAAAGTTCCCATGTTTTTGCTTGAATTTTTCAGATTATTAAAAATCTTGATTTACGGCACATGGCTCAAATAAATATTCAAATTGATATCTTTTCTCAACATTTTTTCCACGTAATGTAAAATTAAATTGTCGATAAAAATTCTTCGGGTAATAACAGCTTTCCAAGTGGTTTATTGCTGAATTTTCCATCCTGATAGACGACATTGCCTCGAACGATTGTGGTGTACACTTTTCCATAAAACTCCTTATTCAAGTACGGACTCATCTACGAAAAAAGCATTTTTTTAAACGTGAAAAATTTGATGAATTATCGCAAATGGCTCGTTCGTGCGCTCACCTTATTTTTAAAGAAAATACCAGATTTTTTAATCTAAAAATAAAAATATTATTGCGTCATTGCAGTATTTTAGATGAATGAATAAATGAATTATACATATAAAATTATAGTTATAAATGAAAAGTTCCATTGATATTGGAAGTTCAATAATAGACGAAACTACCAGAGCATCACAAAAATTGTTCAAGCCAAGCGCAGAAAATATGAACTCAAACGATTTGGCTTGATTAAAGAGTCGCCGAAATAAATTTCTAACGCATAATTCAATTCACCTCAATCGTTTCTTCGGGATTCCAAACAACGAAATCGGCGTCGACACCGACTTTCAAACATCCTTTGACATTATCCAATCCACACATTTTAGCTGGACTAGAACAAAGTACTCGAGCGATATCCTGGAAACTGAAATTTCTCGTACGGGCCTCGGTCCATAATACAGAAAGACCAAACTGAAGTGAGGAAACTCCACCCCAGGCTTGTAAAAAGTTTCCGTCGCCTTTTAAATCAGCGGTGCAAGGCGAGTGATCTGAAACCACCATATCTAAAGTTTCATCTTTCAAAGCATCCCATAGTTTTTCCTGCAACGCTCATTAATTTCTCGGTCTAACTTTTGAAAATTTCATTAACATTTTATAGAGATCGAAATTTTTACTTTATTATGAGCATCTCTAATGGGTGGACAACATTTGTATTCTACAGCACCACGAGGAATCTGTTCGGCAGTCAGAGAAAGGTAGTGGAAACATGTTTCGACGGTCAAAGGTAATCCTTGATTTTTAGCTTCTCTTACGAGATTAAGACCCTCTTTTGCCGAAAGATGCACAATGTGGCAACGGCATCTGATAAAATTGATTATATTTTATTAGAGCTTCCAAAATAGAGCCGAAAAGATGAAATATAGACTTTAAACAATATTTTAACGAACATATATCTACACATACTTGTAAATCGAACAAATGTCCTTCACAAAACTTATGGCATCAACTTCCATGTGTGCTGGTCTTGTTTTCAAGTATGTGGCATACTCGTAAGGATCTTCTGGGAATTAAAAGTTAGTTATTACTTAAATATAATTATTTTTTCATGAATTTTTTAGTAATGTTATTAATGTAGATAAATTTTATTGACATAATTACCTTCGTTATTTTCTAATACAGCTTTGCACTCCCGCTCTGCATGAAACTATAAAAAAATCAAAGAATAATTAAATAAACCCTGACTAATAATTATGAGATAAAAAATCATTCTATCAAATAACTCACGGCCAAAACAACATTGCAGCCTTCAAGTGCAGTCACAGCTTTTGTAACATCATCATTGCTAACATGTTTAAAATCATCGGTTCCACTTGGGTGCAAAAAACTTTTGAAACCAACAACTCCAGCGTTTACTAGAGCCTTCAAATGATTCTACAAACATTAACCAAGTACGTCAATAAAAATTACATTTAACTACTTCAATCATTTATATGTTTTATTTTACCTGATTATCTGGAACTATACCACCCCAAAATGCAACATCTACAAATGATTTCTTTTGCGCTTCACGAACTTTTAATTTCAGATTTTCAACCGTAGTAGTAGGAGGACTTGCGTTCCTGCGATACAACATTTTTATAATTAAAACGTCGATAATAAATTTTTTGTATATCTACAATAACAAAATAATGGTTTTCAAAACGTATCTATAACGCATAGCAAGATCATGTGAAACTAATTAGAAACTCAATTTTTTCACGCCTCTTCTATATTTAAAACAAAACCCTCTTTTTGGTTCAATCAATATAATCCAATCCAATTGTTGTTCTATTTAAATAAATGGAGAGGAAAGAAATTGAATTTTGAAGCTAAAATTCTACGAACTTATCGGGAAAAAATTTCAACTTTATGAGGATACTCATTTTTTCGTTTGCCGAAAAAAGATACCGGTGATCGAAAAATTGCTCTTTGGGAATTTACGATATCTCGGTTATTTTAGAAGGTAAAATAAAAATAAAATTTTTTGCAGATCCTAAATTAAAAGATGAAAAATACGCGGCTTCCGCAGAAAATCCTCCAATTTTGCACTTTTCAAAAATCGTTGAGTGTTGCTGCCTCTTTAATTAAGCATAGAAAGCTTCCAAGCTAGAAAGCCTAAATAATTTTGGACAAGGATCTGCGAAAATCTTAGCTCTGGTGCTTTTTTCGATCAGGTTCCAAAAATTATTCATAAAAATATGGTTAATTAAATTTAACTCTTACAATGGCATATCTACAATAGTTGTGACACCACCGGCAGCAGCAGCCTGTGTTGCAGTCCAATAACCTTCCCATTCCGTTCGACCAGGTTCACTTACGTGCACATGAGAATCGACTATGCCCGGCATTAGAACCAGATTTCCGAAATCTTCAATCGTAACTCCTTCATATTTCTACGATTTTAAGAAATTTTTTATATTATTCAATATGTTTTATTGTATACAATTTTCTGATTTTATACTTTTAGTTCTTCGAATATTTTTTCAACACTATCGAGGGAAATTATTTCTTTTATTTTGCCGTTCGTAACTACTATTGCCGATGGTTTTATACCATCAGGTAAAATTGTCCGCTTGGAAATAAATATTTTCTGCATTTCGAAAATATGTTCAGTTTATTAGTAAACTCGTATTTGTAACTGTTTTCTGTAAAGCTCGATATCGACTGCGATTCAATGCGAGCAGATGCGGAAAACATTGATACATTGATTGAATAATAAAACTGTTATTTATCATTTACAAGACTATGTTGATTTTTAATATCTTTCATTGCTCAGTGATTGCTTAGTTGCATAAAATGATATCAAATACATATTATCGTTATTCATTATATTGAATTTTCAACTGCTGCATAAAAGTAATTTAAAAGTTTCGTATTTTGCGGTAAAAATAAAATTATTCCTTTTATTAAGTGCAACAAATTGGTAGATACAAAAATTTTATTATGACAGAAATAGTACAATTTTATTACGAGTATAAAATATTATAAAATATAATTGATACAAACTACATTAAATTTGAATAATTTGTTTTTTTCAATCTTTATAATGTATACCCAGGAAACTTAGCTTCTTGTATCTTTTGCATGTCCACTAAAAAATATATCGTTCCGGCGAGACCTGAAATCAATTGTAATACCCAACTCTAATTAAATAGACTCTGGTTGAACACTTTAAAATATTAATCTTTAGAGGGCAAAAAAAGACTGCAGTGGCTCAAAAATGATGTAGTTACTTTGCTTACACATTTACATAAAATATAAGATAATTGAAGAATTTACCTTCAAATAATGAGAAAGGTCTATCTGCTGGTTTTTTTTGATTTTCATTATAATTCATACACCAGTTTGCAAATTGACAGGATCGGTATAAATACTTTGGATCCTTCAAAAAGTTTTTCGAATTAGTAACGTCTCAATTGTATGAAGTTGATGAATGGAAATAATAAAATAATACTTTTGAACTACCTTTGTTAGTTGGAAAAGAGAAATGAAAGTATAAGCATTGCCGGCAACTCCGTGACATATTCCGCAACCTTTTTTTAAAAGACCTCTATTCCATACAACTTCTCCACATTGCAATGCAGTTTGTAAATATTGATCTTTTTTGAAAATCTATTATAAAAAATAACGGAATATTATATTTTAGCTTGTATAAAATTTATTGTTTATTTAATTATAGTTATGGACATTATTGGAAATTATTTGGTTCAATTTGGGCTAAAAATTACGCGAAACATCGAAAAATAGAGTCGATTATAACTGTCTTGTAACAGTTACTCATTGTGTAGAAAAAGTGTTACACTTTTGAAAAAAGAACAAATTTTTTATGCAACTTTAGGTCATAGTGCACTACAAATAATATACAAGAGTGAATTATGAATACTTGCCAGACGGATCGCTAAATATGATTCTTGATTTATTCGTAATAATTAATATTTAAAAAATCACTAATTTGATGATAAATAAATATTGTATACCTCATAAGACAAACAAAATAACATCGTCATTGAAGGTGCTCCGTGACACCAATGAACCAGCTTATCAGTGGTACTTCCAACTGACGACGGAAAATTTCCCGATGGATATTTTAGACTTTCTAGCCATTGCAGAGCTGGTTCTATTTCATTATTCAACTGATTCTCCGTTAAATAATCTTTAGCCTGAAAAGAATTCAAATGAAATCTTCTGCACTAAATTTTGAAAGTAAAAAATATATATCTTACTTGAAGCAGTATATAAATTATTCCAGCTAAACCATGAGCACCCCCAAGGTATTCAGAATCATGCCATGCATACATCAGAGAAGATTTAAAACCTCGAGCACTTGCATATTTTTTACCAGAATTTAATATGCAACTTATTACTTGTTTAATTAAATTTTCCTCGATTGGTGCAGGTGATATATGTTTGTTTACAAAAAGAAGTGAATATAAATATCCTACTCTACCATACAATAATTCATCTGGAACTCCACTACCTTCATCAACTACATATGATGATAAAGATTTCAACCTAAAATGTTTGTACTTTATTATTTAAATCAACTTGTAAATAAAAAACCAAGATTTCAATTTACTTTTCAATTGAGTCTTTTGCTTTCTTTTCATTATTACCAAGATGATTCATAACAGCATCAAGACACAGAGGACCTGCATTACCAGTTAAAAAAGTTACATGACGCTTGCCTCTTAAATTTGGAACAATATTATTGACGAAGGTTTCTGCTTTCTAAGAGTAAAAATATTTATAAAAATCCTTAAATATTTTACATCAAAGAATCCTCAATAATTGCAAATAAACTCACAGTAACGTAAGATTCATCTTTGAAAGTTTTTCCATAATGATATAAAGTATATGCTATTCCAGGCAATCCTGTGTATAAAGAATCATCATCGTAGCTGTACCAATTATGTTCATTATGTTTTAATAGTTGCATCAGCTGTTCTGTTCCAGTACTTAATTTTTTTCTAAACTCATCCGATATCTTTAACAGAATTATTAATTATTGAAAACTGAGGGCTTATAGCATTTGATGTGAATTTACTTACATCACTTGCATCGCTATTGATAAAAGTTTCTTTTCCTTTTTTATAATCTTCATAAGGATTAGGTATATGTCTTGAACTCATCTCTCTACAAAAAATCGTAAAATTTTTAGTAATATTTTTATCATTAGTAATATTTTAAAAATACAATGTAAAAAAAAATTATCTAACAGTTAATAGTTACATTGAAATATTTAACATATTTTTCGGTATGGATGTTTTTATTCTAAATGAAATTGCAACCCTTGTCAACATATAACCTGTTAATTTATTTATAAAAGGAATCAAAATAAACACACAATAATTTGTAATTCTAAATGTATGATTTCAGTTAAATAAGTGCGCAATGAAAATGTCAATGATTATGAAAAGACTATATTAATTTAATCTATACTTTTTTTCAATAAGTTTGACGGGCCGATTTATAAGGGATGAATATAGTAATTAAGATACTGATGATTGACAGCTTACCAAATTTATATTAGTAGCTTAATTCGATTAAAAAATGATTAATTTTGATGGAAAACTAAATTTTCGATACTTTCTCGCAATAATGTGCTGTTTTTAAAAACTAAAAATTAGTTTTTATGCAGAAGTGAAATGGTTCTGTCAATTTCTCGTCTTAACACGAAGAAAAGTTGTTTACAAACATAGACGACCTATCATTCAGAGAGTACAACTCCAAGTTTATAAAAGTGGCGAAAAAATGAAATCGATCTAATTGCCCAGATTATCATCAGTCAATTTACGATCTGATTCCTTATTTTGAACGATCATATTTTCCAAATCCTCAAAATTTGAATGCAATTCATAAAATTCAAAGTAAATAAAATTATGATTCGGCCACGACTTGGCATTGTAAGTGAACATTCAAGTGTATTTGAGATCATGTGTTGACGTTTATTGCCTCGGTGATGGCCCACGCTTACAAGCACACGTAATATAAACCTTACTTGTTTATTATGAATAAAAATGACAAGTAATATTTTAGGTCAGCATAACCTGTAATGAAAAAAACTTAAGTTTGGGTTTGTGGCAGTGACTCAAAGAAATAAGGTAAAAAATTAATAAGAATCTAGATGAAAAACTATTTCAATATTACGAAATAAGATTTTTTAATGCATGTTTTTTATAAATTTTAGTTCACAATGATTCCTTCAGATACATTATTCATAAAATAACATTGTAAATAACAATGGATCAAACAATAGAAGCTGCTTTAGATGCTGCAAGGAGAGCAGTAGAGTTTGATAACAGCAATCAATTCAAACAAGCTGTTTATTACTATGGTGTAGCAGTGAACTTATTGAAAAATGTGTCTACTATTCCTGCTCTTGCTGAAAAATGTTTAGAGTATCAAAACAGAATATCAGAGTTGCAAAAAACAAGTAAATATGACTCATGCAACAAAATCATAACATTTTTAATTTTAATTAAATTTAGTTTTAGAAAAAGAAAGAACAAAAAATCAAGCTAAAACACAAGATGAAAATGAGCTTCAAAGATGTAAATTTTTGTTAAGTCAAGCTCTTGATGCAGATGAAGCTGGTTTTAAAGCTGATGCTATAAAGTTATACACTAATGCCGCTGAGCTAGGATTGAAATTAGTAAGTTATTTGAAATTGAGTAATATGAAAATAGCATTTCATTACATCACTGTCATATTTTTAGAAATCTAAAAGTAATGAAAAGGCAAAATTAACAAATTTAATAACACTTGCCCTAGATAGAGCTGAAGCTATAAAAGGTATTAAAAAAAAAACTGAAATAGAAACTGTTATACCAAATTTACCATCAGTGCCAGAAACAGATTTACCATTTGATGAATCAACATCTGTTACTCATACACCTTCAAATTTACCTTCACCAAGTAATTATTAATAAATTAATATAAATATAAAAAATATTTTATCTTACAGAAATAAACTTTTTTTTTAAATCACAGCTACGTCAGCACCTCCAAAACCTCCATTACACAGAGGAAGTAGTGCTCATTTGAAAATTACTGGTAGTGGAAATTACACAGAAGAAGAAAAAAAAGTGCTCTTACATACATCACATATTAATGACAATGAATTTGTGCCTTTTATGAATGTTGATTTATCAGAGAGATTTCAGTATGCTATACCTTTTACTGATAAAGATGGTTTATTAGAATTATCACCTAAGCAAAAACCAGATTTTGCAAAATGGTGTCGCCCTGAAGAACTTTTTTCAGAACCAAAAATGGTCATGAACCATGTTGTTGATTATTACAGTATCAAACAAACTGTAAATATTGATTTCTACATCAACCAATTTTAGTTTAAACTGATTGTAATTGATGTTTTCATTTTTAACATAGGTAGTATCTGATTGTTCTTTTGTTGCTTCACTTGCAGTAAGTGCTCAATATGAAAAAAAATTTGGAAAAAGGCTCATAACTTCTATAATATATCCAAAAAATAAAAATAAGGAACCAATTTACAATCCATTTGGTAAGATGATGGTAACTTCAACATCCAATAATTTTTTTTATAAATCATTAAAATTGTTTATAAATCATTAAAATAGGAAAGTACATGGTAAAACTTCATTTGAATGGTGTTCCACGAAAGGTTGTTATTGATGATTTACTACCGGTTAGTAAACATAATCAATTATTGTGTTCGTATTCAAATAACAGAGGAGAACTTTGGATTTCTTTGCTAGAAAAAGCTTATATGAAAGTAATGGGAGGATATGATTTTCCTGGTTCAAATAGTGTAAGTTTTTATTGATAAATTTAATAAATTATGCTTCAGATTATTACATTTTTTGCATGAAATTTTTCAGAACATTGATCTTCATGCTCTCACTGGTTGGATACCTGAGCGTTGGGCAATACGCACAAATGAAGCAGATTTCAATAAAGATAATTTATTTGACACATTGCTTTTACGATTACATAAAGGAGATGTACTAGTCACTGTAGCTACTGGAGAACTTTCAGATTCTGATGCTGATCGAACAGGCCTTGTGCCTACTCATGCTTATGCAGTATTAGATGTCAGAAAGATTGAGGTTCTCATCCTACAATATTTTACTATGAAACATTAAATTTAGATAAGCTCATTTTTCAAAATATATTTTTATACAGGGAGTAAGATTGTTGTTATTAAAAAATCCATGGTCGCATTTGAGATGGAGAGGAAATTATTCAGAATTAGACTTGAGACATTGGACTCCTGCTCTAAAAGATGCATTGAACTATGATCCTAACTCAGCATCACAATTTGATAATGGCATATTTTGGATTGATTTTGATAGCATTTGTCATTTCTTTGATGTATTTTACTTTAATTGGAATCCAGGATTATTTAATTATACTTATTGTATTCATCAGTAAGATATTGTGGCATCTTTTGTGTATCTTTTTCAAACAATAGTGATAAATTGATCTAATATATTTTAGAATGTGGAAGGCTGGAACAGGTCCAGTTAAAGATGCTTATAATATTGGTGATAATCCTCAATTTTCATTAGAAATTCAACCTAATGCAACAGGTTCTGTTTGGATATTATTAACAAGACATATAATGGATATAGCAGACTTTCGACAAAATCAAGAATACATAACAGTTTTGGTTTATAAAAATAATGGAAAACGGGTTTATTATCCTCGTGAGTTGATACATCATGATATACATTGGTTTTTTATATGTAGTTTACTTTGTGTCTCTTGAAGTAAAAAAAAATTATACTTTTTATAGATGATCCACCACCTTTTATTGATGGAGTGAGAATAAATAGTCCACATTACTTGTGCAAAATAAAATTGGACCAGAATAGTGAAACACGTTATACATTAGTAGTTTCTCAGTATGAGAAAACAAATACAATTTTTTATACATTAAGAGTGTACGGGACATCACCATTTACCCTCCGAAAAATTGCAGAACCATATAAATTTGAAAAAGAGGTGAAAACTGTTTATGTGTAAAAATATTTCATTACAATGAAGACGAAATTCGATGAATCAATTATTTATAACTTTTTAATAGATCACTGATGGTCAATGGAAAGGAGTCAGTGCTGGAGGATGTGGCAATCATCCACAAACTTATTTTAATAATCCACGGTACCAGCTAGTGATTGAGAGTTCAAACAATAACAATTGGCTGTTGATTATTTTAAAAGGGCCAAAGCAGTATCAAATTGGTTTTGAAATTTTATCTGTAGTCTTGAATGATCCAGCGGCTCCTGGAGCCTTTAAAAGCAAAACTTCTGGACCTTTTCGGTATTAATTTTTTCCTATCTCTGTATTATTTTACAAATAATTAATTTCATAATTAGCTAAACAAAACAATTTGCTCATATTTTTTGATAAAACTAAAATTCAAATTAATTTTAGATCTGGATTTGTATATATTGAGTTAGAAGATGTACCATCTGGTACTTATAATGTAGTACCATCAACCTATTTACCAGGTCAAGAAGGACCATTTTTCCTCACCATCAAATCGTCGTGCAATGTACAAATTAGTCGACTTCAATAAAATCTGAAGTGGTATAATATATATCTACATGTAAATATGTAAAATATTAACAAAACGTTAATAATTGAAGTATTAATTATTTAAATAATTATCTAAATCATTAAAACTCGACGATTGCTTTAAGCTCACATAAAATAAATAAACAAACTTGACGATTTTTAATCGTGCAATTGTTCCACCGCGTTAGTCAGACGGCACAAACGTTAATTATTGTATGATCAAATTTTAATGAATAATAAATGACTCAAATTTTTATTCTCGACATTCGTATAAATTTTTATTATTCTAAATATTCTTCAAGATCTCTAAAAATGTTTTAAGATGTCAAAAAGATGTTGGTTAAATATCGGAAAAGTGAGTAAGAATGCCCACAAAAATCTCTTAGTGTTTCCAGTATCCAATACAAAAATATGAAGATTATTTTTAATTGGTTTCTTTTACTGTAAACGTTCATGGATTAATTTCAAAAATATTTTGCAGGAAAAAATTAATATATCTAAAAAGTGTGTAGTAGTTGATTTTTTTCGTTTTAATTTTCAAAGTTTTAAAGAACGGACTTTCATCTCGCTCTATAAGACCGAATTTTTTTTTCTTCAAATTTTACCTTTCCCGATTCTTTTAGAGAATGATATAAAGTAAACAACAAATAGATGTACACATTTCACGCGTATATGGCGCCGATAAATCTCGCTCTTATTTACTTTGTGTACCTAACAAAACTTATCAAATCGAAAACTCAATGAACTTAAGAATATTTATTACTCCGATTAGTTTGAATGTTGACTTTATAGTTCCATAAGTGCCTATGTATTTCTTGGGAGTAAAATAATAAAATAGTAATAGATGTACCATCACGGGTTGAGAATTAGAATGAATAAATAAAATTTTCAAGTGGTTTTTGGAATTTTCGGGTTCATTCTACACATGTTTATATTGCGACATATCCTACAATGATGACATACTTCCGGGGCTCTTTATGCCACTCATTATACGAAGACGCGAAGAATATTTCCGCGCTATTTTACGTCAGGTGTTCGAGTTTTTTTTTTGGTATGAAAAGCCTGACATTTTGTAATAGTAAATTTATTTAAAATAGAAATGTTAAAAATAGTAAAATCAAACGGGAGAGAAAAAGACGACCAAAAATTGCTAAATTGGCGGGTAAAATTTTGAATGTTTTGGCGAGGCATGGGCATGGCAACTGGCAAGGATCATCAAGATATTTGCCGTAACAAGTATTAAATAGGTGTATAGAAGTAACCAAACGTAGTGCTGGGTAATCGCCATTTTTATAGCATTTTCTCTCCCTCTCTGCGTCTGTGTGGCGACACACGGACACGTTATTATACACAGATGTAGAGCGCCGCGCTCCGAGCAGTTGTTGAGCACGAGAAGCTGCTCACAATTTCAATTCCAATTCCAGTTGTAGCCAAAGCTGTTGTAACAATGGCTACCGCCATTATGAAAAACGAATGAATTTTCCAATTGTTTCTTCCAATCTGTAGCCGAGCTTATCTCGTTACTCATATTTAGCCACATGTTCAAATTGTACTTTGAATTGTTTGCAATAGACGGTCGTTGGTCCCCCAATCCAGTAGCCGGTAGCGCGAATATTTATGCGAAGCTACGCCAAAAGAGCGCGTGGCGCTTTAGCGAAGCCCGACACTCGACATCGACGAATGAAGGACCGGGCCTGTAACACGGTGTAAGAGACCAAAGAGAAGAGAAAAACACCGCACACATCCTATCGTACAGCCGCCGAACGGTAACACAACGCTCAGATCGTCTGGCTAGGCCCAAGTTCGTTTATATAGCCGCCTTTTTCGTACACACAGGCCAGCAGCAATAGCCAATTGAGCCTAAAGCGAGACTCTCGGTTAATTTACTACAGTATATACACATATATACACTCCATAGACTTTGGAACGGTGCGTGCGCCGCAGCGACCCGCAGTCACTCCTAGTCACTCGCGAGAGACAAGACTCGGCAAAAGACAAGACGTCCCCATACTCCGGCAGCGTACGCTCAGTTCTGTGTAGCAGCTCGTCAGCAGTGAACAGTAGTTAGCTGAGCAACCTCGTGCGTCCGTGCCTACGTGTATACGGCCGTTCATCCTCTCTCGCATTCGCTTTTGTAACGAACCAACCTAAAAACACATAAACGACAATGGGCGACAATCAGGTGAGTAGCGTTTTCATTTACCGGCGTCTCAGCGGTCCGGCTTCGGCAGCGCCGGCCGCCACCTTCCCTTTTGCAATCGACCACCCGGCTCGGCCGCCTTAGCGCCGAGCCGTTATCATGCAGCTCCTTAACCTTTTCTAGGAACAGAAACCCGACTCAGGCCCAGGCGACGCCAACTCTGAGTACATCAAGCTCAAAGTTGTCGGCAATGTGAGTACCAAATTTCATTACTTTACTTTTTCGCTCTCTTTCTCTCCCACTCTCTTACACGCGCGTTCTTCCTTACGTTTGTACCTTCGCACAATTATGTGTACAGCGCGCTTTTTCCAAGAAATATCGAGCGTTGAGGCGCCGCGCTAACATTTTCTTTATTCTTTGCCCTCTTCTTACAGGACAGCAACGAAATCCACTTCAGGGTGAAGATGACCACGCAAATGGGCAAACTCAAAAAGTCCTACAGTGATAGAGTGGTAAGTTTTTTCTTTCTTATCTGACACAGGTTTCACGTACCCTCATAGACATCACTTGCACGTGCCGTCCTCTATTCCTTTCATTATCCTGCATACTTGTACTCTCAAATCTATTCCTTGTCCTCTACAATACCTCCTTATCATCATGTTTTTTTTTCCTTGAATTTTCCACCTTTACCTCTTGGCGCAATAAAACTTTCTTACTTGATTGTATTTTATTAAAACACTCAATTTGCTTGTTATTATATCATGACACTCTTACCAAAAATTTTAATAAATATTTTTAGGGAGTACCCATGACATCGCTAAGGTTTCTCTTTGATGGAAAACGAATAAATGATGAAGAGACACCAAAACAAGTAAGTTATTGATTCCTATGAGTTTATATGCATTGAAAAAGTAAAAAAAAGACTGAAATGCTACTATTTACTACTATAATTGGTCAATATTACATGTAACAATAAAATAGAAATTACTTTTACGTGTTTATATGAACTTTATCCTAGATTCAACTGTATAAATTTAGAGTAATAACTATTTGTTTAGATGATAAAATTATTGATAGAAAGTTAAATCAGTTTGTTTTTATGGTCTGTGTGTAGCTTTTAAACAATAACTATCAATTTAGCCAATGTCTTGTTAAAATTTAAAAAAATTGTTTCTGATAATCAGGCCAAAAGGTGCTGTTACTTAGTCTATGCTTAAAACAATTTTCACTCTTTGCCCGGGCGATTACTTGCTAAAATTTTTCATTTAATTTAAATTTATCATTTATTAATTTTTTTTTTTTCAGTTGGAAATGGAAAATGACGATGTAATTGAAGTATATCAAGAACAGACAGGAGGATATCACTAGAGCACAAGTTGTAAACTTCATACCTTTGTGTAATTATTTTCTAAATAGTGACTGTAATACAGCATGGGAAAGTTTTTTCATTGAACAAGGAACCCTAATAATAGTCTTGATTTTATTTGATTTTCTGTAATTGGATGTGAAGGTTTACATTCCCCTCATAAACCTCTGTTATAATGATGCACATTCATGATTTAATAATAGTTTATTATTATAATTTAGTTTTTTCTTTTTTCATTTATTAAATTCACATCTTCACCACTAATATTTGTACAGTGGCATTATGCTATTACTTTGACATCTCTTATTCGCCACTGTACAGACGTTATTGGTAGGCATTTTCTGAAAATTGATACGGTTGCGCATTTTAGGTATAAGTTAAACTGATTATTCAAGAGATTTTTTTAGTGAATTAACATTTGTTATAGCGTGGAAAAGCATTATCGAAATATGTGAACTAGCTACAGAATAAATGTTGTATTCAATTTATATACAAGAATGTCGCAATGAATTAAAGTAAATTAACCTTTTAACTTCGCTAAAAATTTAAGCAATTGATAACACTGATGATAGAGATACTTTTTTGTACACAAATTTCATTTAGTACTTTCAAACCAGAGCGAATTTCATTGATATACATTCGTGTTTTTTCTATTGCTCCAGCATACATCTGTTGAAGTTTGTTACTTTTGACTAAATGTATTATTATGTATCCAAGCTTATTGGATAAAATTTCTCGAATTTCAAATCATAAAAAAAGATACCAAGACCATATCACAAATCTATTCCATAACAAAATTTTTCATCGTAATTTGATGAATGCTGGACAAGGCAAAAGTGCTCATTAACTTTATACCTCATGCTTAAAGGGTTATTATTTGATAAAAAAAATTGTATTGTTAAGATAAATAAATAATTAACTTTTACTTTTGGTACATTAGTGTTTTATTCATTTGGGTTTTTGAAACACAAATAATACAGTAGTACAATTGAAACGCTTATGTTTATTAATGGTTTAGCAGATTTATTATCAACTTTGTGAATAAAACACAATATATATAAATAAAAACGAAAAACACTGTTAAATAAAAAAATTCTTCAAATATCTTTGTGAGGTATGTACAAGTTTAATTCACAATTGACCGATTTTTTTGAGAAGCGGTCGCTGCACCTATACATATTTACAACATGGAAATATAAAGACATAGACGTTCTTTCTTTACTTGAAAATAAAGTATGTATATATTTATATTATTCTATTGGATATTTTCCAAACATGTGTAATGAACAATTAGTATACAACCTAATCGTTTTTGTTTTTTAAGATGTGATTTTCGGTATTTATCCAATATGGTTACGTACACAGCCCATTTTATTTTTGCAGTGATCATCTTCCCTTGTTCCTATTCAAGCAAGTGTATTTATTGTAAAACGACTTATTACGTAAGTTATAACAAATTTTTTGGGATATGTTAATCAAAGAGTATTTTACTGCAGGTTTAAAGTTATAACGGTCTTAAAAATTTTTACAGTTAACTTAGGATATCAGTCTGTTACTTCAAAATTATAGTAATGTTTTCAAATAACATTATATTGTCTTTCCTAAAAAATTGACTCATTTTACACATCAACCGTAAATTAAAAAAATTTATTTCAAGGTTAGTAAGAAAACAAACAAGATCGTTTCATTTAACGAAGTAATTATTCATGAAATTCGAGTTTGAAGCCGATTTGATAGCCTCTAGTTGCGTACTCAGCTGTGTAACGCTCAGATTTGTATTGTTTTTCTTAAACTTCAAAAATATTGGTGTAACAAAATAGAAAAATATTCTTTTCTAGACACGATTTTTTAATAAAAAAAATTCACTTCATCTAATACTTATTGATATAACTATAAGTCAATCTAACTATTTTTCTGCAAAGTAAGTATAGTTTCATAGGGTCGAAAAAAGTTGTTTATTGTTATGTTGAGGTTACTGTTTAGATTTTGAGGTCAACTTATTAATGTTATTATACCCCTGTTGCATTAGTTGTCAAAAATTTAGAAGGTCACAGAGCATCGCGATGCCAAACCCAAGTTTTCTGTGTATGATCAAATCTGTGAGCAAGCCACTGTTGTTCCAATAATTGGTACCTATCTTGACTTAGGTACAGTGGCTTTCCTCGTCTGTTGATTAAAAAAAAATAATCATCATTAGCAATGTCCATCGACAAATAATCACTTAAGAAATATTTTAATAAAATACTGTACTTTAAATCTCTGTCTTCTTCTGCAAACTCATCGAGATATAAAGACCCCCATAGACAAGCCCTTTTGCCTCGAATAACAATTACGTAAGTTGATGGTATTACTAAAAATATACCTGTTCCACCGCCACAATCGATAGAATGCTAAAAACAAAAAGTAAATGATTATTCAACAATTCATTCTTTTTTCCAGTATATTTACAATGAATTATGTTACACTGGGAATAAAAATAGGTGGCGTTGATTCAAGAGCCCAAGTAAATTATACTTAAAGAACTCAATACTTCGATAGTCCTCACGGGTCAGTTAAGTTAAATCTACTCAAATATTGAGTTGAACCTTTGAGCTACTACCGCCCTACCTAGTGGAGTAGAATTTACTTGGGCGCTTCAGTCTACGCCAACTATCTTTTTTCTCACTGTATTACCTGTACAACTTCACAGACATTTAATTGTTTACAACAAGATTGTTTTAAACAGACTATTGTACCGCACAACAAGCATACACTTAATTCTGCAGGTGTAGAATGGCACTGTCGGCACTGTTTTTCGTGATAGTACTGGACATATAAAATTGAATTGATTAATACAAATAGCTTATAATTAAAAATACATCATGGCTTATGTTAAAAGTGTTATGTAAAATGAATACTTACGGTGAAAATTTTTTCATATTCTCTTGGAAGACCTAATAATTTTGGCATTTGCCACAGTAAGTGCTGATTCATTATTAAGCTTCTAGCAGTAATTTCACTTTTTGTCACAAATGCAGCGATTTGGTCACACCAAAGTTTCGGAACCGTGAGCGCTGCTTCATCAGTATGCCAACTCAATGCTACAGCTGCATTAAAACAATTCCAGTCCATACCTTCAGTTACTAACTCCAAGTAATACACAAGTCTTACAAATTCAGTTTCACATGAACGTATTTGCGGCAAAGGTTGGTCGTACAAATGATGACGCAAAATTGATGCCACTCGCAAAAAAGGCAAACAGAGAGCTTGAATCTGCAAATTTAAAATATTTAGAATATTAGATATTGTATCCTAAATATCTCTGTTGCTACATCGATGCACACAAATCTTTGAGAAGTTACCTGTTGTTCTATTACATGTCCTCTTATTCTTGCATGACTTGCAGGTGACGTAGGCGTTAAATCATCATTACGATAAAGTTCACTATCACGGAAATATGAAATCACAGTTCTGAGAGTATTTTCCGATGTAGCCGGACTTGTTTTATCACTCAACATGCTTCGACCAATGATTGCATTTCTTTCTGCTGGAGTTAATCCGCAACTAACTTGAAGTAATACTTGATAGTATAATAAATTGTACAATTGTTTTACGAGAACAGAGAAGTAAGCTGAAAAAATATAAGTATGAACTAAACTGTTATATTCTGATGAAAATAATAAATCCTGAAATTATCAAACAAACTCACTTTGGTCGATGTGTAGTGGAAGTAATAAGACAAATTGAATAAGTAAAGCAATTGGATCTTTTAGAAGTAATGGAACTTCCCGTTCGCAAGGTGTTAACGCAAGTAAGGGAACAGCATCCAAAGGTAAACCAACAAGTTGTTGCCATGTCTGGTGAACAGGCCACGTCGTTAGTACTCTTGCATGTACTGCTAGGACGTGTAGCAGAGCAACTAAAAATTAAAATGGAATTAAATTTTTTAATTACTTAAAAATAATACAAAATTCATAATTTTGATTAAATTTATTACCCATGCATGGACGCTGTTTTGCAGGAGAAGATACATGGCGGTCCTTGGGAGTATCTACAGGTTTAAAAAGCGTACCCCCTCGCTGAACAAGTTCTACTTCGAGATTTGTACGAGCTACCGATGTAACAAATAGGAATAAACTTTGATGACTAGGATTCCAATTCTTTTGTTTATACTTCATATGCGTAGAGCCTGTCATATCTTCCATTGATTTACCTATTGCAATAGCTAATTCGGAAGTTTGCTACAAAAAAAAATTCATTCAATTAAAGGTATTCAATTTAATTACAATATCATTAGAAAAAAAATCTTTACTGGACTTCGTTGAATTTCTTTTAAAAAGTTGTATACATCTTGATTGATTTGTTCAGGAGATGCATGACGAGAACGTACGACTGCACTGCATTCTCCTAACTGCGGCGACAGTGGTAGTACTGAATTGGCCAACTGTCTGCATAAAGGACAATTGTATTCGCCTCTATCTACAGCTATATTTTGATGTCTTTGGGAGCTACGAAGTGAAGCCAAATAAGATTTAAGGCAATCCAAATGTAAATGATGACCACAGGTTTGAACGTGTACACCACCATCCCAACCCAAATTCACGGAGAGTAAGCAAGAATGCTTAAAAATACATGAATTCATTAGCTACACGATAAACTGAGAAATTTTTTCATTGATAGTTTAATATCTCTACCTGGTCGAACGATCGGAACAATTCGTCTATCCGTAAGTCAAATTGTGCTCCGCGAGTTTTTTCTTTCAATTGAAATATGGGTGGATCATCATCTGACGTTGGAAGTTGTACACGCTCGGTTTGTTGCCGCTCGTGTCCAATTACACTCGTCGCCTGTGTTTACACGTTCATATAATACATATTGATAAATTTTGCAATGATCTAAATTATTACTTACTTGAACTAAGACAACCAAACCCATAGGCTTGTCTTCACTACTCGGGGTAGTTTGATTGCATATAACACAATCATATTCTTTTTTGCTGACTAATTTTGTCTGTCCTTCTTCGGCATTCCAGTCCATTCCAGAAGTTCCAGCTTCATCTATAAGTATTGTAGTATACAATATTTTATATTTTTAAATTACAGAGCTATTTCCAATTAATATTTTACCTGATTCCATAGTTTTTTGCATGAATTGTTTCTGTTTATTAGCAAATTCAGCCATGAGCTTTTGTTGACGTTCCCTTGCTCTACGACGGCGTTCTTCTCTCTCGTGAAGTTCATGTTCACAATCTGGCATCTGAGGCCAAAGACGATTTCTCGTCTCTGCTATATAAATTTTACATAATGGATTCAATTTGGAAATTTTATCTAAAAGTTTTCCAATGAAAAATGGACCATCGCCAATGCGAGATTCATGCTTTTGATTGGATCCATCCATTTCACCACTGTCGCTCTTCTCTGATTCTGGTGTTGAATCAGGTTTATAACTGTCAGGGATTCCTGATAATTGTGAGTGCAGTTTCAACAGAAGAGAAATTATACTTTCACCAACTCGTACGAATTGAGGTTGAGCAGATCCACCCTAATAATAAAATTATTACCATGATTTATCAGTTTAGAAATATACGTTGAATAAATCATGATACGAACTTGATGGTCTCGTCTTTTATATTTTTTAGGATTAGAAGTCGATGGTACTATTTCTTGTGTTGTTGAATCTGCATCTTCGATCGAAGATGAGTTGACAATAACCATCTCATTACCAGCTGTTACAGCAGGATGCGTAGGTGCTGGTGGAAGAGCAGGTTGCTCAGTTTCCATTTCGTCTGTTAAAAAAATAAATATTGAGTGAAACTGATATTATTTTTCTTGTTTTTTCATAGTAAGAAACAAAATTTGAAAATGAAGAATTTATAAGAATTCAACAAAAATGTCAAATAAGTGCAGAACTACCAGCTCAAAAATTAGCTTCTACGTTTACCTATATGTAAAAATCTGTATACATTCGTTAATTGTAGAGAAAAATAAAATAAAATTAATACCATTTGACATGGATGATGTTGGAGTTGCAATAACAAGAGCACTTGGTTCTTCGAGGGAGGGTAGTTCTGGTCGCGATTCTGGCATGGCTTCATCTTCACTATCAGCATTAGCTAAAGCTAGCACGCCGTTTTCTGATGCATAATAATCATCTTTATGAACAAATAATATATAAATAAAAAATAAGAGAAAAGCTCAAATTTGTTTGAAAAGTTTTATGCACGTACCGTTGGTTGTTAGATAGTTATTTGAAAAATTATTTTCCGTGGTTGGTTCATCGGAGACTTCACCAGGTTCTGTAGTTGATGATGGAAGAGCTAATACGGTGTTTCCATTTTCTTCACTATCGTTTATCATTGTTACTTCTGGGATATTGGATCGAAGTTCGCGATAGTCAAAATCGCCTGTACCGTTAAAAAAAATACATTAATACCCTTCAGAAACTTGAAAAATAAGTCTAAATTCAAAATAATAATTACTCTCAGAACTACTCCTTCGAGGTTCTGGTGGCAGTACAAGACGAGAAATGTGAGTTGTCAAATTTTCTGGTAAGTTATCACTCTGGAACCAAGTTGACAGTTCCATATCGTGGAAGACATGTTGTGATCCAATATGCCGATACTGCGTCACCGAATTAGACTAAAGATCAGATTATTCAATTTGTGAATTATAGCATTTAAAAATGCATCAAGAATTGAATGTAACTAACCGATTTATCGGAAACTTCAGCGGACATTACTGCCAATTCGAGCAGGTAAATAGTGAGAGCAATTGATTGTTCGGTCAACTTATGTTGCTTAACAGCTTTGAATAGTATGATGAACACCATAGCGTGAAAGAATTTCGACTGTAGAATCATGCAGGGATCATCGTAGTATTTGTCTACTGGCCAAGGATGGCGGAACGGTGGCCACGGTGTAGCATTAGCTTTTAATTTTCCAGTTTGCTTTACACTGAAATGGCAAAAATCGAGAGAAAAATTAGTCCTAAGCTGTTTTCTAACGTAGTGCTACTCTCATCAGCAAAACCTCATAAAACTTACTGAGCGGTGTACCGATCCATCGACATCTGAAAATCTTTTCTTTGAACTGCTCGTAACAATACATGCAACGGATCAAAAAGTTCATCCCATACATGAGCTTTCGGTCCGTACATGCCTTGTTGCATGTTCCCACTAGCTTCGAGATTCGGAGCTCGATAATCAGCAACCTGAAATCAAAAGTTTTTTGAAATATTTTGTACATTTTCTCATTAATACATGATAATTCGGCAGGTAGAAAATGACAAATAAAAATAATTACCTCCGCAAGAACGGATTCGAAATCCCGATTCTGAGTTGAACCACAACGTTCAGGCATTAATTCCATCAGTTGACTGTGAGTTTTGTCACCGATGCATAATAACGTGACCATTTCCAAACTCGACATTTCAGAGTCCGATAAACCTAAAACCATTTTGCAAAAGAAATTAAGTACGGTAAATTATTGGTACTCGGTAGTATAGATTTGTTACGTAGACTCACCCAAATTAGTGCGAACATTGACTAAGGTAGCCAAAAAAGTTATACAACTTTCGAGCATGACGTTGTCATCGTTACCTTCGAGATATTGGTTTTTCGGAGCATGATAGCGACTCAAACTCATCCATTCCTTTACATGAAATCTGCGGAAGTGAAATAAATTTGACTGCTTCAACCGTTACATTTGAATGAAAAAATTGTAGAGCAATTGATGAATTATTACTTGTCAACGATAATAGAGAGAAACGTTTCAGGTGGTAGTCTGGTCGCGCAGATTTGCAATAAGTATAGGTCGGCATCAACCATAGAGTTACAGAAATTGCATTGTATGTATGTCATTGCTTGACCTCGTATTTGCAATCCATTTCGTACCCAGAGATTGTTCAGAATCTCATAAAATGCGACCTGAAATCACAATGATAATAAATCATAAAAAGTGAAGACTAACACAATAGATTTGATAATTTTGTTGTTAAGTAAGGCTGTTTTCCGTATTGACAAGAAGCATCTAACCAGTTTGATCTTATGTAACGCTAGTTTATCTGTAAAAAGCATCTGATTCGTCCGGAATATCACGTACAATAGATAGCTTAGTGATGAGCTGTAGCATCATTTTGATGCACAAACTTCAAAGCGACCCATCAAGTTTTCATTACATCATATGCGCGTGGCTGGATAAGCGGTAAATTACGCATAAGTAAATGTAAACGATAAGGAAAGCATCAAAATTATTGGAGCTTCTAATTCAATTAAATTATCATTCACAAAAATAAGATACGTCAGCCGGTCGCCTCAAATATCATAATATAATGAATGAGCGTTATATTTGCAATAGACATGGAGAGGCATTTGACATTTTTGAAACGTAAAAAAAAGAGTAAGTGCTCGACATCTCGAAAAGACATTTTAGTTTGGCAGCGCTTTGGGGGTAGGCAAGACTCGCCAATATAGAAACGACAGCCAAGCCTAAGCAACGAAATCGAAAGGCTCGTCGAGTCGCTGCTCCATTCGCAAGCGACTGCTGCCATGTAGCCGGGTGTGCGAGTGAATACAAGGTATCCGGCCGTCCTTGTCTGGCGGACGCAGAAAGAGAGAGAGAGAGCGAGTATATAGAAAAGAGCCAATATAAAGCGACACACTCGCCCAAAGCTCGCTGCGACCGCATCGATGGCCGACGTGCAGTCAACGGCCGGCAGGCAGCCACTCGCCAGTCGCCGCCGCTGCCTGCCAATGTAGCATGTAGTATCGCATGTAGCATACATATTTTGCGCAGTCAGTGCGACGCAGGGATCTTGCCAGTGAAGACCGATTTATTTTATATATATAGGCAGCATAAGGCAGTAGGCAGTAAGGCACGCCGCCGCCGCCGCTGCGCTCCAGACTTTGTGCGTGCGATACGCGCACACGCCCGTGTGTGTGTTTACCTGTCTCTTGTCAGCTGTGCGAATATAAACAGTGTCGCGGAGCCGAGCGAGCAGCTGCTAAATTTCGGCCTCATTGAGTTCTTTTGATCGAGAGACAGTCAAACGAGCAACATGACGACGCCACGGAGGACGTGGCGCTGGGCTGCGCTGCTGCCGTTGTCGCTGCTGCTGCTCGCGGGTTGGCCCCGGGCAGCTCGGGCGATCGACTTTACCTTCGGCGACGTGACCGAGGTGCTGAAATTCGGAAGGGAAGTGGTCACCGATGCGCTCGAATCGTACGAGCTGATAAAACCCAAGCTACCCGGCGGTGCCTCCGACTCGGACTTTCCCTTCGTCAAAATGATGGAGAAGCGACTGATGAGTCAGATCGTCGGGGTTTCCAAGAAGATCGACGCCTTCGAGGGTCGGCTGGAGCATCGAGTCGAGCAAATGCTCGAGGCGACTCTGCAGAAGCTGCCGGAGCAGGATCAGCTGCGCCAATCGATGAACGAGCTGTGGAAGTACCTCACCCAAGTGGAAAATCTCTACCAGAGTTTCGTGCAGTACTCCAAGGCGCCCGAGAAGTACGAGCAGTTCACCATGGAGGAGTTCGCGAGGAACGCGGTGAGCTCGAATCTCAACGCCCTGCCCGATGTGCTGCAGATGATACATCGGCTCGTCGTGCCGCCCAACGCGTCCGTCGACCTCTTCCGCAGGAGCGTACTTTTGCTCCTCGCTCGCAACATGAAGGTAATCATCACATCCTCCCCCCGATGTTTTTCCCCGACCCGCTGACGCTCGCGCGTCACTCGACACAGTGTGCAAACTATCATCCTGTGGAAATCCCCGTCTATCTCCCGATGCGAATCCCCCAGAGTATCGACTTACGAAGTGACAGTTACGAACGTGACAATAGAGCTATTTTGCCCGTTCGCGATTGCGACGTAATGAGATCTCGCGTGCGCGAACGCGGCGGGGTCCTCTTACGCATCGTTAATACCTGCAAAATAAATAACTTTGCAGTTCGTATTATAACATGCGTTGGAGATACGTTACACAATCTGATAAGACAATAAGCTAGTTAGCTCGAATTGAACTTAATCAATAAGTATAACATCGTATACATGCACGAACACGCGCGAAATGTCCGATTTTTGTGTCTCGTTTCATCCGCTCTTTCTGTGCGTTTATTGTTGTGAATTTGATAAATTACATCGGTACATCGGGTAGAGTAAACGGAGTCTTGGGGGAAGATAACGACCGCATGTAGAACGAAAGATCATGCTACGCAAATGAAGCGAGCGCTCGTTTTTCCGAGTGCTCCGTAAAACGATATATATTTCGACGCACGTGCGCGTCTTTTCTCTCGTTTTACTTCTGGCTGTGCGGCTGCATTCGGTCGATAAGTCTGCGGAGGCAGTCGCTCGCTCGACACTCTACAGTCAACGACGGTCTTTCCTCTCGATAACGGCACTTTCATGAAAGGTTGCGTTGCTCGTAAGCTACTACGGAGCTACGGAGACACTTGTTCGATTTCGATCGAGTCTTGGCAAACTGTAGCTCGGCACGTTGGAGGCGCCGCACAAAGAAGCAGCAGCACTCGTTTTTTCCCAGACTCGGATGATGATTGCTGCGACTATATTCGTGTCTCGATCCTCGATCGAAATTGCTAGGACGAGTGCGGGGTTTTCTTTAGTAACCGATGGCCTCTCGCATGCGCTCAATTGAAGCCCCGCACAAATGCACCACGACGAACAGACGTACTCTTATATATGAACGAGGCTCGAGTTAACGAGCGAAAATTATCCGTCTCCCCCTCGGCGTATCGCGACTATATAGCATATAGCACAACAACAACGCATCGTGTGCCAAAGCACAGTGTGCATCGTACACAATCGTGTGTATAAGCTTGGCAATTGTTTATCGACGATCTTTCCAGCCACGCCGGAAGTGCACCAAGATATAGCGATGTATTTATATTACTCAAGCCGAGAGAGGCAGCATCGTATTCACAGGCTACTAGAGTGGCGATTGGAGATTTACAGGCTGCACGCGGACTCCACTTTGCTGACGAAGCACGCGCGAATGACGTTTCTCCGAAACTATAATGTAACGCGTCAGGATCTTTTATCACGCGTATAAATATATTTATTTATTTTTTTATTGTGTATATATCGTACTCATTTACATCCGGACTCGAGGCTCTTTTCTCTCGGTCCATTAACTGCGCCGTAGGAATGTCAGCTGCCTTGGCAGAGCTCTCGGACACCGCCAAGAATAGCAGCGGATTTTCTCCGCAAATGAATCAGTTAGGAGTATGAAAAACAAACGCTTGCTCCCAGACGAGCACGAAGGAGAATTTTCAACCGATCGCGCTCCGATCGACGAACAAAGAGCTTTGTTGATCTTTGTGTCGACTTGCAGCAGGCTGCAGCGGGCGAAATGTGCAGCAAAAGCGAATAGATAGCATAAGTAAGCGCGTATTCATCGACAACACGCTGTCGTTTGTACGTAAACGCACGACGGGATTGTTACAACAAATGTCATACAGCGCGAGCGCATAGAGAGCTAGCTAGCTCGACCTTGCGCGAGCTCCGCTTGAATCGCATAATTTTATCTGCGCCGAGTACGATGAGTTGTTCGCGCGAGCGCAGCAACAAAACGTGCACATTACAATATTCGCAAGCGCATCTGTTGCTTAATTCTAAGTAAGTAAATGCGAGAAGATTTAGAGAGAGAGAGAGACGTCACGAGCGGATGTCATCGTCGCTCGGCTCCAAAGTATAATGCTGCGATATCCGAGCCGCGATGCCGTATCATATTGATTTATTGACTTTAGCCACGGGGAAGCGACTTTCTGCACCGAACGGCGAATCAGGTTTTGTACTCGAATCGCAACTAATTCCATTCGGATTTCGAGAGACTTTCCAGAAAGTATCATGAAAAAAAAATCAACCAAAACCAAGCGAATGTAGTTGCAGATTCGTCCAGAGTGAGAAAGAGAAAGAAAAAAAGCGAAATTTCGGAGCATCGAAACGAGAGAAGAAATCTCGAAAAATTATCGAGCAACGCGTGTTCCATCCAGTATCTGTTATTCTCTCATGCTCTTACAAGTAATGTTGTATACATCGATTCGAAGAGATAAGAAGACTACGCTGTCGAGCAAATAGTCTCGACGGTAGAGGGGATTTTGCGAGAGCAATCGCACACTTTCGTCGTTACGACAGCAGCAGGCCTGTATAAACACGGCGAAAAGAAAAAAGAGAGAAAAAAGGAGTAAAGGTCGCGCGCGGCGCATGGCGGCAATGTTTCGAGAGTTAATGCAGGCAGAGGCACTCAAGAGCCCCGAGCCTCGAAATCTCGGGCTGTGTTATGTTATAGGCCGCGCGCGCACGTGTGGGTTTGTGTACAGTGGTGGTTGTCAAGCCTCGCCATTCGTCAACGGTCTTGCGACTATACGTGTAGGTATAGAGAGTCCAGGTGTCGACGGCAATTCGGACGTCGTCTGCGCGTTATCCAAGCGCCGATGGAGGTGGCGCAGGCCGAGAGCCTGTGTTGTCGCGCTGTATAAACGGGAGCTCGACGGCGTGCTGCCCCTGCCATCGCAGTTGAGACTCGCTCTCGTCACGGCTAATACTCTCGAGGTTCGAGCTGCGCTCTCTTTCTCTCTCGCTCTTACTCATTCGCTCTCCGACGCGCAGACCGACTGCTGCGCGCTTCAGGATTTCGCAAGGGACAAAACGTCCGCTCGTTCATTCGTTCGCTCGTGCTCCAAGTGTGTGCATACATCGAGTGCGCTGCCTCATTACATCCATACAGCGAGCAGTACATTTACATGCAGCCGCGTTGGCGGTCAGTGGCCTGGTTTTTTTCAATCGACTCGAGAAAATAACACAAGCTGCAGAAAGAGCAGCGGTGTCATCGACGCGACGGACTCTAGTCAGTCTTTCACAGGTATCGTGAGTGAATGAAAAAAAAAAGAGAAAAAAATTGAGACGAAAAAAACGAAAGGTCTTGATCGTCGAGCACTTGTGCCTGCATCGCATTACGTACTGCGCTCTCGTTTTGTGCGCGATGTCCAATCCGATCGTTGCTGCGCTGAATTCAAGGCGCCCTATTTGCTCGCGTTTACATTACGCTCGTATACATTAATAACGCGCGTCGATTAGCAGAGTCCATGTCACTTTTTGTTTTACCATCGCTCCGAAAGTCAACAAGCGAACTTTTGAGCTACGGTTCGTATACAGCTAACGAATGACTCGGTGAGTGAATATTCGTGCGGGTTTTTCGTATTCATCGCGCGTGTTGCTCCCTCGCTTCAATGGCTATGATCCGCACGGACAATGTACACACGACTACTTTTACTGGCAGCAGTTGCTGCTGTTGCTGCTCGTAACATGTGGGCTGCTGTCTAACGTTTCGAGCGATAGTTTTCTTTGTCCAGCTCCGCTGACACGCGTGACGAGCCGCAGCTCCGGAGCATGTGTTCGCGTTTACGATTCCTTTCGATCTTACATTTTTACTCGAGTGTTCCTCGTACGCGCGACAGTGCAGACGGAGGAAAAAAATAAAAAATTAAAAACGTATACGAGGCAATTGGCTTTAATTTGTCGCGCTCGGGCGAATCGTGTATATGCGGCCACTTTGTTTGTTACGGCGTAGCGCAGAGCGACGATGACTCGGTAGCGCGATGTCATAAGTCAACGCGCGTCAGATCGTGTGGATTTTCACGATTTCAAGCGCACAAAAGACTCGGTACACGGCGCACGAGACCGCGGACAATGCTTGCTCGGAAAAGTTAGTTGAGCAGAAAAGAGCCAAGTGGGTCACAGCGCGAAAAAGCTAATAATTGTCGTGGAATCGCTCTGCGAGCTTTGTTGTACGAGGCGACGAGCTCTGGAATCCTTAGAAATATTGGGGAGAGCTCTCACTCGATCGGACGAGTCGCGAGTTCAAGATCGTCGCTCGAAAAGTACCGATTGGTCACGGCTGGATTTGTCTTTCAACGTGTCTCGGCGCGTATAAGTGCAGCGTGAGGCAAGCGACTCTTTCAACGTGACTTGCATGGACTTTCGTGACGCGTTAAATAATATTCGTCGGAATTATCGACATTACCCGGGCAAGGCGTAATCGCGTGGCTGCACTCGGCAGTATCGTAATGCATGTTTGACTCGTAACCGACAATCGTTGATTATGCCGCACTTATTAGTTTCGTATAACCCGCGTGCTCGCGCGCGAGAGAGAGCGAGTACATGTGTAATGAAGGCACCAGTGGAAACCGATACGATCTATCATTTATTCGGACTCGATTAGATCTTGCCGGATATTAGCGAACTCTCGATCTTTCGATTCAGGCACTTTTCGATTAAAACTTCATCAACACTTTACATAAAGAAAAAAACGTGTATGCTTGGAATCAAAGACTACAGAGAAAGTTTCGCAAAGAAGGACTTACTCGATACAACGAATGAGTACAAATCTATTCAATTTTTTTCTACGCAGACGCATCGAAAAGGATATTTAAGAGGCAGCCGCAATGGCTGGTAAATCATTCAAATGGCTGATTTTTGCCGTGTCAATGATATGGCTAGAATCGACGTTGACCGAGGCTAAAAACCCAGCGTCAAAGGAATTTACGCTGGTCGACACACTCCGCCAAAAGCTACTGACTTTGAACGAGGAGCCGTGGAACGGCGAATCGTCGTTGCTCAACCTCGTCAAAATTTACAACGGCTTCGGAAATGATTTGGACGAAGCCTTCCCCAAGAGTCCGGAAGATCATCTGGGCCTGCTCGACACGCTCTGGTTGTGGGCGCGAACCCAATCGGAGCTGCGCAGCGTCGAGGGCCTCTACACGAATTTCCGGCGCATGCAGAACCAGTCGCTGGAGCAGCAAGACTCGCCACTCGACCTGAAGCGCTGGAAAAACTTTGCCGATACCGTGCTCAGAGACGTTAACGCCGCGGTGCCCGAGGCTCTCGCCCGTATCGCTCAATTCGTCGTAACCGATCGACTTTTCATGTATGCCTACCAGGTACATCCTCGTCGTTGCCTTCGGCGCTACTTTCCGCGCGATATGAGACCTCGTTTCATTCCTATATACCCGATTAAGTCCCTGTCCTGCACGATCGAGTGCGTTTGACCTGCATAAATTTGCGACGCAATTGCCACTGACTAAGTGGCCTCGTTGTCAAAAACCCCACTGATCGATTCGATTTATTGTTTTTTTCTTGCCACGCAGGAGGCTTCGTCCCGGATGTGCCATGACCAGCAGTCTCCGCAGCAGCTGCTCTACAACCTCTACAACACGATCGCGCTCGTCGAGGTCAAGGGCGCTGCAATGATGCAGTTCTCTTGGACCATGCTGAGGATGTATAACAAAGGTCTGCTTCGGATTTTTTTTCTCATCCCCCCTATTCCTGTATCTAACGAATTTTTGGTTATTTTTTTCCAACAGGTAATTTCACCGAAGAAGTCGAGCAGCTGAAGCAGCAGTACGCCATTCGGACGTCCGAGACGTTGAGGGCGGTAAAAACGGCCATGTCGTTCGCGCCTCGCGAATTCTGGAAATGCGACCCGGCCAAACATCAGCTGGACACGACCTACACCGAGCTCAAGCAAGTCTTCCAGGGTTACATCGTCAACGAAGTCGACATGAACCCCCAAAGTACTTGCAAAGAAAACTGCGCTTACTACAGCTACTCAAAGGTCCACGGCTGCTACGGCAATCAATTCTGCGCTACGCAGCGTCGTTGCAACGGCAAGCTGGTCAATTGTCAATACTTTGATTCCGACATGTGGATCTGCCCATCGGTAAGAGTCTTACTCTGAAGAGCGAGTAACGACGACGAAGCAGTTGACGACAAATTTCATTATTTTGTAGGGCAAGAACAGCGTGAGGAGATACGAGTACGTAGAGTACGAAAATGGCCAAGTGTTCGGACGAAAGGACACGTGCAAGAAGCCGACCATCAAGGTGGACAGCTGGTGGCGTTGGTTGTTCTGGCATTGCAGTTACTGCATGTGCTACTGCGACGATCACAACTCCAACTCCGATCGCTACTTCAACTTGCGCGACGTCATGGCTGACATCTACGCCAACAAGTGAGTAAACTCGTCGCGCGTTGCCGCAAAACTCGTGTCCAACTAATCGCTCCTTTGTTGCTCTCTTTTCTGCGCAGAGTCGTCACGGGCGTTCGCATGAAGAAAGAGAATCAGGTGATTCACATTCAAATTCAGCAGGGCACTTTGGGGCCCCGCGGCTTCATCGACCCGGAAACCGTAGCTTGGAAAAAGATCGACAACTACACGATCATCGACGACGACGTCAAGGCGGGCATCGACTACCACACGATCATGTGGGAGAAACGAGCCGTCGATCTGGACGACCTCGAGGCCCCGAGCGACCACCTGCTCACCGGACTGCGATTCCGCACCATCGGCGCCCACTTGAACCTCGAAATTATGATGACCCCGTTCAACTTCACCACGGGTAAACTCGTGCCCGAAAAGAGCCAGTGGCACTCGCAAGACACCACCGACGCGAGCGATCAAATCGATCTCGACGGAGAGATGCAACAGGCTACCAAGAGGTAAGAATGCATCGAACTACTTGCGAATTGACTCGTTTTTCACGTGTTCACGTTTACAGGACCGAACTGAAGCTGGAGAAGCCCGACATTCCGACGCGCTCGCTCGCCCAGGCGGTGCCCGACTCCCAGTCGAATCAGTACCTGCTGTTCACGCCGACGGACCTCAACAAGGACGCGGCCCAGAGCACGGTGCCGTTCATCGACGCCCAACCCGTCGAGCCGAGACCAGCGGTGCCCATCTCCGGCGCCGGCATCTTCCACAAAGGCCGCAGCGGCTACGGCGGCTTTCTCGCGCTCAAGCTCATCACTTACAACTTCGAGCCGCAGATTCGCACGGAGCTTCCGTCTTCGCCGCCGCTAATCGGCTTGAGCAACGACATCAGCGGACTGTAAACGCGACTGTGTCGAAGCGCGCGACGGGGTTTATGGAGCCGCGTTGAATACGATGTAGACCTACCCGATTACTTCAAACGTGTGGGTGGCGACTGCCGGCTATGCTCTTATCTCGACATTGCCAAGATACCAGAAACTAATTTTCTCGATTATCTATCCGACCGTTAAACTTGATCAGAGTCAATAGGCTTATAAGATAATAGAAGCAATTTGTTTTATGTACATTTTATCTTCATTAGTTATAATTGAATTACCAATTATGGACTAGTTCTTTCAATAGTTTTCTTGTAATAAACACGACCGACGATTTTTCAACCATAATCAAATTTTGTTACTGTTCTTTTGACTTTTTTTACATTGATTTTTTTGCTGTATAAAACATGGCTTTACTATCGATATTTAAAACTTCTAGCCACCCAAGGTGACATTAAAGTACTGTGATTGTAATTAATAAAAGTACCTACAGCGATGTAATGTACGAACGGTGCACAATGCCACTTACATTGAACAAAAAAACCTGTATACAACCGACTTTTTTTCTAAGAAAATGAATAAATACAATTTTTTTTAATTAAAAAATACAAAGCTAGACCAAAATGACTTTTTCTTTGCTTTAACCCAATTTAAAAAGAAAAATCATATAGATTCAAATGAAATGTAATAAATTATATATGAGGCATTTCATGCGAAGTGTCCTAGCGCTTCGCCGCGCGGCCCAATTAAGCGAAATCACTCAGTTTCTAACTCACGTAAAAAGTATCAAAATATACTCAGAAAAAATAACTAACTAATGATTTCGATAGAAAATTTCCTCAGCTTTCCGATGGTGTGGTCAGATTTTCCGAAATTTTCCATTTTCCCCGGAAAAATTTGACATAAAGTTTAAAACGCAAATATCTCAAAAAGCCCATTTTTAAGATTTTTTTAAATAGTCCCAATCGAAAGCTGAGGAAATTTCCTAACTGTATGCAAGTTTTCAGAGTGTGCAATTGATTATTACTCAATGAAATACAGCGACGAACGTGTAAAAACGTGAGATTTTGCGACGCGCGGGGTACTGCGCGCGGGAACAGCTGCCGCACGGGCCGAAATGTCACGTTTTTACACGTTCCTCGCTGTATTTCATTGAGTAATAATCAATTGCACACTCTGAAAACTTGCATACAGTTAGGAAATTTCCTCAGCTTTCGATTGGGACTACTTAAAAAAATCTTAAAAATGGGCTTTTTGAGATATTTGCGTTTTAAACTTTATGTCAAATTTTTCCGGGGAAAATGGAAAATTTCGGAAAATCTGACCACACCATCGGAAAGCTGAGGAAATTTCCTATCGAAATCATTAGTTAGTTATTTTTTCTGAGTATATTTTGATACTTTTTACGTGAGTTAGAAACTGAGTGATTTCGCTTAATTGGGCCGCGCGGCGAAGCGCTAGGACACTTCGCATGAAATGCCTCATATTCTCGTTCACAAATTCATGCAATCATGTCGTTTTATACGAAATATTTATGATAATTAATCATAATACTGAAAGTGTTTGCATAATCAAAACATGAAAAAACAGGTAAAAATTAAATTTCTCAATTCATAGGACAAATTTTTCAGTTGAGTTTATAAAAGTATACAGACTTTTAAAAAAATATTCAAATGTCGAGACAAAAATGCAAACAGCTTTCATAAAGCTCGAGAAGTTATATTTATCTTTAATCAGCAAACAAATCTTTAGGAAATATATACTCCTAAACTTGAGTAATTTAAAGAAATTTATTTTTAAACCCTGTTCTAATAATAAAATTAAAATTAAGTACTCACTTGTACACGAAGAGGATGCATCATTAATAAGTGTAGAGTCTCAGTACTTGGTAAAAGTTCATTCAAGGTTGCACATTTTTGACGGATAGCTTGACATAAAAACACTGCATAGTAGCGATGAAGAGGCAAATGAAAAGATACTTGCAAACTGTCATTCTGCATAATACAATATAAAATTGATTATTTGAGATATCATTTCATCTTTCCTAAAATGTAATTTTTACTTACCACTTTGGGATCATTGAAATTAACAGCATCTAACCAGTCTTGTAGTGCAGTTTGGCAAAAACTTAAAACCCTTCGAGTCAGCAGAGCACTTGAAGGACTACGAAGATGTGAAACTAAAGCCCACATTGGATAAGCACTTGCTTCTAATTCTGCACTAAAGGCTGCATAGTATGTGTTAGGTTCAAATTCTATGTGTTCACCCATTTCTCTTTGATTAACGTTCATCCCTGCAAAAATTAATAAAATTAAAGTAACTAGAAAGTTGAATATTAACAAAATATATTTATATAAAAATACCTTGAAACATGGATAAGAAATCGAACCACATTTCTAATAAGGAGTCATCATACATAAATCGCTGAGCAACAGGTTTGTGAGACAAAACGTTGTTTAAATCAGATACAAGAGGCCAATAGCAGTGCTCTTTCATGACCTGCCTACCACAATCCACTACATAATGAAAATTTTTATCTTGATCTAGAATATTTTTAAAATTATTTTTAGTAATTATTTCATAGGATTATTTGAAAAGAGAATAAAAAATTACTTACCATGCAGTACATTTTGAATCAAAATTTTGCTCATCATATATTTTAAACTTATCACCATAACATGTAAAAGTTTAAGTTGATCTACCATTCTAACAGCCAAACTTTCATTGCTAAATAACTGAAAAATGTAATATAGTGTTAGATAATTCTATTTTACTAAACTTATTGTATAATTTGTATTAATTAAACATTTTAATTTTTAATAGTAACTTTTTTTTCATTACTGAGTTGTTGGAATTAAAGTGAAAAAAAAAAAAAAAAAATTATGATGAATATAATTAAGGAAACATTTTCAAAACATAAACAAATCATAAACCTTAACAGCATAAAAACTACGGCAATGTTAATCAAAATGCAATAGTAAGTATAAGTATTTTTGCAACTTTACCTGAACACTAACATGAACAACTCGATTGCTCAAGGTATCAGGATCAACGGACCTTTCCAACATCATAGAAATTCTACTATAGTGCAAAACAAAGGCACGAGTCAGAGCTTCTTTATAATCTGGGTCTGGCAGCATATTTAGTAATAAACAAACAACTTGTTGAGGAAATTCATAAGCTACTGTCCAAAATACAAGTTCCTCAAGGAAAGTTTTATGCTCTAGTTGCTCTTGCAAAGATGCGCACTCTGAAGAAAATGAATAAAAAGTTATAAGTCTTTTGAGTATCTATTTGTAAAGTTTTAATATCTAAAGTCAATCATACCTTTGTATTCATCTGGAGGTTCAGGATTTGGTAAACCTTTGATAGCATCTTGATAAGTTTTATAACTATCTCTACAATATATATCGTAGCGGGATTCCCCAGCATACGTAGAAGGGTCCATCAAACCACGGTACTTTTGAGGATTTGTAAGAGCGGTTGTCATAACATGTCTCATTAAAGCTCCCATGTTATTGAGGTCAACTAGCATTTTTAAATAAACTTCAGCTTCTTGAATTGCAGTTTTGAAGTCAGGCGCTCCAGTTTTGCTGTTGCTGTAAATAATAAAAAATAACATGAATTAGATAAGAATTATACAATAGTTAGACAAATTAGAACCTTTTACAATTACCTATTTTCTCTTAAATATTGTATAAGTCTTAAAATAATCCTTGGCATTATTGCTTCAGCTACACACATAAGGTTAGACGGTGCAGCTGATTTATTGACAGCAGCTTTTGGTCCATGCTTATCACAAAATCTATAAAAAAAGCAAATCAAATATAAAAGTAATTTATAAGTATTGAATATGAATTAGTTGATTAATGATAGCTTACCCAGACTCTTTCATAACTGAAGTATCTCCACAATCGCAAGCTCCACCAGCTTGACTTAGAAACATATTGAAATCATGTTTTTCATGATTACCTTTTTTGAAACAGTTTGTACATAAGGACATGCATGGTGAAATACCACAAGTGCGGCACCTGTACGCCACAAAATTAGGTGTCCAAACCAGACCACAAGTTGTAGCATTATCATAATCTTTCACTATAAGAAACAATTATGATTAGTCCAAGAAAAGAATGACAAGATCAATGTAGTTTAAATTTGAAGCCAATCCAAGATCTTTACCATACCAAAAATGAATCATAAAGTAGAATTTCAAACGAATGTAGCAAGAAGCAAAGGATGGTTCATTGTTCAAGTATAAATGTAAAGTATAAAAAATAAACATACCTATGCTGTCAAATTCATCAAAAGTACTTCCACCAGCCATGAGCCATTTGCACCAATCGATGGTTTCCCAATCACTGATAGGTTTTGTAGGATCAAGAATTTTTTCCAGGAGGGCTTTGACAGTATTTAGAGCTGCATTGGAGTGCATTCCAAGAGCAGCCTTACTGCACTCTGCATGTATGTAGGCTGCAGTATTTCGCTTGCCTTTGCTCATGAGAACGTTGATGAATTCAGCGTCCGGAGTCGCGGCCAAATTAGGGTCGTGAGAGGTTGAGGCCGCCATGTTCCTGAGGTGAAGCGGTTGAGAGTTGACGAAGATAGAGTGCAAGTCAACGACAAAGAGATTTGGGAGAATCAACGAGCGTGCCCGACGAAGATGGAATCGGCGTGAGCGACGAAGATCTCGGTCAGCTGTGTTGCTGCCAGCGCTGGTGGCCCAAGGCGACAGGTGCAACGGGGCGGCATGACCGAGGTATGATCACAGAGTCGTGGTCAATCGACCGGTTGCCGCAAGCCGTTGGACTCGGTTGCGTAAACTGGTCCTCGAAGACGTAATATTCGGTAATGCGCTCGAGTGTCGCAAGCAACTGGCAAGCACTGCTGTTTGGCTCGGAAGGCAGCACCGATCTCGAACAAAATTAACAATTGCAGTGGTGACCGGGTAGGCGGCTCATAATGATCACTGCGTGATATACGGCACACGACGTCGTCGGCGCAAGGTGGTGTGCAGGAGTCGACTGCAAGCACGACACGATCGGACACGGACGAAGGGCAGCCTGATCGGAGGCAGCTGGGCCGTGTGTGCGTGTCCGAGACTCGAAGGACTCGAGACACCGAGAGCAGCGGATGACGAGCGACGAAGAAAGTGTGCCTGGCTATGTATATCGGACAATCGAAGACGGACACACGGGACGGGACAGTTAAAAGAGAGCAACAGCAGCAGAGTAGACGAAGTCTCGAGCGCGAGCCGACTGCCGAGAGCTCTGCGCTGCGAGGGGAGAGATATTCGCGTGTGTGAATGCGTGTGGACTGTAGCCGTATATACCTTGGTAATTCGTATCGTTACTCTTCACACTTCACAGGCTGTGCTCACTGCTCACTGCTGGAGCGTTGGCTCTGGCTATGCGCGATTCGCGATTCGTGAATCGTGCTGCACTCGCAGCAGTGCCTCAATGCTCGATGCTTGGGGCTCTCTGCTGGTACACCTTGCAGCAGCTCCTCTATCCTATATATGCTATACAGCAGCACACTTCTACTTACTACTACCTATATATATACCTGTACACCTATATATGCTATGCGCTATACACTATAGACACGCAGTGTAGAGCTAGGTGAGCGAGCTATATATAGCTATAATGTTGTATGCACGCAGGTAGGATATACAACGGAGTACTCGCTCTGCTGTCGAGTTGCGCTCTCGCACTGGTTAGTAGTGCGAATTGGCCATTCGCGCAGTGCTGCTGCTGTTGGCCGACGTATATGTGTATATAGCTGGCCTGGCACAGCAAAGCAAAGCAGTCCACATATACAGCAGTCTTTCATTCGCGCATGCCGTCTCGCTCGCACTCGCGCGCCAAAAGATCGCGAGCAGTATAGATATTAGCTGCCCGCCTGCTCTTTCTCTCTCTCTATATACAACGATATATACCTATATGAGCAGCAGCATAGCGTAGCCACTATATGACCAGTCGGTTTCGCTTACAACGGCGTCAATATACCTGTATATACATAAATCAGCGCGACTCAAGCCTGCGCGCTGTGTAATTCGCAGTTGGCTGCTGCTCGCTGCTCCGTAAAACATCTCGTCTCGCTCGTCGATGTATTACTTTTATATAAAGGTATACACATACGCGATGTCTATATGCCATTAGTTGGCACGCAGGTCGCAATTGTGCCTTTAATGCCACCGTGTAGTCGATACTCTGCCAGGCCTACCTATATACCCTCTGCCTCACTCCAAACCTGCAGCCGAGCCATACTAGCGGTCAGCGGTTTATAGTGTAGTACATCGGCCGCAGTTGGCTCGAGTCTATTTTATCGGGCGAGCTTTATGCGATCTCGGGATCGAGAATTTCATCGCTCTGCAACTGCAGCTATATAGGACTGTACTACTATTTCCCCGACCAACACACAACTTATAAAGCGCACGATGATAATTTTTAGCGCGCCGACCGCCGAGCGAGCCTCTACTCGGCCCTCGTCGCTCTCGACCGAATTAGAGCTCTTGGTATTGTATCGAAACGAGGAGTCGAGCGCTCGTAAATAATTCCTCGTCTAATCAATCGTTCCTTGACCTCGAATGAATTTCCATCTGGATTTGCTTTCGGTTATAATGAGGTTTTTTATCGGCCCTGCGCACAGACTGAATTTCTTCTGTACGCGGATGAGTCATTCGCAAAAGACGAATGTCCAAAATAATCGCGGGCTTATACTTACCAGGCGGCCAGGACTTTTCATCATTTTTTTCCTTGGATTCGTCGTGATCTCTAGCATCTGCATTAATAATCGCAGATTTTTGCCAAACATCTCGAGCGATCGAAAGATGACTCGATATACCTACTACCCACGATTTTAAAAAAATCTACATACGAGCTATTTTGGCCCGTTGTTTTTTACCCGGGCATCTCCATTTATAATATAGCCGCCATGGGTACATCTTCCCGAAGGTCAAACAAGACCCGCTCGGTTCAGCAAATTTTTCATCAAAACAATTGTTCGTGCAAACGTCAATTTCTATTTCTAATTACCACCTCTAATGGGTTTCAAGTACTTTAACTAGGATTTTACCACGCCTAATGTCGATGTGCTGACGTGGTTCATAACATTAGATTTCAAACGAATCCCATCCGTGTCTTTTCGAGTATCCGCTACAAAAGGGGAAACTCATGTTTTACCTCGAATACACGGTGTTCGCGAGACAAGAATCATAATAATCCTTTGTTTTATGAAGACTTTCGAACTTAAAATTCACCAACCTTTTGAATTTTTTTCAAACGTATCTCAGAGCATGAAACTATTTCGTGCATAGGTCACATAAGCAAGCTGATGTTGAGAAGCTGTCAATTTCGAACGGGTCTTGAAGTGAATCATCACAGATCTATATCGTATCAATAGTCTTTCTATGCGTGTCGGAGTTTTGTTATACTCTCCTAAAATATATATCATATTTATATATTAGAGTAGCTTGGGAAAATCGCAGAAAATAGTTCGAAACTAATGAAAATGTCTCAGCAAGTACGATTAGCCATGACATATGGGTTACAAAATAATTACATTATCTGTATACCGCAATTCAATAATGAGATTCTTTTTCTCTGCTATTTCTTTACGTAGCAAGTGGAGTAGTGACAACTATAGAGTGTATTTATCTCGTGTATTTACAACTAACTGTCAATACAAACTTTTTAATACTTTCACATTTACGAAAATCTTAGCACTTACCTTGCATTATTAATTAATTTCTCTCTAAATATGACTTTGCGCGTAAGGAAGAAAAGTTCAGCCCGATCCTGTAAAAATTATGCAAAAAAACAATCAATTATCACAATAACTTCGGCATAATTACATCATTATGCTTGAACGATTATACAAATTTAATGATCTTGGGTCTTGAATTATTACTAAAATCATTATTATTTTACTTATTAATAAAAAATTATTGAACAATTATTACTTAAATCAAGTTTACCTTTCTTGTTTTCTGTCGTTATTTAAAAGTAGTTATAATGTTCGCTGCTTGGAGCGCTACCTCCTGGCTGCAGAAAGCACATGTTCTAGGAGGCTATGTGAATGTGAACGAAGATTCTTTTACACCGGGTGGTGCTTCTATGTTCATGTAGCTGTGAAGAACAAAAATTAATTTCAGGTATTGTCAAGGTTTAATTTGATCAAAATTTATGTTATCGCAAAACTTCGAAGCTGTAAATATTAGATTCACGTTGGTGGGAAAACTTTTGATTTTTCACAATGAATAATTCTTGTTTCAAAGCAAAATTCAAAACTTAACCTATACTCGGGGATTTCATAAATTCTGCATATTTTGGTTATCAGTAATAGTAATACTTATTTTATATTATTAATTATTAATAATTTACATTATTAATGGAACTGTTATTAAATATACTTTACTTATAGTTTAATAAAAATCTTTCTCATAATGAGATATCTAATGTATTATATTTACTGTACTAAATTGTATGTATAATACTTGAGTAATAAATATGTTTCTTTATTTTTTAATCAGCCATGGTTCGTATGAATGTATTAGCTGACGCTTTGAAGTCTATCAACAATGCTGAGAAACGAGGCAAACGACAGGTTCTCCTTAGACCCAATAGCAAAGTGATTGTCAAATTCTTGACTGTCATGATGAAGCACGGTGAGTAAATTAACATTAATTTTTAAATAACTTTTGTTATAATTATGTATTGACAATATAAGTTTTCAATTCTAAAATGAAAAATTCCATTGTTATTTGACAATTCATGAGTATAAATATAAGTATTTAGTATTATATTATTATGCTTTTACTACCTTCATTAAAATACTTCTATCCTTACGATTGTTTTCAATCAAATTAGTTTAAATCATAAATTTGACTACTTCTAGTTTTATTTCACATGATTGTTAAATTTTAAATGAATAATTTCATGGTTCTAGGTTACATTGGCGAGTTTGAGATTGTCGATGACCATCGCAGTGGAAAGGTAGTTGTAAATTTAACTGGAAGATTGAACAAATGCGGTGTTATCAGCCCTCGTTTCGATGTACCAATCACACACATTGAAAAATGGACCAATAATCTACTCCCAAGTAGACAATTTGGGTAAATTTAATTGTTTTTTGGCCATTGTTTATTATTTAATATTATACATACTCATTTGTACATATTATTTCAGTTATGTCGTATTGACCACAAGTGGAGGTATTATGGATCATGAGGAGGCCAGGAGAAAACATCTCGGAGGAAAAATCCTTGGATTCTTCTTCTAAATTAATTTTGTAAATGTTACAAAAATATTATTGACAACAATGTTATATTTAATATAAATAAATGTCAGTATCTTTATAAAATTTGTTATTTTTCTTTAAAAATGGAGTGGATTATTTCTTTGTAACCCATGAATATTATCGCTTATTGATAAATTATGCAAAAAAGGTACAAAAGAGTATGATTAAGAAGTACGATTAAAAATTGAGAAAGTGATGGAATTTTGTACAAGTAAAAATTTGTAATTTGTAACTGCATGTATGAAATATTATGGGATACTATACATTGAAAATTACATTAAAGTTTTTATCTCAACTTCAGAACATTGTACTATCGTTTTTTTAAAACGATCGATAATATCGTTTTTTTAATTCGAAATGTAAGGTTCGGTTCAAAATCGATAGATGTCGGCACTCGGCAGTCAGTTGGGCCGCGTAAGCGCTGGCAAAGTCAGTCCATACAATGTGATATCGCTGCTTAAATGCGATAATAGAAACATTATCTATTTTATAGGAAAATTTCTTTATGATATCGAATGTAAAATTTAATATACGGATACTAAGTATTATAGATTTAAGCTTAATTATAAGAATCAATATGTAATATAAATATACGTTTGTATTTCGCGCTATTTTGTATTATACGTGGCTATGTACAAATTTCTTTGTGTTGCCAATAAAACTATATTCAAGTCAAGTCAAGCCGCGTAAGCGAGCGCTCAGCACGACACGATGCTCATTTCGTACGCGAAACGATCGGAAAGAATCGGGACTCTGACGCGACCAACGAGGCTCGAGCTACAAGGGACTACGGTGCCGCCTCGGTAATCGCGAGCGTAGATTGGCTGGCGGGGCGCATTCCACAGGCTGCCGAGTCGCGGCGGGAGCTACAGCGCCGTTGCTGCTGGCTTTGCACGACTCGCACCAGCCGCATAACGCGCGCGAGCGCCTGCAATCGCGTATCGTGCCTACACGTCGCTCGCTCCAACGCGCCCACCCAAACAAATCCTATACGATCGAATGTGTAATATACGCTACTACGTAAGGCGATATTTTACGTGCTCGGTCCGAGCGACAGTCGATCCCTCAAACTGTGCAAACTGACAACTCAGGTCAGTGTGTGTGTACGTGCGTTTGCCTCGATTCGAGCAAACATAATTGAAGTGTCCAAAAGCGACTCGCGAGCAAAATAGTATACATCGAGAGTGTTGTGCGCGATTGTGTAGGCTCTCCCATGCAACGCGAAAGGCTCACCCAAAGTAAAAGTTTGTGTTGGTTTTACCTGTGCGAGTGTGCCTAGGCTGCAGGGGCTTCTCGTGCTGTAGCCGTGTTTGTGTGTGCTCTGCTCGTGTGTAGCGGCAGCGCCATAGTTTACCTGTGCCGTGTGCGCTCGGCCTCGTTCGGTCTCTTTTTACCAAGCCAATATACCGTCCATCTCGGGCTGTGCACGCACACGCCGTAACACACCTTGTACACCTCAACCTGGTGGAGACTGTAGCTAGCTGCATCGGAGAATTGGCTGCCGTTGACAGTGGTCCCATTGGTGTACTTCCAGTTCACTGCACCCGAGCGAACTTTTGACAGCGCGTTCTTATCTCTAGAATTCGATAGTTGTTTGTTCGAACATTTTACGCGCGGAGCATGCCGCTCACATAGAGTCTCGCCGCGGTCGAGCCAATTATCGCGTATTACGGTGCCGCACGCTCGTGCGGATCAAGAGGATGCATCCAAGGATCAGGACGCTACGCCCCGAGCTTGGAGCAGTCGCCACATCGTGCCTGGCGACCTCGACGACCTGATAACCGTGATAAGAAGAAAAAAAATAGTGCATGCTGCAATTTGTGTTACGCGTCAGTGCATCGTGACCGAGTGCGCCGAACGCCAACTGATCCTCTCGAGGATCAACAAGAGCAGTGTGACGAGTGATTTTGTGAGTGTCCCGGTGTGCCCTAGCTCGTTGACCTACAGCACAATGTCGAAGGACCCAGAGAGCAGCATCAAGCGGCGCCGGCCCTTTGGGCCCGCTGCAACCGTTGCCGCCATCGTCTTACTGCTGGCACTGTCTTCCAGTGCCTCTGCATCAGGTTGGTATTCTTAAACTTGCTAGTTGTAATAATCGTCGTACAATGATACAAGCGATTTCCTTTCGGAAGCCACCGACTCGTCCGACACATGTTTTTTTCTTTTCATATTGGCACAGCTTTTCGCGTTCGAAAAATTATGTTGGCGTGTTTTAAGCCGCGCGTCACAGGTGACTTACAGTGTCAACCAAGTGCTCGCCGCTCGAGTAAAATTCGATTGTTTCGTTCGTTCTTTCCCGACGAAATGACACATCTGCTTGTTATGAGTGGCGGCTAATCGTCGCGCAATTGTTTCGTTCCCCCCGCGCTCTGCCGGACAAATAGTCGTTTCTCATAACTCACAAAGGCGTCTTCAAATGCCTTGGCTATGGAATTATTTAACGAGGTACACACTGAGCACGGGTCAAGCAGGTTGCTCGCTAGTTTTTACTCACGCACCAAGCGCAATCTTTAGGCAAAGTACCAATCGATGAAGAACAACCAAAAAGGAACCGTCCATCGATAGGATTTCGACGAGAGATGAGCTAATAGCCACGTTATGCCGAGAGTCTATAAGTACGCGAGAGTAGCGTTAAGTAAGAAGATCGAGAAGAGAGCGGCGAAGCGCAAACTGAAATCATTGCTCAATTAGTCTCGATTTTATGCGGGGCTAATGCGTGGCAATTGATTTGAACTCGCGGACGCGCGTACCCGTGTGTGTCTACGTTTCAAATGCCTCGTGAGCTCGTGATGTGTGGCGGGACACCCTCACGCACGTCGAAATTTATGTACAGCAGTGCGAGTGATGAGTGAGTGACTAGCGAAAGAGTCCCGTTCGATGCCATGTCATGCTCTTTACACATTCGGATTTCAAATACAGCTACATGCGTGATCTCGAAGCAGCAACGCCTCGAGCTGCGGACGTAAACTCGAGAGCGTCCGCGACGTGTGAACAAAAGTCCGAGCAGGCCTTATCTGTTTACCTGCCGAGCGATAATCGTCGATTAAGCGGATAATCGAAGCGAGGCAGCTCATACTTTAAAGACTCGAATCGAAGACTCGAGCCGCTATATATTCATCCAACAGTCAAATAAAAGCCCATAACTTGCGTAAGCGAGAGTGCGCTTTGACTTATTACGGCAGCTGCGCGGCGATAATAGGAATTTCGACGCTTTGATCGTACGCGCCTGACCCACATATCTAATACACACGCGAGCTGGAATCGAGCGAGTCTCGTTTGTTTTCGAGCCACATTTACTGTACTCGTGCACTGGATAGTTTCAATTGTCGCGTGCCAAAACGGACTCTTGGGATCTTCCCATTGAGCGGACTCTCGCGCTGCTGATGCCGTAGTTGTTTCCTATTATTACACGTTGTTTGTAGCGCGCGTTAATTGCTCGCGAGCACGCGGCCTTTCGCTATCGCGCCCAGTTCTCTCGCTTACACCGTTCATATCGCTTGTACAATAAAAAACTAATCTTTTTCTATTTATGCCGTGTGCCCTGCACGGTATTTCCTGCTGCATCGAGCCTCATATACGGATTCGGCAGTCTCACGGTAACGAAAAATCTTGATTCTAATTGTTAAATTCGAAAGTTGGCTAATACTTCGAGAAGCAGGACCGAGAGAGAATTTTCGTTTGTCGAGTCTCTAGGATAAATAAGCAGAGATGCTCGACATATTATAAGTACGGCTGCTGCGGCTACGTATGCGAATGTATCGCGTGTGCGTCTGGCGCCCAATAGAAAGCCCCGCGGGCGGAAACAGAACGAGAAAAGGAGAGAAAGAAAATCTCTGTGTGTTTAGATCTTGTTTTTTTCTCCCGCCAACAGCTCGATCGCTGCTCGCTCCTGAACAAAAGAGCCCGACTCTCCACATACGCGCTGAGTTTGATCCCTCAGAGCCCAGCCGCGCTGACGTTGCCACATCGTACAAACTCTGTATTATATACATTCACAGACGCCGAGTCTGTTCGAACCTCCGTGCATACATGTATTATGTGCAGAGCCGATCGATGCGTCATTAAAGTCTCTCGATTTCTATGATATGGAGCCTAATTTTCAACATAAAAGTGCACAACTATATACTTCTGCAGCGAAGGTATAAATGTATGCTCATTGAACTACATGATATACTTCCATGCAGAGTTTATAAAGCTGTCCTTTCACCCACTACATGTATAGTTGTTCAATAGACCCCGATGCGTCCCCCTCTGTGGTATCCCCATTCCCCACCACCTAACTTCTAGTTTCATGTATCTCAATGTTCACTGTGAATGTAATAAATACAATTTATCCTTCCACCGTAATATTCACATTAGATTCATAAGGAGCCCCCGAAAAGAATTTTTATTGGTTCTCGGACAATTTCTCTCCGTACACGATTGACGGTTCATATTATTCGAGTACTTTTCTATGTATCAATAAAATCTCAAGCACGTCTGTAAAATTGATTAATTAGATCAATATTCAACGATCTACCGCGTACACATGAATCAAATTTTTGATGTCATGGAATCGTAGTCAAATTTTTCAAAGCTACGTTTTTGATCGTTCTACTTTTCGCATTTTTAATTTGGAAAAAAATTAATTAAAACTCAGAGCTGTGCGTTCACATCGATTTGCTAAACATTTTGACTCTCAACGCTGCTGGATATTCGCACAAAGCAATAGCTGTACAACACGGCGGATACGCTCATTTATTTCACGCACTTTTTCAAATCAAACAATGTAAGTCTCTCCTTGGTTTACTTCCATTGATAAATAAAATATGTACTAACTCAAAAGAAGTCGAAATAAAATTCTGCCCCATGCACACACGCCAATATGCTTTTGAATTGAATTGCGCTTCTTCAATGAAATTTTTTTTTCAAGCTGACCAAAGACCAGAAAATCACAACGACCCTTCAATATACCTTGGTGCAATTTTGACCTATTTTTTCCTTTCTTTTTCTGAGAGACTTGTATTTTTCCAAATCTTAATTCTACTCCAAGTTCCGATGTGTATTCAAAAATGTTCATTCGTTCCAGCCTTGCTTAACACAAAGCACTTTTTTGATAACAATCATGCAGAGTACATTACTTATTCAGCGAGTGCTGCAAAATGAGAAAATCAGTCAGTCGAAGTGAACTGAGAGGCGAGCATTCATGAGTGCCGGTAAAAAGTATCGTTAAAGCAAAGAAAGAAAAAGGGAAGGAGATGAAATGTGGACAGTGTGAAAAAATTGCTGGCGTGCCAAATGACGACCTCAGCGTATACCGCGTGGTTTTTCTTAATTTCCCGCCGCACGACTTGGCGACGTTAGCACGGCATTACGTTATATACACAGAGCCTTGGTCGAGTAAAAAGTGTGGCGTATGCGTGTGTGTGTGCTCGCACTGAACACTATAATATAATAGAAGTCATGAAGCGCCCGTCCATGGGAACTGTTGCGGTCGAGTTAACAAACTTGTGTAGTCTCTGTAAATATACCTACACACACACACAGCAGGAACGAGCTAAGCAGGAGAGGTAAGAATAAGAGGCATTGCACTAGAGCAAGATAGGTTTCGAAGCGAGCGAGCCAGGAGAACAGCGCGGCCGAGCGTCGAAAAAATAAAGCATCGGACGAGCCTGGCAGCGGGGCCATATAATTATACCTGAACTTTTGGCCAGTCCGCGCGCAGGGTTGGGCTTCTCGGCCGCAAAAACAATGAAAAAGTCGCTGCTGCCGCGTCCTGTATACTAAGGAGGGCGAGACGTTCTTGGGCGCATTTGTGCGCTCAGGTGCGAGGCGGCGGGTGACTATGCGCTTCGCTGTCTTCGCCTTTGCGCTCGCTGTACTCTCGCGTACAATAAACCAGCTGCATGGCACCTTTTATCGTTTCTAGGGCCCAGAAAGTGTCGTCTTACAGTAAGTAGCAGGTTGCAGCCTTTCACTTCTTCTCCGGCTGACGCGCGCTTCTTCTAGCTCGCGTTCTATATTATTCTCTTGCACATTTCGAGCTCGATATTCTTTCAAAACAGGTTTTTGGCGAACCATCTCGGCAGCAGCAGCAGCGTGCACCCTTCGATGATGTCCGTTCTCGCGATTTTACGATGCGACTCGCGACGCTTTTTCGTTGCTCGTGCATCAATTTCTGTATCTCGGTCCGCGACTATTAAGAGACAGCCCACATGCTCCCCGTGCCAACAACAACTAGTGACGAATTTTTTCATATTGTAGGCGAATCAAACGGATGACTGAGTCTACGAAATTTCAATGCCAAGAATGTGCCCGCTTCTGTTACCAGTCCAGCTTCTTGTGTTTCTGCATTCTTATGCGAGAGCTTTCTTTCTGTCTATACATGCTTTTAACTTCTCGTGTGGACTTGGTGGTATTTTGCAAATCGATGTATTTCTATTCATTTTTCTATTTGAAATTGAACTTTGACAACAATTGTTGAAAAAAATATAGATGTTTCACATAAAAAAAACTGTTAAACTTCGTAATTTAACGGATTAGTAGCATGCATAAGAAAGTGGTAGCTCTACATTTAATGCAAGACCACAAAAACGAGGAAAGCTCATTATTTCCTTTTCGGTGTTTTTGTAATAGTCGAGACATTATTTCCGTGGGAGTTTCAGGATGCATGAAGTTACACCTTATATAAATGCGCGTAACAATCCCTTTACGCACTTACATACTCAATAAACGCTTTCTATCCTTGTGAATTTTCTTGGAAGCAAACCATCTCGGCTAGTCCATTAAATGCACTAAATGAGGCGCCGTGACGTACTGGTTGTGTCAAATGCAGCAAAAAAATAGAAGCACGACGAAAAGACACGTTGAACTATATGTTGAATTTTTTATTTCAAAACCAGCGTATAAGTAGATAATGTTTTTTTCTGTCTCTGTTCCGGTGATTATACAATTATTGCTGGACGATAAGGATGATGCGTCGCGTTTGAATGTGCATACACACGTAGGCACACGTGCGTGCATGTGTACACATTTTGTCCTCGAGCGGACGTGGTAGTCATCGTCGCCGCTATTCTCTCTCTCT